AGCATCTTGTACCACCGGCGCCACTCCCACCCCCACCATTGGTAGTAGCGCCACTATTAGGATCCGGCAAAAACTGGCCCGTAGCTGGATCCACCCGATTCTCCTCCATCCACTTCCAATTCTCCTTATCTACATCTGCCCACTCTGTGCGAAATTTCAACCCTCCATCACCAGCCTTCACACTCCCAACCCCCCTGGTCGATGGCGATACGCCTGGCACCGCCTTGGTATACGACCCGCCGCCCGTCGAGTTCCACCATCTCGAGCGCGCAGCGAGGATCTTGCGTTCGGACTCGGAGGCGCTAACGGAGCCCGTCGTCATCTCCTCGCTAGTCATGAAGGAGAGGAGGCCGATGAGGATTGTGGAGACTTCCCAGGCTGGATTGAAGGATTTGGGGTGGAAGTCGCTAATGCTGAGACAGAGGCGAGTAGAGGATTGGAAGCGACCGGATGGGGTGTGCATGCGGATTGCGGGGGGCGCGAAGGGGTATTCTGGTGGGAACATTAGGGTACCCCAGTATTGGCCATTTTCGTAGGGGGTCTTAGGGGGGCCGGTGATTATGTAGTGCCATCTGTCAGAAATTTATTAGATTTTAATTTTTCCCCGTGGATAAGGGTCAGGGGTGTTTTACTCTAGAATATTTGAATCGGAGGGGTGTGCTATGATATATGGTGGCGGGTTCTTTTGGATGTTCTGGTATTCGCGCACAAGCTAAACATATCGAGAAACACATATCGCTGTTAGTCACCTCCCGTCTCCCATCTCGTTCTGTACAATATTCTGGGGTTTGCACACTCACGCGTTTGTTGGCGGCTCTTGTAGCCATCTCGAGAGGGCCGGCTGTGTCCCGAGAGGAACCAGTGATCGGTACAACGGAACGGAGAAGGAGGAGCTCACGGAAGCGCAAAGAGGGTAGTAAGTTACTAGAAAGTCTAACACCAAGTACGTAGGACGAGAGTTGTAATAGGCAGGGTGAGAACTGGAGTGTGAAGTGTTGAAGTAAAGAAAGATCAAGATGAAGCTGAAGTTGCAAAGGCCAGGTGGATCCCCCGTAATGTAATAGGACCGTCAACCGTGACAGTACGTACCATACGATACGCCCGTCCGCTACAATATATAATCACGTGACTATTTACCGTAAAGGCAATCCCATCCCGGCTCCCGAAACAGGATTCTTGATGGAACACAAACAACCGATATATGCTAGCCATTGTCGAGCGTCGCGATGGTATCACCACTCGAGAGTGACGAGAATGTGAGTATCTACGTATCTACGCTATGTCCTGTGTTTTATTTTACTTACTAACCAACTGTGCCTCTTTTGAGGTGATTTCGTTGGTAGATATTCGAACGGCTGAAGCAGAAGTCGACCGATCCGAAGGTGCTAGAGGAGCAGCAGCAGGCTGTTAATGAGAGAATAAATGCGATATATCAAAAAGCCCAGTCCCGGCTCGCTGAATTGGTTTGTTTTTTCTTGCTACCATTTCCACCCCATACCATCCTCGGCAGAAATTCCGATTGCGAAATTCTCGTCCCGCATCGAAGGGGCCGATTCCCATTAGAATTGTAAAGCTCATTGGATGGGAACAAAATATCAGATTGACCAAAATTCCACGCTACCATGTACCATCTCGTCCGTCCAAGTCCTCAATGCGAACAACACAAGGAGAGGGTTCCTGGAAAAAGTCCTCAGCCCGCTCTTGAGCGCAAATAATGACCGCCCGTATACCCTCTCGGAAGCCCTGTCAGAAATCTCGATATGCACGGATAAACTTAGTCGATTTGGTATGTTTACTCTCGTGATTGTCCAAACGCCTAGTCAAAGCAAAACTAAATAAATCGAATACTAGACATCTTCGAACACCCCATCTCCGTCTTCCTCGACAAACCTTCCCAAACCGACCCATCTACAACTCCCACGGATCTCGAAGTCTACCTCTCCGTCAAAGAGAAGTCTCGCATCCTGCTAAAGACAGGCACGGATCTCGGAAATGCAGAAGGATCCGCCTATGCCAACTTTATGTGGCGGAATATCTTTGGTGGCGCCGAGTCTCTGAATGTCAACGCTTCGCTCGGCACCCGGACCAGATCGGCCTACCAAGCCGCATTCGACACTCCTATCCTCAGCAACCCGGACTTCAGGTGTGAAATCGGCGGGATTGGTAGTTCAACGGAGAAGAGCTGGGCTAGTCACGAAGAGGTGGTCAAAGGAGCCTGGACGAAGCTCCGTTGGCTGAGCCCGTCCGGGCACAGACATGAACTGGGCTACAATGGGTTCTGGAGACAAGTGACCGGCCTGTCTACGGACGCCTCGCCAACTGTTCGTGGGGATGCGGGCGATAGCGTCAAGAGCAGCATCTCCCACACATGGGTCAACGACAGGCGTGATAACCCCCTCCTTCCCTCGCGAGGATTTTACACGAGGACCTTCAACGAGGTGGCTGGATTGGGTCCGCTTAAGGGGGATGTATCGTTCTGGAAATCAGAGCTGGAAGCCCAGGGAGCGGTGCCAATTCCCATCCCCGGAGTGAAAGGGGACAGCGGCATCAGCTTGACCACAGGTTTCCGTGCTGGTATCCTCTACCCACTAGGCCTAGATGCGACTCAGAAGCCTCAACTTTCCCGTATCAACGATCGCTTCCAGCTGGGTGGCCCGACCGATGTACGCGGCTTTAGACTCGCGGGTATCGGCCCACGGGAAGGCCCCGACGCATTAGGGGGAGACGTTTTCGCGGCGGGTAGTGCAAATCTCCTGTTCCCTTTGCCTCGAGTTGGGGCGGAAAAACCACTACGGCTGCAAGCTTTTGTAAACGCAGGCCGCCTTCTACCGCTGAAGACGCAGGATAGGAAACTACCGTCGACGCAAGGGGAGGTTAGAGATAGCATGGTGGCGACCGTGTCGGAACTAGGGAATGGATTACCAAGCATGGCCGCTGGTCTGGGACTCGTATATGCGCATCCTGCTGCGAGGTTTGAGTTGAATTTCTCTTTGCCCCTTATCCTGCGACGGGGAGAGGAGGGGAGAAAAGGGTTGCAATTCGGGATTGGGATTAATTTCCTATAACAAAAGAGAAAGGATAGATGTATATGTATAGTAAAGTATTAAAGGAATAATAGAAAGGGGATAAAATATTTCTTATTTTTCACACTTCAAATATCAACATGTTTTGTTGGACTAAAAGAAAAGTGGACTTGCTTGGTTCTGCTTGGTCTTGGCACTGTGTAACTTAGATCCCACGTCGCCCAAAGCAACAACTCAACTACAAGAATAATAGCTAGCTAACAACTATATATCATCACCAAACTACTACCTTACCAACTACCACCAGCACCAACTTCTATACATTCCTTCTATGTCTGTTACCTACTAGTGTCGCCACCTAAACCCCCATCCCGATCGCATATATCCGCTACAAGGCCTCCTGTCCATATCTTGAAACCCGCCCTCAGTACCACCGCAAACCCTTTGCCTCTCCGCACACACCCAAACACATCTATCCGCTGTCCACAAACCACCTCCATCCGGCCGTAATGGCCCAATTCTACTCCCAACACCAGCAGCAGCCACCATACGGCGGCGGCGCTCAGCAACAATCCGCACAAAACCTCCAATTCTACCCTACCTCCTACACATCTGTTTCCGGTCACACAACGCCCTCACAGGCCACATATGGCGGCTACGGCGTAGCTTCTGGGCCAGGCTCCGGTTTTTCTGTTGGCGGGGGAGCGTCAGGGGGACCCGGTGGGTATGGAGCTTCGGCGTTTGGGGCTTCGTCGGCGGGCGTGAGTGGGCGGATGGGCGAGCAGGGTGGGTTGAGGACCGGATGGTTAGCGGCGTTCGGCACAGAGGGATACGAAGGGGAACCGCCGTTGTTGGAGGAATTGGGTGTTAATTTTGATCATATCCGGACCAAGGTAAGATGATTTTTTCCTATTGGCCCTTGGGGAATCCTCGCTCTCAATAGACTATGGGCATATATATAGATATAATGTAGGTAGCTAATACCTATACAACATAAAGACCCTCACCGTCCTCAATCCCTTCGCCCGCATCGACCAACACCTCATGGACGACAGCGATCTCTACGGCGCGCTGCTCTACATAGTCCTCTATGGTACCTTCCTCCTCCTCTCCGGAAAAGTCTTTTACGGCTACATCTACGGCGTCGCCGTCTTCGGCACCTTTGCCCTCCACCTCATCCTCAGCCTCATGTCCCCGTCGCTTATAGACCCGACCTCCACAACCCCGGAAGCATCTTCCCTCGATCCCGTCTCCGCCACAACCGGCTACCACCCACATCACAAGCAATCCGGTTCATCTGGCTCCACTGTCCCAGGCAGCGCTGGCCACTTCTCATCAACCCTCACGTTCCCCCGCTCCGCCAGTGTTCTGGGTTACTGCTTCCTACCCCTCGTACTGACAAGTGGCGTCGGCATCCTAATACCCATGGACACGCTATTTGGATACTTACTAACGACCGCCGCGGTGGGCTGGTGTACATATAGCAGTTCGGGAATGTTTTGTGCCGTGGCGCGGATGCGCGGGATGAGGTTTTTGGTTGCGTATCCGCTTGCGTTGTTTTATGTTGTTTTTGGTATTATGGGGATCTTTTCGTCCAGGGGGAGTGGGTCGTTGGTTGCCAAAGCGACAGGGGGTTGAGTTTTGTCGCTATGTATAAACCGTGATCTATTGGTTGTGGGTTGTGGGAGGGGGTTGGGAAGGCCGGAAAAAGGGGGAGAGAAGATGAACTTTTTGTTTTTTCTATACACTTCATGTCATGTTCACCTTTGCTTGAGTCGAGTAGGGTTTGAAAAACAATAGACGTCCGATAGACGTCCGATTGACTCGATTATACTCTTATCTCGTTTCTACTCTTAGAGCTGCTTGGTTTGGTTCGGGGTGTCTTGCTTCGTTCTTGTCTTCGGTCCTGCTTTGGCGATGCTGCTTTGCTGTTCCGCTATTTCATTAGTGCCTTGGTTGAGATGAATTTAATGTTGGGTGAAATGTGAATTTTCTTACTAAAAAGGGAAGTAAAATAGTATATCTTTTTTTGTCGCTCACAGGGGCTTTATGATGAACTGTTTAGTATATGGGAATGGAATGGCAAAGGAAGCATGATATATACAAGAAGGTAGTTATGGAATGGAAGGGAGGAGGAGAAGGAGACATAACGATAATAATGCAAGTATTGTTCGATTAAATGTCAATGCAATGAGATTCTGAGCTAGATATCAGCTATACTATCTATATCGAGATCAACCCATAGTCCCAAAACTTAGTGCAATGAATGAGAAAGAGACAAGATAGGGCTGAAGCAGAATTGCATCCGTTTTTATAAAAGCTTTACCTAGAAAACGTAATCAGGAAAGGCTCATCTACTCTGCCCCGTTTGAGGAGCCAGTCTCACGACAATCCATAAATAATGCCAGCGAGAAACGCGCAGCACCAGCATCGTCTCCACATCTATATGTCCTGACTATGTACATAGGACATCTCATCCCATCTCAACGAATTGCAACCCTCTCCCCCTTCCCCGGCGCCCAGTTCTTCAACCACGCCCTCGCCTTCCCCAAGTCCCCCACGCCCGCCTCAACGGCCGCAATGCACCAGACGACATCATACCCCTTTTCGCTAGTCCCAAGTTCTGTCTCAGCTCCAGTTTCGGCAGCTAACAGCTCCGCCAACTTCCGCCGCTGCTGGCTTTTCTCATCCGTGCAGAAATAGAACGGCGGCGCGTTCGCATCCATCGTTGTTATTGCCGCTGGACCAATGTTAATTGCATCTATCAGCGGTTTAATCATCGCCGATATTTCCTTGCTCGTTAGGGCTGGTGCTACTTCACCACTGCTATCAGAGGATGTAGCAGCATTGGCCCGCCCAGTCTTGCAATATGGGTTCAGGCACCACCCTTTCCCACACCCTTTCAGCATCTGCGTCAGATATCGCCGCTCGATCCGGCGACGTAGCGCTTTCCCTTCAGGGTCATACACGTCTGCGTATAGTGGGCCAAAGCACCCCGTGCAGAGGCCAAGTGTGTCATTGTTATTGGTATTATGGCTGGACATCGTACTACTGGTGGCATTGCCTTGTAGGGTCCGGCCGCAGTTTTGGTTCCTGCACACCCGCGGCGCCGGCCGTGAGAGGCGGTCCAGATCATGATGGCGCAGGTGGGTTTTCATGTCCTTGAGTCGGGTTATTTTGTTGCAAAGATGGCACTCTGTCGTGCGCCCGCCGTCGGCGAGCTCGTGTGGGGTTAGACCAGAGAGTAGTACTTCGGGATCGTGCATGTCCGGGTCTCCTTCGCCCATTTGGGGCACGATGAGGTGACAGAATTGACAGAGGATGGGTTTGGCGGGGCAGGTGGTAGTGCGATGGTGGGCAAGGGTTGGGAGGCTGGTAGCTGTGAAGGGGCAGCTGGGGCAGGGGTGAGGTGTGTGGAAGACTTTGTTGTGCTTTAGTTGGCTGGATTGGTCGTTGCCGTAGGAGTCGTCATGCGGACAATGCCAGTGGTTTTCCCATTCAGGGGACCGCTTTTGGAAGACATTTTCGCATTTAGAACAGAGGATGTTATTACGGAGACAGAAATTTTCATGTAGGAAAAGGGTTCGCTTCGGAATCCACTGGCGGCAATTTTTGCATTGGGTATCGTCTAGATCGTGGTCACCTTTCTCCGGGGGCACGGATAACTCTCCTGCGGAAATGCTTGCTGTGCGGAGTCTATATTTCAGCGGAGTTGCGGTTTTTGAGGCAGCGTCATTGCTTTTTGAGGTGTCCTCTGAATATGCATGCACAGATATGTAAACCGTCTCCGCATCTTGAAGCTCGACATTAGTGGACTGAAGACAAATACACTTAGGGGAGAAATTTGAAAAATCTCCAAAAACATGTTCATTGTCCCTGGGTCTGTTTCTTTGCCTCGACGAAAAGGGACTTATGAAAAGATCCACGTCTGCATCATCTGCCACATCAATCTCCACATCCAAAGGACGTTCGTGGTCCCAATCGTGAAGTTCGTAGTCGACGTACTGTCCTGGTAACACCTGGCCACTAACCTCTTGCCCTTGCGAGAGCTTCCCACCTGTAGAACTCCCTTCCTTTGTTCCTGGAGCCCGAGAAGCTTTTTCTAAACGCCTCTTCAAGGTCTCTCGTGCCTGTTCCTCATTTAGCGCCTCGATATCCACTTCAAGGTCAGTGTCCACAATGCAAATACCGTCCCCTTGGGGCTCCACTTTATCAACTAGAAACCTGAACGTTTCATTCCGGCCTCCGGGAATTAGTAGGAGTTCCCCAAGCGTCAAAGTTGTAAAGTTCTCGCGTAGGTGTCGTTCCAGCAGCGCTTTCCAATCTTCGGGATCGTACCCCGCCTCAAGGGGGCGCAGGCGAACATATGTCCCCTTTGGCAGCTGTCTCGCATGTATAGTGACAATCGGACCTTCTGGTATGTTCGAAATATTTCCATCCCCAGGTTCTAGCATATCCACATCAGATGGCGACTCCTCCGCTGATATGACCCTTTTCCCCGCAGAGGGAAAATCGCCATCGTCGAGACCAAGGCTCTGACGAAGGAAGGCACTCAACCCAACTTCATTCTCCTGGGCAGAAAACTCGCGTATACCGGCATGAACAATCCGGCCGTTCGAAGGGTTAACTATGCGAAAGGTCAAAGGTTGTGGAAGCTGCTGCTGTCTGTCTGCGACCAACTCTCTAGCTCGCCGTTCAGCGGCAAAAGTGTGTGGATTGAAAGGATCGAACTGGGGTGTCAACGAATGAGTATGGGCAGATTCTATGGAGGTAATTGGAGCAGCGGCTAGTAGCTGTTCGAGTGCGGAGGGAGGAAGAAGAATCTTATCTCCTGGTAACTTCTTTGTTCGAGTAGGAGTGGTAACAGCAAACTGGGCGGACCATTTTAGGGTATCCGGTTCGGTGGCCATGATACACAAAACATGTAGTATATAAATTCTGGGTGTAAGAGGATTGGACGAAGTTTACGCCATCGTTTTCTCTCTCCTCATCCCACACAACCTGTTTATCTCCCCAGCTGTCGAAGGCAAGCTGTCTGATATTGGATGATTACCAACGCCGCTTCCAGAACCTACGAGATGATCTTATCTTATCGGTCTTATCTTCACGTGATAGTTAAGATAAACTGGAGACATTCTTCCTCTTTCTTACTCTATGTCCAACTTCATGTCAACATGCTCAAATTGTTGTTTAATATTACTCATAGTAAGGGGACAATACCCCATGTTTTGGTTCTTCAGACGTCCTTGGAATTTTAATTGGCCATCTGCATTATACTACAGGGTCTCTCATTCTGTTTTTCGCGTGCTGACCATTGCTCCTCCGTCCTTCCAGGCCTCCAACGATATCAGTCCCAATGAAAACCCGATCACAGCCACCATGACAGGCAGCATTCGGACTATTTCTTGCTAACAACAGATTCTTCGGTTAGTGGTTAAATCAGCGAAGTCTTGCAACCTCGTTGCAATTACTCAAGCAGGGGAGATAGGCAGCAGAACCACGTGACCCGGTGGGAGCTGAATTCACTCTTTTCTCGAGATATTTATATTGAGAGAAAAATAAGTGAACGAGGAACTCTTTCTTGTTCTCATTCTTCCATTTATATTCTCTTACCATTTCCCTGCCCCCCAGTTTCTATCATTCAAACCGGCCCATTGCAGCCAAGCCTATCAGCGCCAACCCCTATTCTGAAAAACGGGTCGCTGAATTGATATCCCCTTTACGAACATATCTGAATATATCCCAAGGCCAAATTGCTACATACAATTTTGCTCTAAGCCTATTGTCTTTGCACCAGCCGTTTTTTTTTACCCCTCCCATACCTACATCCCATAAAGTCCGGGTAACATGGGCGTTCAAATACGCCAACAACCCGGGCGTTTTACTGACAAACAACCAAGGACTATTAACAATCGAAAATCGAATGCTAGTATACGACGCTCTTTGACGAAAGGTGTCTCAGTAAAACGCAACCCAAAGACTAAACTTCCAATAAGACCGCGGAGCCCACAAAAGCCTTCAGGGTTGAGTCAACCACCGGGACTCTCTCTGCCTGATAAACTCCCACCCCGCAATCACAAAAAGGATCGAAGTGATGCCTTCAGAGAATGTGTCATCTGTACAGAAATGAGGCCCTTGGGACACAATGGCGCAAATTTTCCCACTTTCCCTAGGTGTCTACATGACCCACTTACATGTTCAAATTGTGTCTCAAAGCACATCGTTATGACCCTAAAAACACGAGCTCCGATTAACTATAGCAAGCCAGCAGACAAGGGTACAATTGATTGGTCCCTCTGCACCTGTCCACAATGTAACATTCCGCTCACAGAGTCAGAGATCCGCTCTGTCCTGAGTCGTACCGAGAATGCAGTCATTACTGGAATTGCTGCTCGCAAGGAACTCGAATCTCACCCGCGCTGGACCTGGTGCTTGTCCATCACCTGCTCGTCCGGCCAAGTATTCCCCGAAGGCAACCAGTCTCAGAAGGTGGACTGTGGCAAATGTGGAGCCAGCAGCTGCTTCCTGCACGGTGTCCCCTGGCATCACAAGTACACCTGCGGCCAGTATGACGACCAACATCCAAATGCGCAAAGCGTGCGCAGCAGCGAGGAACGAATTAAGAGGATGACGAAGAAATGTCCCAATCCGCAATGTGGTTGGAGAATTCAGAAAAATGGCGGCTGTCCGAATATGTACTGTGTGTTCCTCCCTCTTAGATGCCAGAACATTTAGATGGCTAGCTCCACGCGTCTATTCCCCAAAGCTAAACACTAAATATTAACACAAGATACTCACATTCGCTATCCAGGCACCAAATGCTCACGCTCATTTCTCTGGGATACAACCAAGTGGGATGACAACGTCACCCCAGAACCAGAGTGAAGTATTTTCTATGTTGAAGAAAAAGGGCAAAAGGAACGCACCAACCCCCCTCTTGCTTTTATCAACCATTTCCCCGAGTTTCCCGAAGTTCTTAGGCCGCATCCAACAACCACGGCTCTAATATTTTCTGGTACCTACGTCCTCATATTTTCGTGAACTCAAACCCAGGGCGCGGGGCGAGCCAGTATCCAATTCCTTCTCCCTCCCGGCACATAACGACCTCTCCATGCACATTACTTGGTGCTATTGTATCAAGTCGCAGAAGAGGATCGATGATACTCATCCCTCCTACCCTGTTGCTCTTGCTCCTGCTCCGGCCCGGCTCTACTCCCGTCCTAATTCAGTATATAGCCGGGAACTTAAGCCAGCCCTACTCTTTTCCATATCGTGCGGTTGACACGCGCCAAACTCACTGAAAAGTCAAATGCCGTGGGGTTCTCATTCGATGCTGTTGTTCCCTTTTTGTGGCATGCCATTTTCCTGGTGTGACGCGTTCTGTAGATAGAGCCTGGAAAATGCGAGGTGCAAGGAGGGCTGATTTCGACTTTTAACTTATACTGGGAGAGAAAACGCTGAGAGAAGTGTTGGGTTGGTTGGTTGGTTGGTAAGTAGGTTAAATCTCAAATGGAAGGCTTCATAAATCCCCCAGCTCGCTTTTTCTTCGGAGCACGCTGAGCATCATATATGTTCGTTATGAGAATGAAAGAGAACAGCTTCCAGGGCAAAAAGAAATAGAAAAAGAACAAAGAATTCTTTCTGAGGTCCTTTAAAAAATTTGAAATACGGTGTAGTTTAGCGCATTGTCGTCGTTTAAATATCTCCCCCAAGTATCCGTTCTTCCTTTGTTTTAGTTATTTTCTTTTGCAGAGATTAAGTGAAACAATTTTTTTCCATATGCCTTGCTCATTAAAAATATATATCCATATATATATATATTTTAAGCCAACAATCTTTTTACATGTATGTACAGTGCAAATCAATCCGTAAGAGATAAGCTAAAGTCAACGGAAATATCAAACCATAGTTATGCAATGTTTAAGGTATTTATATAATTTATATATATAGAACGGAGATGAGTGTCCCTCCCAGTCTACCTAACCTAGCCAGGCACAAAAGAAAAGAAAAAGAATTAGAAACCCCGGAACGCAAAATGAAACAAAAACAAAATAAAATAAAATAGAGCCCAGAAACAAACCACACGAAAGACAACCTTATCCATTTCCCCGCAGTCCCGTCCCCAGAATTTAACACCCAGTCAAGTAGGAAAAAAAAGAAATATATTATATATATAAATATAAGTAAATGAATGCTTTGCCCGCATCCAGACCGAAAGAAGAGAAAAATGACATACCAGATCAGAAGCCCAAATTTGCAGATTTAACTCTCAAGAGCATGAAACGAAGAGAAGAAGCAATGAAGAAATATCCGAGCGGAAAGTTCATAACAGGATTCCAACGCGGAAGTGGGAGAAGGCGAAAAAACAGTTAACACCGGAATTAGAGAGGATATATGTGGTATAGAGCGTCGGAGAGAAAGGAGAGGAATAAAAGAAAAGTAAAGAAGAGGGAAAATGGTAGAGGTATAAATAAGGCCGTAGATGAATGAAGTGGGCCCAAATCTGGATGGCCGTCGCTATGGGGTGAGGGGTGAATGCGATGGATATGGAGATGGAGATGGCTTTCCCACAGTGAACGGGGATTTACGGGACCGATATGAAGTTGAGATCGAGTGGAGAAGGGCCGGCTGGCATGCTCGTAACTTTCAACAAGAGAGGAACAGGTGTCGATGGAAATTCCGGAGAGGAAGGGCGAAGTGTGTTTTTTTGTTTTTGTTTTTGTTTTCGTTTTCTTTTCTTTTCTTTTCTTTTCTTTTTTTCTTTTTTTAATTTTTTTTATTCGTGTGTGTGTGTAGTTTCAAGTCGGTCCGTCCCCGGCGATGGCCTTTGGGGGTGGCGAAAGTATGTTATGTCGGAGGATATCAGTGCAAAACTCGTTCACATCATGGACCCCTCCGTCGACGTCCGCTGGTATTGCACCAGTCGCACTGGATAAATGGGTTGTGTAAGTATACCCTGCCTCACACACTGCGTGATGATATGTTGTATATAAAATAAAACAAAAGAGAGCTAACATACCTTCGTAGCCGTGCACCCATCATTATGCTCGATGCAATACTCGCCCTGGCATGTAATGCAGGTCCGTTGGACTTCTGCTTTGCAGGCACCACACTGGTAAAGGAGGGGAAAAACCCAAAATCAGTAAAACAATCGGGATAAAATAAATGTTGATTTCGCAGTTATATATGCGACTGGGAGAGGTCAAGAAACTTACTGTAGCTCCACACTCCCAGCAATCTCTGCTGACGCCTGCTATAAAGCGCTATTTAGATAGAAAAGATATTGTTAGCTAAACTTGTCCAGGTGGTAGAGAAAGGGGCGTAGATGAAATAAGAGGGGTAAGTGTTGTTGCGCCGGGTGGGTAAGAACTTTTTCAAAGCCATGTATTGCTACATTTTACAATAAAGTAGTGGGGAAGGCTGAAAGCGTACTTCCTTCAATCATATCACCATTTTTTTATACAAAGAAGTGCTGGCTTGCGATATTTTATTTTGGTCCCCTTTTCGGTTCAAAATATTCGCATTGAAGTCACCCTCGTATATGTATCATGGGATCGGACGAGAGGAGGTAGTAGTGGTTTCGGTGTGACATTGTGGACAGAGACCGTTGTTAAATACCTTTGCGTATACTGAGCCTCCTCCTTCCTCTCCGGATCCGGACGAGGTGGACGAGGAGGAGGAAGATAATGATGACGAAGATGAGGATCGGGACGCGGTCTGATGTAGCTTGCGATGGTGTCTTGGCTTTTCCGGGTGTGGGAGGCAGGCTGAACACCACCAGCTGCCACACCGGTTGCACCAGCGGTCGATCAGGCATTCTTGGCACTGCATTATCAGGACGGGCTCATCGTTGTCAGAGACTACGGGGGACTTGGCGGCAGTGATTCGGGAGGAGTGGAGTGGGAGAGGCGTGAGGAGCGGGAATTGATATTCCGGCGAGTGGTTCCAGAGGGCGGGACCTTCAGGTGAGGTTCGACAGTCCTCGCAGCCCCTGGGACCGAGAGCAACTGTTGCGATTGCTGGCGAGAGGTACGTGTCTGGTTGCGCGTCGTTTCCTTCTGCAGAGGTGAAGGGTTGATGCGCTGGACTCCGGCACAGCACTGCATCAAAGGAAATGATTCCGTTACAAAGCTGCAGTGTTTCTGCCCATCCGTTGGAGATTTTCTTCCTGAGCACTTTACCTGACGCTTTGTACCACGGATGTCTCCGCGTCAGCTGATCGTGGTAGTTATCCTTCTTGGCAGTGTGGCAGGTGTCGGCGGAATTGCTCGATTGATCGTCAGGCTGGTGATCCCCAGGTCGGTCCCACTTGGTGGCTGCGGAAGTGTGGTACATTTGCTTTCTGCCGTGTGAGGTACTCTGTTGTGAATCATTCTTCGCGGTGAAATAATAGATTCCCCGCACTCTTGGCATTCCCTTGGGCCGGGATGGTCTGACGGCATATTGTAAGGTCTGCATCAACTTACGTTCGTTCAGGTTGAGGCAGTCCCGGATAGACAGTATGACAACGTTAAACCTATCAGTTAACACAATATCGGCGATGAGGTCTGTGGGGACGGAGAGGCCATCTAGCACGAGCGTTCTGACATCCTGCAAGATGGACCGGCGTCCTAAATTAGAAAAGATGCCTCTCAAGGGACCCGAGTAGAAATCGTCTTCAGTCAAAGATTCATCCATGCGCTCGCTCCTCCACACCTCACCGCCTGCATCTATGGGACCCATGAACGGCGGTGGTTGAGCCCCGCGACATGTTGTCAAATCCATATGCCGAAAAACGTATGGGGTATCCATTATAATGGAACGGAAGGTAGTGCATGTGGAGGCTAGCGAGAGTAGAGACGAGATCGAAAGATAGGGCGCTATGTGGTCGAGGATGAGGGAATTGGATAGGAGGTCTCGCAGCGAGACGTGCAACGGACTATGTGAGAATGCGACGGCGCAGTTAGGGTGACAAGACAGATGTAGAGACGAGCTGGTAATCTGGGAGACGCGGCCGACCAGATGGTGCTTGTACGCAGCCATAGCGCCAGCGGTGATGGTTTCCTGCATTTCGGCGCAATAGCAAGAGAGGGAGGAAGACGGCGACAAAAACAAGGAAGAAGGAGAAGAAGAAGAGATTGACGTTGATGTTGATCTTGATGTTGCCGTTGCTGAATGCGCCTGTATTTCCTCGAGCGCAGCTTTGGCATTCGCAAGCTCTGTTTCCAACAGCTGGATAGTGGATTGCAGGACGACGGGCATGGCTTTTGCATTGAGAGGATCAATGGCTGTCATTAGAGTAGTCCATAGCTGCCTTTGGGCCATATCAGGCCGGCTGATATGGGGGCGATTTATATTAGTATTATTATTATGGTATTAAATCTTTTTTTTTTTTTTGTTTTGTCTGAGTGGCGGCGAGTCGAATCTAGAGCTTGCGGAGAAGAACCGGAGCTTGAAATCGATGGCAAAACGGGCAACGAGCCGAGAGACAAAAAATAAAATAAAAAACCCCCGAGCGCTGGGCTCACAAGGAACTGACAAACTGAGTATTCCGGGGATGCCGACCAAGCGGGCTAAGGGAGGATAGCAGGGTGAGGACGGTGGAGAGACACCCGTGGCAAATGCTACACTGCGGCGAAGAGAAGAAGAGAAATCGAGGGTTCAAAGAGACAAGGAGATAAGAATAAAGGCAGTTGGGCTGAGACCCAGCAATAGGCGATGGGGAAAGCTTCAAAAAGAAGTGGAACTGGCAGCTGGGCAGCAAGGGGAAAACTGGAAATGCGAAGAGTCCAGATCGAGGTGGAGATCTCAGAGCGCTTGACCTTGGTTCAAGATAAATAAATAGATATATATAGAGCAAGGTCGGTTGGGTGTAAGACGACAGACATATATAGGGGGGGCCTTTTGGAGGGGGGGGGGGGAGGGAGGGAAATGAGAGAACGGAGAGAAAAAGAGCTATATATAAGAAACAGAATAATACAAACCTCACCAAAGCTGTTAGATAACAGCGATTATTTGCACGTCGTTGAATGAATAATAACTTTAATGGAAATATCAAACAAATAGCTGGCATATCATATCACAGGCTAAGATGGCGTGCCACAACCCCGGCCGGCGCTGCGGGAAGGGGAGCGAACTCGGCCCATCTCAACTTGCTCAAGGCGCAAGTGTTCGCAGCTAGCGGCTGGGCCGACTCGACTGTCTGTCCTGTCTGGGGAGATAGATTATTATTTGGCAGTGGAGTGGCCCTTCAGAAGGAACAGGAACAGAATCTCGAATCTCCGGAACCTCAGGAGAGGAGGACAAAATAATGATAATAATAATAATAATTAAAAATGTCAAGGAGCCAGACAGCTAAAAGAAAAGGCTGAGAATTAATAACAGGGCTAGCGGGGAGCCTTGGGGAGTCTGTAGAGTCTGTGGAGTCTGTCGGCATCCCATCCCATCCCATCCCATCCCATCCGACTCTTATGTCTCGCAGCTATTCGTGAACTTTGATTTTTGGACTTCACCGGAAGGATGAAACAGGTAACATTAAGTTAAAAGGAAGGAGCTTGGGCATGAATATCTTATCATCCCACGGGTTTGCCTTTTTTGTTCCAGAATCATATTTTGGTGCTTACTTGACAAGTTATCATCCTTCATGGACTACTCTACTGGACTACTGGACACTTTTATTATTGTTATAAGTTATTGTTATATGTACGGAGTACGGCTAAATGTATTCTTCTATTATTATTCAAGACCACTCAATACTTAACTAAGTTAGTTAACTTACTGCTCAATCTCGTCTCATGAATATGCTGAGCACGGCAGCAAACATTGAAAGTTGAAAATTGAACCTTTAGACGCAAGGAATTCAAGCTGCAGCAATATGTATAGTTATATGTGCATGTATGAATGAATGTCTAAATAGTCGTGTATTTATATTTATATTTATATTTTTATGTAGATATATATTGTTTCAGGCAACTCACTCTATTTCGAAAGAGGGCTAACCATCCACAGCATACTACGGAGTATACTTATATCAAAAACCAATCTTCCTTCCTTCCACGCTCTGCCGCCCCGGAGTTACTGAATCGGGGGGTGAAAAAGAAAAAGAACAAATTGGTCACAAGACTCGACTCGGTGGGTAACTACTTACTAGTTAGTAGTTACGCAGTTACAGGCGTACGCAGCGTACCAGCTTATGTGGACAATAATGGTATTGTCATTCTTATTCGCTATATTCTTACACCTAAGAGATCCCATCTTTGACCGTTTTGGTGTCCCGATTTTGGTATAGCGGGTTCGCTGCTTTTGGCCGTCACAGCGGTATTGTATTGCAACAGTATCGCGACGGTATTGCGCACGGGCATCTTCTCTGAAGAGGCTTAGCCTCACGGCCGCTTTTACAGCACCATTTCTCTTGGCAGGCGCAGCCCAGTCGGTTCAGGCAACTTCTGCTTCTGAAACCAGAGGCTAGATCATGACTTGATCTGATTTGAACTTCAAGTATTTAAGCAGGGGTAAGAAGCCCCAATGAGCTCTCCTGTGAGGGGATCCATTCTAAACTAAGCGAAAAAAAAGGTGGTCTGGTTTCTCTTTTTAAAGGGGAGGAAGGGGAGGAAGGGAAGGGTAGGTGGGCGGCTCAATATTAATCGTGACCGCATCCGAAGGTGCACACCCACTGTTGATGGCTTCAAAATCGGCCTGCGCTCCTCATCTATGATGAGACCACCTTTTCTAAATTTTCATGCTCTCTCTCGCTCTCAGAGAAGCTTTCTTCATTCTATTTTCCTCATAATCAGAGACCTCATATACAAATCCATCCAACACTCTACTTTTACTTCACTTCAATTCTATCTATTCTTAATTCCCCTCCCAAGATCTAGAGATTTTAAGGACAAACTCCGCCAGCAACACTTAACATGACAATTGTAAAGTCTAAGCATGCTGCTGCTCAACACAGTGGCTGTCATCTAAGACTGGCACCAACAAATACAGATTTCAAAACAACAAGAGAAGGAGCATGAGATGGCTCACACCAAGAAAAGTCATGCAAACAACATCAAGTGAGGTGCATGGACAGTCTGGAGAAAGCTGGAGATGTCAGTTAATTCACTCAGTCAACAGAGAACAAAAATATTAACTTATAAAATCAGTTACTGTCCCGAGAAACTCAATATCACACCTTGTCAGTTTTTTACAACATTGACATCCTTCAGATTCAAGGCATTCCTCAACTGGCTTGATGAAACCCACTATCACCGAATTCACAGCGAGAGGACGATTTGGTCATACTGGCATCAAATAAAAATGTTTTACATGGCTCAGAATGACAGCAAAGAAATAGATGATGCAACCAGAACAGACTGTATTAATGTGAGATCCATTTATCTTGTCTAGAATTCACACATTGCTGATCGGAGCAGTAAATCTGGATTGTGATTGAACCATGGAGAAAGAAAGAGGGCCTTAGAAGGCATGTCCTTAACCATGAGAGTGGCAGCAAAGATGATGTCTACTGGTTTCTATGTGCCAATTGGGAGTGGTGCCAAATTCTCGCTGCGTGCAATCTTCCACCACCGCCCACCCTACCGTAGATTCTCAGATACTGAGGCTCAGCAAGCTGGAATGCTTGTATGTCTCACCGTGACTGGCCTCAAGAATGCTATCCCGAGCAGTGGTTGCAATGCTGCTTTTGTTATGAGATTTCTACCATTTCGGTCCTTCCTGTAAAGATCTGGAGATCAGCGGTGGATAGAAACTAGAGCTTAGAGCTGAGACAGTGAAAGTCGCCTGCATTGTTGTATATAATGCCATCTCCTCCCAGACCCTCTTATTCTTATTCTCACCCCCTTAGTATTTCGTTGAAATAGCTTACCTAGTTTGGCAATCAATATATTCTCTTTCTGCACTGAGATTCAAAGCCCTAACACTTTCTCGACCTCAGCTCTCTGCAAAGATTCTGATAAATTAGATCAGTAATTCAATCAGGCCGGACACTGTAAGATTCAATGAGGGCTATTGTTAGAATCTGAAAGGTGGCTGTTTATATAGTGTCACTACCTTAGTATTCGCTTATCTAGTTGACAATGAGATTCTATTCTTTCTAGCTTCGAAGCCCTAACAGTTTTAGATTCCAAGTCATGGCAATGAAAGTCAAAAAACCCCTAAAACTTACAGCAGTGATAATACTAGAGTGGAAGTAAGGTTAGAACAGGTGAAAGATTAGAACAGAGTGTGAGGTTAGAGCAGGTGTAATAGTAGAGCACCTGTTCCAATCTTTCACTTGCTCTATCTAACCTTACACCTTGCTCTCAACTTACCCCGGCTGTAAGTCTGGGAGTAGAGGTTTCTTATTATGTATTTGCGACGTAGATTCGGGCACCGACATGGAGGTCGGAGGAAGATGCGGCGCAGATCGCTCCGGAGCAGCTCAAGCGATACAAGGAGAATTTGAACGTCGAACGTGCATGCAGCGGCTCTCAGACGAGGAAGATCATCGCGATCAAAAAGCAGCCGCGACAACAGTAAAGGACAACAGCCTATAATCTATAATCGGCAAAGAGTGACTGAGCTTTGGTGTACTTATGTCTAGTTAATTTCCTTTATCCCAAAGTCCTGTGTGAAGGATAAAAATTAGAATAATTGATAGAGCTGACCAGTGAGATTATATGACTATTTCAACTGTTGCTCTCGATAAAAATCCATTCTACTTTACAAGAGACTTCTAAACTAATCCAAATCCCAACGCACGGGTTCAAGCAGGGGTATATGTAAAATCAGAGAGAAAGAAGAGACTGGGGAAAAAAGAGAATAAAAGAATATTGAATACATTACTTCAACTTCGTCACCTCACGCAGCAGTTCACCTTCTTCATCGCGCTCCAAGTATTGCCACAAGTCTTTGATCACAAGAGGTATCTGCAAATCATCATTCTCTCAATGAGCCTTCCAGCAAGTTGTGGCACAGCCTGTGATACACTGCACCCGCATCATCAATCCATCAATGATGAGACACTTCTTTTGTTCATTTTGTTCAATGTCAATATACTTAATGCCATTCAGCATCAATAATGGCAGGATGATATCCAAGCTGCTCCTTGCTCATCCAGAGAAATTCAAGCACAGTGGTGACAAATCACTGTCCCTCTTTATTGATGTCAAAGTGCGCAGATGCAATCGCACCTAATTGATTGAATTCCTATAACTGCATAAGAGATCAGCAGAGTGTGAAGTCAAGAACAAAACAACAAGTCTCCTGACACAAAAGTACTTCTCTTGCATATCTTCCCAGATCAAGACCTGTCAATGAAGGTTTATCATATCCGCAGTTGTTCTTCAGTTCTTCTGGTATAAGAATCTGCTGCTAGTGATACTTAACAGCTTTATCAGCAGCTAGATCATTCACAATGCTGATATTGAGCTTACTTTTCACTGTGGAGCCTAATAGAGGTCGATGAGGCTATACCAATAACCTTCATTGAATGTTGAAGGTCGGAAACAACTCCTCAGCATAGCCTGTGAACAGAGTTTATCATTTTGGGTAAGCTATTTCAAGACATCTTGCTCATTTGCATCCTCAGGCCATTCCTTCCAGCCATCCTTCTTGTGGTATTGCGGAGTATCGCCCTGCGTGCAGTTCTTAAGAACTGTATCAGCAATGTGCTCAAGATCTGTCACCTCTCCAAAGAAGGCTTTGTAGAACCCAGGGATATCAATGAACTATCTGTCCTATATCCTGTTTTAGCACACGCCTCTCGAATAACGAGCTGTGACAGTATGCGGTAACTAGTCTTCATAACTGAAGTCTTCCTGCCGGACACATTTAAAGAGGGAAAAGATGTTCGAAGCCAGATCGCGATTGCCTATTTGAGAGGAAAGATTGAAAGCCGATTCTTGCAACGATCAAAGTGCCAAGAAAGCTTGATATATTGCCTTCTGACAAACTGAGTTAGGAATATCGACAGAACCATCATAGGAGGTTAGATGCGGGCTGTAAGAATGCTCTGCATCTTCAAGAATATCTCATAGAGGATCTAGAGAGCTTATAAAAAGGTGTTTTGCAATGATATCGCAATCGATTTGAGTAAGATTCGCCATTTTCAGAACCTAGGGGCAGTTTAACTGCAAAGCGATGTTGCTTTGAAATATAACAAGATTAGCTATTCAACTAACTGGTGGTTACATACTAACACAGGTTATAACGCCACCAAGGACCCCCCCGTATAACCACGAGTTATTTAGTTAAACGTAATGAGAACAATATTTATTTGGAAATAATACACTGTTCCCGAATCCATGCATTCTGCAGACTTGATAGCCTATTATTAATATCAGCCCAGCAAGCAATTGGGCTTGTCTGAAAGCTCAAGTCCCACTCCCATATCAATATCCATGCGCTAACCGGCCTGATAATAAAGCTCCCGGCTTTCAAGAAGGACGAAAAGCGGTGAGACAGAGCCAATGAAGCTCTCCACTGCTTGGTTGGAGATCTCTCGATGACTCGATTATTGGAGCTGCCATAGCCTATAGTTCCTCTGGAGTTGTTAGGGCTTGACGTATTTATATAGTTATAGGTCCTGGGCGGTGACAACTAGGCTTGTGTGGGTGTGGGGGGAACCATCATTCTCATCTCGAGACGCGAGACTTGGACAACAGCTTCGTGGCCGTCTTCAACGTTCTCAAAACAGCCATATCGCTAGGATGAATTGCACTTAATATAGGGAGTATATATCTCGCGCAAACATCTCCCCCTCCACTGACTAATATAGTTTAACTGCAGTCCGATTACCAACACAAGCGCAGCGGTTATCAACCATCGCCTTTCTTGCTTTTAGCTGGGCGGTTCGGTTGGGATAGCATGATCCAACGGCTCCAAGATTCCTTGCCGGCGAACCCACAGCTCAGAGTTCCTGGATGAGATTTGTGGCATCCCGCGGTGCCTTTGAGTGGCGGATGGATGTGGGTACATTTCTAACTCCATTTTTCTAGTTTTCCCATATCTGGGTCGGTCCAGGGCGAACATGGAACCGAACCGGTTCATCACGTACGTCAGTCGAAGCGTAGTAAGGATGAGTACGAGCCAGCGCACTGTAAAATAAAATAGATAAAGCCTTTTCTATCTTTCGTAACTTAGTTGATTGTACTTCCTTTTTATTGAAAGTGAAAAGCAACAGCAAAAGCAAAAGTATTGATTGCCTGTTGTTGTACTACTCCCCCCTTTATCAAACCAGACAACGCATATCTTCTCGCATCTATACCAAGCATAGCCGTGTTGGAGACGAAGCAGCAACAACTACTCCTTGCTGCACAGGTCGTGGGATATTTAATTTAATTCCCAAGTAAATTGTCTGGTTCTTGGATCTATCAGATCTCGTGGTATAATATGTGAGAACCTTTGCCTGCCAATCGCATATCTGAATATCTCATCCTGCTCTCCTCTTCTTCCCCTCAACATGCTCCCCCAATTCCCCGACATGAATTCAATCCCCTTCTTTGATAAGTGCCTCCCCTCCTAAAAAAAGACACGAATAAGAAACTAACAACTCTTGTCTGATGGTCATCCGACAGACCAATCCGGGGGAGACGTTCTAGACCTGTCGTGCCGCGTGCTCCTTCACAGCTGCGATCCAGTCCGGTCCAGCCCCAGTCCAATCCAGTTTCAAAGAAAGTCAGGTCTGCTGGACGCCTTGCCTCTTCATCGTCGTAAGCAAAGCCTACAGTGCAGCTTTGCTCGAGGATCAGGGCCGGCGTAGATAGGTATCGCGAAAACACACAGGCGTATAAAAACAGGGACTGAAATACCCCCCCTCTTCCCCCCCCCGCCCTTCTTACTCCCATCATGACTTCACTCCCATATCGTCGCCCTTCGCGCCAGATGTCCAGGCAAGCTTCCATGGATCCCCGAAACGAGATCTCCCCGCAGATGGACCACTATATCGGCATCGATGTCGGCACCGGTAGCGCTAGGGCCTGCATTATCGATAACAAGGGCGACATTGTGGGCTTGGCTTCGGAAAATATTGGCTTGTGGCAACCACAACAGGGGTACTATGTAGGTCGTTTGATTCCTTTGTTAGATACCTCAGATCTATATTTACTTATATATATAATTCCCCCTTTTCCATGTTATTCTATATGTGTAATCGAATGCTAACAAAATTCATCCAGGAGCAATCTACAACTGATATCTGGCGCTGCATCTGTATCTCAGTGCAGCGCGCTATAAGCCAACACAATATCAACCCAGCCTCAATCCGCGGCATTGGTTTTGATGCCACCTGCTCTCTAGCAGTGTTTTCCCATGATGATGACGAACCCGTATCCGTCACAGGCCCCAACTTCGACACAGACCGCAATATCATTCTCTGGCTCGACCATCGCCCAGTCAAAGAGACTGAGAAAATCAATGCCACCGGTCACAACCTGCTCCGCTATGTCGGGGGTAAGATGTCCATTGAAATGGAGATCCCCAAGGTACTGTGGCTCAAGAATAACATGCCAAAGGAGCTCTTCGACCGTTGTAAATTCTACGATTTGACGGACGCCTTGACACATCTAGCTACAGGCAACGAGAAGAGGAGCTTCTGTAGCGTTGTCTGTAAGCAGGGATATGTCCCTGTGGGCGTTGACGGAAGCGTCAAGGGGTGGCAACCTGATTTTCTGAATGAGATTGGTTTGGAGGAGTTGACTGAGGATAACTTCAAGCGCATTGGGGGTGTCAATGGCCAGGTTAGTTTGTATACCTCATCTCCAACGACTTAATAACATCTCCTACATGATATACTGAAATCAAAGATGTATAACTAATCGCACAATACAGAATGGAGAATACCTCTCTGCTGGAGAACTCGTCGGCACTCTCTGTGACAAAGCAGCCTCAGAGCTGGGCTTGCCCGCTGGAATCGCTGTAGGAAGCGGTGTCATTGACGCATATGCGGGCTGGATCGGCACCGTTGGTGCCAAAGTTCAGCTTGGGTCTGACCAGCTGAGCTCCGATGCAGCCAAAAACGATAGATCGCAAGCTTTTAGCCGCCTTGCTGCGGTTGCGGGCACATCAACCTGCCATCTCGCCATGTCACCAAACCCAGTCTTCGTCCCTGGTGTCTGGGGCCCGTACCGTGACACCATCATCCCAGGATTTTGGATGGCCGAAGGCGGCCAATCCGCCACAGGTGAACTGCTCAAACATGTCATCGAAACACATCCTGCCTTCAACCAAGCGCTCTCCGTCTCCGAATCCTATCACACAAACATCTACGATTATCTCAACGAGCATCTCAAGGAGATGGTCGCGGACAGCCAAGCACCCTCAATCTCCTATCTGGGCCGCCACTTCTTCTTCTACGGCGACCTCTTTGGCAACCGCTCTCCAATCGCCGACCCCACCATGTCCGGCTCCGTCATCGGCCTCTCAAGCGATAAATCCGTCAGCGGCCTCGCGCTGTACTACTACGCAACCCTCGAATTCATCGCGCTGCAAACAAAGCAAATCATCGAAACGATGAACAAAGCCGGCCACAGCATCACCTCGATCTTCATGTCCGGCTCCCAATGCCAGAACGACATCCTGATGAAACTGATCGCGTCAGCGTGCGGGATGCCCGTGCTTATCCCCCGCTACGTCCATGCCGCTGTGTGTCATGGGGCGGCGATGTTGGGCGCCAAAGCGGCCAGTGCAGATGAGAATGGCAAGACGGAGGATTTGTGGGATATCATGGACCGGATGAGCAAGCCGGGGAAGATGGTGAAACCGAGCACGGATGAGTATGAGAAGAAGCTGCTGGAGGTGAAGTACAAGGTGTTTTTGGAGCAGTGTTATAAGCAGCAAGAGTATAGAAAGGATGTGGATGCGGTTATTGAGGGGTGGGGGAAGAATTGAGTGGGTATTTCCATCAGGGGGAGTTTGATAGAGGTGGGTTTCTGAGTGGAGAAAGGAGGGGAACGGAAGAGTTAGTTGAAGTGACGGTGGTAAGTAATTTCAATTTTTAGACAGGATGCCCAATAGGGTCTTCCTCTTTTTCTTTCCATACACCCTTTATCCAGAATGATTCAAAAAGTTAATGGCTGTGGTCGATTTCCACACCTTTCATATATCTCCATTTTCATGCGCCTTGTGATGTCCTGTTTGGCTTTGTTTCTTTCTCCCCTCTTTCCGTCCCTTTCCATGCATGCATGCTACCTTGAGTCTCTTTTATATTGAAAGAAATCTAGAAAATAACCCCTTCAATCGAAGAAGACAGAGGGGCTAGATCGTTAATAACTACTGCTTTACTATAATACTATAATACAGAAAGCAAGTTTGCTGATAGATATTCATTGCCAAAGCCAATTCATTCTAATGGCAGAGCCGTCAATGAAATGGAGCCAAAATAAAACCAATAGGAAAATACATAAGTATATATTTCATATTCACTCCCTCTTCCTTTCCTTCTCCTGTCTCCCTTGCTACCACTCCACGTCTCATGCCAGGATTGTTTTTAATTTATGAAGCTAGAACCAAACAAGAAAAAGGGGGGAAAACGGCCGGGATAGGGTATACAGATGATGACCAGGAAAAAAACAGCCGCAACACAGGAGAGAATCAGAACCTCATGTATGTGATACATACGTGTACAGAAGCAACAGAGACAACAGACGTGAAAAGCTGAAAAAAAAAAAAAAAAAAAAAAAGAGCAAGCAGGCCCCAAGGTATCAGGAGATGACGTAGATACAATATTTCAGCTATCAAAACGATGCCCAATAACTGTATCACTCGCAAGATCCATGACTGTCATAACATGGCACAATCGCCGCATATTAATAATAATAAAATAAATCACACCTTTACCTACCCATTTCAGTCATTAACCCAAAATCTTCTACCTCCCCATATTCCTAGTCGGTAAAAGCCAGTCATCAGAGCCCCTTTCGAGAAAGACAGAGGCGAATCTTGAAGGATAGCATCGTTAATAAGCCCTTCCTCCCTTCCCCCTGCCCACCGTCCGAAACACAGCACTCTGCCCCATTGCCAAGCTATCAACGGGATCAACGCGCATGGCGTTTATATCGTTAAAGGCAGAGAGATAGAAGCCGGCAATCACAAACAGGTATGTGAGGACCAGGATGGAACCTTTGAAGTAGTTACTCTTTCCCTCGCCGTACATGTATGATAGAAGGAAGACGCAGAGGATGACGGTGATCATGTCCCATTGCGGGAATATGAGACTGTGTTTAAATAACAAAGGGGGTTAGTGCTTTTGTCTCACCTTAAGAAAAAAATACCGCCAAGTGAATGGATAGAACGTACTTGAAAGAGTGCTGTAGGAGCTCCTTTGGGTCTATGAATTGGGCGTATATGGCGCTGAATAACACCACTGCGGGTATCTGCAGAAGGCACACTTGGAGGGCATATGCGGAACCGATCTCCATCGATAGAGCTATGTTTCCGTTCATGGCGAATGATATGGCATTCTTTTGACAAAGATATTAGAGGTTTTTGCTTCTCCACTCCATTTCAACACAAATACCATAGAAAAAAATAGAAAGAGAAAGAGAATCACATACCAAGAACTCCGTAGTATTCGGGACCAGCGCAAAGAGTGTAATACCCAGAAATTTCTCATCGATATCAAAGTTGTCCAGCACACTATCAACTGTATTTACCAATATCTCAGCGATGACCGCGTATAGCAACGTGGCGCCTAGAAGAATGACAGAGCTCTTCAACTTGCTCCAATTTGGCGCGTCGTGGCCACCCACAGAAACGTGTGCTTCAGCAAACAGCCCGGCTTCCTCCCCATCTTCAGGGACGAGTACGCCGGATCCGCCAACGGGTTTGTTCAGGGCATGCTCAGAGGTGTGAGAGACAATTGGTGGTCTTCTTGGTCGGGCTGAAACATCATGGACTGCCACAGCAGCGGCAGTGGCAGCTACCTCCGCGACCTTACGGACAAAGATTTCATTCTGTTCTTCCGATAGGCCAGGTAGGGACATGGTTGCACCTATGGTATCATGGTTCTTGGGAGGAATACAGCGAGGAGTAATATTTTCGTTTCCGGATTGGTTTGGACGTTGCTCCGAATTACCCTCGTTCGATCTCGGTGCCAGGCCAACATATTTCAATGACTGACCCAGAATGCGAGTGTACAGCGGAGAATCTCGAACAGATCCCCTTCGATGATGAGTACTTCCATGACCTTCCTGTTGCCCGTTAGCGGACGTAGGCTGTTTGGACTTTCCGATGGAGCCACTGGATTCTTGTGGCACGAGATGTGGGGTATGTGGGTGCGTTGCCATGTGTAGAGCCTTTTTCTCCTCGGGCTCGCTAGCCCAGATAACAGCAGCATGGGTCCTCAAAGTAAACCAGAGCCCGATTACGTAGGACAAGAAAAGCAGAACGGCAGCAAACCAGGAGTACGGCTGCACAGCCTGAAGGAAAAATTTGTCATGGATCTCAGGTATTTCTGAGAAGTAGCACCGGCGGCAGTCCCTTTCTCCCCCCAAGCCAGTAGTGGTACAGGACATGCACTTTAATTCATGCTATTCATAAAATGGGTAAGCGCTAAGCAATGGTGGAATGCGCGACGTGGCAGTGGAAAAGAAATACTTACAGTCCCATAAACTTGATAAAAAAGGGTAGGGCCAAATGCAGCGATAACAGCGAATAGTAGCATTGTCGACGTAACTCCGGCAGATTTAACATTGAACCGTTGGGTTTTGCGTCTAATGGCACCAAAACACATTGACAGTCCAGGAAGAAAGAGGATACCCGTGAAAATACTCCCAATAATACTCCCTTCCACGAGCTGGGCTTTGCCTTCTGTCAGAGCAATGCAATAAAGATATACCTCGACCACAGTCGAAAAGAAGGCATTCACAGCAGCACCTAATCCCATTGATGATTGAGCTGAAATGGATGCAACAGCTTGCCCGATGAAATATGCCAGAGGGATGATGGAGACTAGGGCCAACGAAAATATCAAGCCCGGATGAGTTATCCCTGATTTTACGTTCAGCATCCTGTGCAGAACGTAATAATCTAGAATAGTGAACAGGACGATGGCAAGAAGGTTAATGAAGAAGATATTGGTTCCATCAATGGTATATTTCCAATACTTATAGCCGGCGGCGCGGTAGGTACAAAGTAATATCGAAGAAGAGGGTCGAGATGGAGACCGAGTGTAGGTTGAATCTGAATGGAATGAGAGTGCTAGAGGGTGGCGTCGAAGATGGTAGAATAAAATGAGAGTGACTCTGCCCATAGGGATCCAGAAAACCATCATCCAGCAGACAAGGGACACAAGAAGCATCAACGGACCGACCACGAAGTAGAACCAAGTATAAAATATGACTCTTCCAACAGTCCACTCTCCGCGACCGAAAAAGCGCCTTTTGTTCCTTGAAGAACTTTCATCCTGGGATCCTCTCCCTGTCCTTCCCAGGAGGCTATCATGTTCACTAGCTGAGTCAAGGCTGTTTCTGCGGCGTCCTACCAAAGATCTGCCAGGAACGGGGCCAAAGAAAAGTCTTCCATGTTCAAGGTCACCGCTCTGCCATTGCTCATACTCGCTGATACTCCGACCTTCACCTTCATCTTCGTCTGCGTAGTTCTCATCGGATTCGAGTCGGACAAAGGATCCAAAGGGGTAGAGAAGATAAAGAGACAGGTGGGAAAACACTTTCCCATAAGCCCGAGCATCAGGCGAAAAACCAAAGAGGAAGCAGGCGGCGGCGCCAAGAAGGCTAGCCAGTGCCAGCCACCAACCGAAAATGATGGACCATAGAAAATTGGTCAGGGAGAGCCAATTGCTAACTCGCTCTCCAGGCACTGAATGGATATCTCCCTCTGCAGTCTTTTCAACAGACCGGAACTTTTTGTAAAGAGCAGGTTTCCAAATCCTTATACCAAACGGATGGGTCTCATTGATGGCTTGTTGACGGTCCTTGAGCGTGAAGCTTTCCGCATCACTCACATCGCTACGAGAATCGTCATCACCGTCAACGCTCATGTTGAGCGCAGAGTGTTCTCCCCGACCACCTAGGCGTCCACTGGATTCAGCCGGTGATATATCATCGGAACCTTCATCCCTCGAATCAACACGCTGGAGAACAGATTGCTGTATATGAGGACCCCTTCGACGTAGTGACGCAGTCGACCTCCCGGAGGCGTGTCTATAAAGGGCATTGTCTTCCTCATATTCCCTTGGGTCATCATCTACCGAAAATTCCTGGCCTCTATATGGTTTGGTAGAGGTTCTGCGTAGGGTTGGGGGCTTTTTGGGTGTTCGATCCGACGATTGCGCCGCGGTGGGAGGAGCTCGGATAGGCTCGTATGTCGTTAGAGGGGTCTCTTCAGGACGAGATTCGAGACCACTAGTATCTTGCGAGTCGATTGTCCCTGAGAGTATCTTAGCTATTGAAATGAAGTTTTTTTAAGTATATTAATAATTTCTGAACAGTTTTCTAACCATAGGTTGTCCTGGACTGCGGTTCCACCGGCCTAGCGCCTCCCCGCGGGGTAGCTGGTGACGCCTGAGAAGCTTGCCTTATTGGGATAATGGGAATACTCGTTGACGACGTTGACGACGATGACGACGAGGTTGGCGTAGACCGTGGCTGATCCTGAGGACCTTGGCCATCGGGGGACGCCATGGTGTTGAAAAGATGGAGCGAGAATCACCGGTCTGTTTTGGGGCAATTGGGAGAGCTCTGGCAGCGCAGGAAAGGGCTTTTCCAAGAGTGATTGCGGCGAAACTTCATATCAGGGTGAAAGTGAACTATCGATGAACAATATATTACTCTAGCTTATTTTTGTAGCAGTGAATAATCAAAGCTGAGATATAACATGGGCTAGCTAAAGCTCTTAAAACGAAGCTATCTGGGTGTAGTCCGGGGGTTTAACCAGTCCGGCAGGAACGGAGGCCACAAACCTCCTCACCAGCACAGGAGGAAGATTGCTGGTGATCTAGTTAGCAGCGGAATCGGCGGAGATATCAGACCAAGTCCGTTGGCTGCTGGTCAAGTCATCTGCAGTTGTTGACTTGATTCAAGATGTAAATAAGAGAGCTTAAAACAGAGCCGCCTGACCGCTGCCAAACACAGCAAACGCAGCAAACAGGGCAAAACGCGATGATGACTAACACGCTAACTGTTTAACCCCAAAGCTTCAGTCGCCTTCGCAGCAATGAGAACAGAGAGAAACAAACGGCAGACAGTGACGATACACCATAGCTACCTAATAGCTAGGAGCCATCATCCTATTCTGCTTCCATACATATCTGTTCGTCCGATACCAGTTCAAACCCCTCACCACAGCTGGGTTTCCGTATCCCTCCTATTGCCACGTTAATCTACCGAAATCCCCATCAGGAGCAATCCAAACCCGCAACCTCTCTACTTCCAATTCCCGCCTCCAACCCTAGATCCATACACAACCATGGCGCTCGATACTTACTTTCGCAACAAGATAGAGAGCATGAAGCTCGAAATAATCCAGGGGCAAGCTGTCCTGAGGCGACTTGAAGCACAGCGGAACGACTACAACTCGAGAGTAAGGCTGCTACGGGAAGAGCTAGGCCTGCTACAACAACCGGGATCTTACGTCGGTGAAGTGGTCAAGGTTATGGGTACTAAGAAAGTGCTGGTCAAGGTGCATCCAGAAGGGAAGTATGGTAAGTTTTGACCCATTCAAGCTGGAATAGAATCGCCAGAACACAGCTAATGATATTGTCCAGTTGTCGATATCGCGGATAATGTCGATATCTCCAAGCTCACAGTAGGGAAGCGAGTGTCACTTCTCTCAGATTCATACAAGCTCGAAAAGATGCTTCCATCATCAGTTGACCCCCTCGTCTCTCTCATGATGGTCGAGAAAGTCCCTGACAGTACCTACGATATGATCGGTGGCCTGGACCAACAAATCAAAGAAATCAAAGAAGTCATCGAGCTCGGCCTCAATCACCCAGAACTCTTCGAGTCGCTAGGCATTGCGCAGCCAAAGGGCGTGCTCTTATATGGGCCCCCAGGTACCGGAAAAACTCTACTTGCACGAGCAGTGGCACATCACGCGGATTGCAAATTCATTCGGGTGAGTGGTTCGGAGTTGGTACAGAAGTATATCGGCGAAGGCAGCAGAATGGTCCGAGAGTTGTTCATTATGGCTCGCGAGCATGCTCCTAGTATCATTTTCATGGACGAGATCGACAGTATCGGGTCCAGTCGTGTGGAAGGCAGCAGTGGAGGAGACTCTGAGGTCCAACGCACCATGTTAGAACTCCTGAATCAACTGGACGGGTTCGAACCTACGAAGAACATTAAAATAATTATGGCTACCAATCGTCTTGATATCCTCGACCCCGCGCTCCTTCGACCTGGGAGAATCGACAGAAAGATTGAATTCCCACCACCCACGTATGTTTCACACTGTACTCTCCCCCCATGTAGATACCCACAACTAACCCTCCGATTCAACTGCAGTGTCGAAGCTCGCGCAGACATCCTACGCATCCACTCCAGATCTATGAACCTAACTCGCGGCATCAACCTAACGAAAATCGCCGAGAAGATGAACGGCTGCTCCGGCGCCGAGCTCAAGGGCGTCTGTACGGAGGCTGGCATGTACGCCTTGCGTGAGCGCCGTGTACATGTTACGCAGGAGGATTTCGACCTGGCGACGGCCAAGGTTCTCAACAAGCACGACGACAAGGAGATTAGTTTACAGAAATTCTTCAAGTAAAACAACGGAGATGCGGTAGTTTAGCGTGGCAAATATTACCTTTTTGGAGTTGGTGGGAGGTAAACCAGGACGACGGAGTCGGGAGGAGATCATGCATGGCATTTTGTCACCTGTGGCTAGCTTCCCGAAAGGGAAGTATTAAGAAACAATGGCGGAATCCGGCTTTCTCCATGCCCTTGTCCCGCCTGGCTTGAGTCAGTGTCCTTACGCCAACCGAGCTATGATATGGAGGATGTGGATCATTCACGGAACGGGAGTCGGAATTTTACACCTGACATGGATTCACACGCCCAGTGGGTAACCTACACCAAATTCCTTTTAAACTCCTTTTTCGCCGTCCTCAGTATTTCTTCCACCTTGCTGCGTCCATGTTCATTTCTATTCCCATCGTGTTCCCCGTCCTTTTGGGCATGATTCTGTATAACTATATAGCGCGTGTAAGTACCTAGATGTGGTAACGTAGGCAAAACATGTAGTGTTGTCTAATTGGGACTATTTTTTAACCTCTAATTTCGAAGTCATGAAGAGAGGGGGTCTTCATTGAACAGTAATGCTGTTCATCATATAGTTAACTCTTATGTTTTGAACAATGTAACATTACATGTCCTGTACATGTACATTTGCATGTAGGTGCACTTATATAGTTAGTAAGAGCTCTTGACGCTGCATCAGCAACATCATATCATCTTGTATATCTACTTTAGCAGTGTACATTGAGGAAGAGAGGCTGAGATAACGTCAAACAGCCTTTTTTCCTTTCGCTGCTTCTCCGCTTGATGTGTATCTATGATAGACCGTCAGTCCAGTCTAGAGGTTATCATCCAGAGTCAGACCGGCCGGCCATGCAAAACTCCGCTTTTATATGCTTTTATCGGTCGAAAAGCACATTTGGAGAGTCTCTTCAGAGTAACTTCAGATGATCCATGCCGGATATTAAACCTTGTGGTCTTATTCTTATTTTTAGTGTTATCTATCCATCTTTGACCGTTCGGGAAATGCGCTCTTCCACGTTGAGTGTTCGATGGGTAGCAAATGTGGAGTGACATCAGTTCTTATTTACTTATTTACTCTATTAATAACCCTTGAGAGAGAGAAGGATGAATGTAGAACATCAGATTGTCAGGTCATATGATCTTTCTCTCTCTCTCTTCTGTTCTCTCTCTCTTTTTCTTCTGTTATTACTGAATATGCTGATGACATATTGGTCTGTATCAGTTACTTGTTATTCTGATGATATCTAGAAAAAAAGAAAAAAAAGAAAAAGAAAGAAAAAGAAAGCTGTCAACAAATGCTTGGCAATAGAGCTTCTTTCCGGTCAAGCTCATCAACCTCAGCCTCAACTTCCTCAATACATTACTATTGCCAGCGAATGTGATTGCGACAGGAAATCACAAATATTCAATTAGCCTCAACAGCTCGAAGTATTATATGGTATGATATCCCAATAGATACATATCTCTACATACACTGCACACAGGCAGTCCCACACAACCTAGCAATGCACCTCCCATCATCCCTCTCCCTCCTCTCCCTCCTCTCGCTCTCCGCCCTCTCCTCCGCTTCCGCCTCCGACTCCGCCGCACCCCTATCCGCCGATATCTTCTACTGGCCGCTCTCCTCCACCTCCTCCAAGCCCTTACCACTGGCGCAAATCTCCTACGACCCCTCCACCCTCCAATCCACAATCAACTCCTACACCCCTCCTCCCCAACCCCTAAACGACGCCGGCGACAAGAACATCGACAAACAAGCAGACCTCCTCCGCATCGGCCTATACGCCAATCCCGACGATAACAAAAGCAATGACCCAAACAAACAATGGGTGGGAACCCTCTCGTCCCTCGCCCTCTTCACGAACACCCCGCAAACCCTAACCCTCCACCTCGATCAAAACAATCACGTCTACCACGCCGCCATCTCTTCTTTCGCATCGCCTCCGGCGCCCAGTCCGGACTCTAAGACAACGAAGAAGAGCAAGTCTTCCTCTTCGCCGGGAACGGGAAATGGGGAGGAAGCTGGAGCGGGTCCTCTCAGGGTCGAGTTCGTCCGCTCAACCCCCAGCCCCCGCCCGCATCTCAATCGCCCCGTCGTATTGAGTCCGGACGGCACTGCGCCTGAGGAAGTTGTCGAGAAGTCCTTGTTCCAGAAGTAAGTACTGCACATACATATGATCCGTTCTGTTAATCTTCATGTGTGTGTGTGCATTTTTGTTTAATGTTAGATAACATTGGATATTGCTTTACTAATTTCTCTCGTCGTGTCCAATTTAAAATAGATACTGGTGGGTTCTCGGGATTATTGGTTTCTTGGCACTTACGGGAAGTGCAGAGGGGAGTTAGAGAGAGGACAATTGCCGATTGGATTTTAATGGATGGATGGGATGATCCACTGTGACAGTATTTTCCATATAACATACGGAGTACATATATGAACACTGTGGTTGTACAGTTCGATCATGCTTCTAATAGATAAATATGGATTTTCTGGTTGCGTATCTCGGCAAAGAATCTTGAAAACTCCGCACACCCATAATCTGCGTTTACTGTTCTTTCTTCTAAATATGCATAGCGTAATTTACAGATTCTCGGATCTACGCTCTCTCGAGATATACATATATCGGCATGCGATGTTGCACTGAAAACGAACACGCTTCGTGAAGAATGTCATCCTTACCAGGCTCCAACAATCAACTTCGTGAAAAAATTGACTTGATAAACGGCCTAAATCCTGGAAAACAGCGCAAATTAAAATTTAAAAATTTAAAAAAAGGCGCAAACGCAGCAATCCTTCGCCTTTTTCCAAGTTTCCGCTCATCCTCAAGTACCAACGTATGACGCCCCGTTCCATTTCAGGGGCATTATTGCACATCCATCTCATTATCGGTATCATCATCTTGCATCTCCTCATCCCTTTCGTCACCCATCTCATCCTCATTCTCCGCCTCTCCATCACCTTCATACAGAAAGATCCCCTCCTCATCCATATCCACGTCGGATCCCGGCCCCTCCCTCTTCCTCCTCTTCGCCCTCTTCCCGTCCTCACCCTCTTCGTCGCTGTCCTCCTCATTCCCCACAGCACCATTCGGAATCTTCAAAACAACCCCTTCCTTCCTCCCCACTGCCCCCGCCCTAATTTCCCACCTCATAACCCCGCGATCTGTCAATGAAACAATCTCGTCCTCCGTCTCCCCGAACCGCAACCTGAAACACACGGCCTCGCTCTCCAACACCACGGGCTCTAACAACACCGCACCCGTGACCCCGACATCAATCATGCTCTCAGGGTACACACCATCCGCATTCCGCTCAATAATCGCCCGCGGATCCAAAGGCCACACCGTAATGGTCTTCCAATTCGCAATCGCCAGACGCGTCGCACGTGGTGATGTTGCCACGATTCCCGGCAACGAGTTCATGCTTGTGCTATACCCGGCCAGCCGCGCAACGACGCGCCAGTTGTCAAAGCGCCGGCCACGGTCGAGGTTCTCGATGTGCAAGCAGTGGGAGGCGCGGCATTGCGCTTCTGACATGAGGATGCATGCGACGAGTTCGCCGTGTTTGTCTATCGCGGTGCCGAGGGCTAGGTATTTCCAGTGGCAGAGCTCACGGGTCGGGTCGTGGGAGCGCGTCTCATGCGTGCTGAAGAAGGGGATGGCGATGGTGAATTTTAGGTCGTCTTCTTGCACGTCGTCGATGTTGGTGTCGTAGTATTTTACCCAGCACGAGTTACGGAGGAAGCCGCTTGTGTTTGTCATGCTGCCGGCTTCCACCTCGATGCGTTGGAAGTGGCCGTATATGGTTGAGGAAGGGTGGTAGTAGAGTAGCTGGGTGGCGTTGTCGTTGAAGGCCATTTGAATTATGGGTTCGATACGCCCTACGTTTCGCGGCCGTTGGTAGCGGTTGTCGTAGGGCATGGTTCCATCTTCGTCGATGATTATATTGTCGTTGTAGACTTGGTCTGCGAAAGATATGTTAATGATTTACCTGTAAAAAAAAAAAAAAAAAAGAGGATTTATAAAAGGGGGGTGGGTCGACCCCTCCAAAATTTCATCTTTAAGCACTTACATGCGAGTTCCATGTCCTCTGCAGTCTCATCTCCATGCGTTGCATGGAGAATAATCATGCGCCTGTCAAGATCCTGCTTGTGCTGCCATGATATAGCCACCAAGTGCTGATCATCTACAGCAATCGCCAACGGGCGATACTCATCTTGACCCGGAAACGCAGAAATCGTCACGCGCGAATATCTCGACCCCGGCTTGCTGCGATGGTAATGCACGAGCTGCGTGCTTTCTTCCTGGTACGGCCTCATCGCCTCCTCTTCAAAGGGGTGTTTATATCTTGTCGTCTTCCCATCCCCATTGCCCGTTCGATTTTCGGCAACCCCCTGCGTCCCCTTCTCTCCCTGCTTTGCCCCCGGAAAAGGCGTAAATCTCTGCAATACAGAAATCATATTCCCTTCTTCGCCAAAAATTACCTTAATCACCTCCACATTCCCTGGACATACGAAGATGGGCTCCAGCACACCCCGAGGTAGCATTTGACCCCCAGAAACAAAATACAGGAAAACCTTTGGTACACCCTTCTGCACTAACGCTACATTCGGATCTCTGTGGTTGGGCCCTATGGCAGATGCTAGGGTGTCAATTTTGGGAATGTCCTCACCAAACGTATATACGCTTTGGTTGGCGTGGAAATTGGCCCCGCGGAGCTGCTGGGCTGCTCGTCTCCGGAGCAGGAGGAAGAGCTCTGCTGTGCTTTTAGTAGCGAGGTCATTGCCGCTATTGCTACCACTACTGCTGGCGGTAACGTTGATGGTACTGAGGGTGCTGAGAGGAGAGGGCAGTTGGGACAGTTGGTACAAAAGCCCCTTCCGATAACTTGAGAGAACTGCAAAGAGCGTGTGGCAGGTGTAAGCTGCCTGGAGACAGTTGGTGACGGAGGAATAGTCGAAGATGGATTGTAAGAGTTCCGGGGGCAAGTTTAGAAGGTGCATTTTTAGCTTGCCTTGGTGCAATACAAGGTTGGGGACAATTCAGGGGGTGGTGCACAATACAAGGTGATAGAGGAGCTGATAATGTTGCTTTTCCACTTTTACAAAATGGAACAAACTGATAAGAGAGAAAAGAGGCATGAAAATCCAAGGGAAATATTTAAGAAGCTGGAGATGAATGAATAGAAAACAGAGCTAGCGGGTTGAGGAGACGGTAAGTGATTGTATTTCTTTTAAGGGCCGCAGTTCACTGGACTACTTGACCCCCTCTTGTCCGCTTACGCGCATGTAAATATAAACCTTGCGGAAAAAGGTCTGGGTGACTGGCAGATAGATACAGGAAATGAACAAGAAATACTTCACTCGGTCTGGCGGAGAATAGAAGCCCAGATATATAGACACAATCAGCAGCAACATGTGATGTACTGTTAACAGCCAACCAAATACGGGCTGGTGCCTGGTCGGAAGGGCCCCGGAAAAACCTTTACGCGCTGGACCCAATGAACGTGCTTGCCTTGACGAGATAACTACGGAGTACGCTGTACAGCCTGGCGACAGACATCATCTCTCCAAGGTCGAATATATCAATCCGGCGCCTACGTTCGCAGTCCCCGTATGCACGCCATTGGTGTGGAGGGAAATTGGGGGGGACGAGGAGGTGTTCTGGTGACGCTCTCCTGAAGTGTTCTCTCAAGGAACTCGAGATCGTGCGAGACGTGGAGACACGGGGCAGAAAGGCAAAATAATGCCTTCTGGAATACCCGGACGAACCATCCGTTCAAGTCGCACCTTTTTGAAACGTCAACCCATATCCAGATTGAAAAGAATCTTCCCATCTATCTCACCCCTATGAAGCTATTTATCGACTCTATCCTTCCTTCATCTACGTCAAGCGACCAACAACGTCTCTTTCTGACCTCTGTTTGGTCAAAACTACTACTACTCGTCAAATGACCTTTGTTCAGGCGCTCTTCAAGGCAATTGGGTTTGCTAGAACACATAGAGTGCTACTGGAACTCGATGTGAACCCTCGTCAACCTGCCCAAACAAATGGAATTCAGTGATTCCGCACGATCTCACAACTTTCATGAATTGCACAGTTCACCATCTCATATTTCAGGTCCTATCCTCAACCAGCAGCAATAACATAGAGAACAGCGATTTCGCTTCATAGGGTAGCTTATACAGCAGCGCTTTCTTACAATCTATTTTTTCTCCCTGGATTGAGGATGATGCCTGATCGGATTCTAAAAGTGCTCACAAATGGACCAGGATACCCATTGGATTAACAGAGGACATCATGAAGAAGCAATGGCTTGATTGAGCAGTGCTTCTGGAATGATAAATTGAATGATGAATGTTCCCAGTTGTGGAACCATGAAAAACCACTCGAGACTGCCTCCGAGCCAGAGAACGAGAGCAAACCGGAGCATAAACTCATGTTCCCTACATTTTCAAAACCGTCATGCCCGGAACCACAGATGGTTGATGCCGAATGCAACCTAGATGCTTTTCACTTCCCTTTGCGCCAAACCCGCGCCCAGCACCACGCAAGGCCGGTACAGAGCCGGACATGTTCTCATCTTGTTGAGCATGTTCACTAACCCATTCATCGCACCAACCATTGCAACAGCAGAAGAATAGCGGCAGCAGCGGAAGTAAACAAGGTACCTAAGCGCAACGCGCTACTTCTAAACTGCGAACATTGGGGCTGGGCTTCACGCTTCTTACCTGTCCCATTACTGGGTATCCAAAAAATGAGGATGAATAAACTAATCAAGCAGTAATAGGGCAAGTGTCACTGCTGCGCTCGACCCTGAGTCCTTGACATTAAGGCAAAAGTTATGGGAATGTCAAGGCTTCCTGCGCGTGGGATTAAAATTTTGTAACAGGAACCAGGGCACCAAAACAAGGCATTGGCAGTGTGAGCTTCCGCAGGCAAGCTCAACACCACACTACTATTTAAATCTCAGTGTATTCAAATAAAAACAATCAAAGAACAACTTTGAATCAGGGAATAAGCAAATATAAATGTGTCATGTAATTGGTATTTTTATTAACTTTATACGGAGAGTTCACTATGTATACTCCGTATATACGTGCATATCATACGATCATACGAGATATAGAAGATCTACACACCATACTCTAGCTTACCTACTCTAACAAAAATAATGTACAGTACATCACTGTTTTAATTTTTAAAAAACGAATACTGATACATAATATTTATATAAAAAACATAGCTTACGTTTTTAAATCGTTCATCATGATCATTTGCAGTCTGTTATTTATTGTTGTGACCTGGCTGCAGTCTCGAATAAGGCTCTCAGTAATCTCCAGGTACCTCAGCTCCTGAGGCTTCTTCCAATCCCACCCGCGCACATAAGAGAGTGCTTGCTCAACCCAATGTTGAAAATGTTCTTCTGACTCCTGCTCCTCATCTTTACCTTCTGATAGCCTTGAGAAGATAACTAGTTCCAAGGACACTGACCAAATCATGCTCAATTAGATTTTGATGCAGTAGAGCCAAAAGCCTGCAGATCAAGAAAATAAGATATGACTGTATCTTTGAGATCAGGGTTTTTTATTGCAAGTCAACAGACAAAACCACCTCTTGACAATCATCTAAGGAAAGGGGTAGAGTGGTATCAGATGTATATTGATTGAGCCATATCAAAATGCTAATCCCCCAGCATCTAACGCAACCACGGAATTTAGTGTGCATCCTTGAGATTCCTCCAGGTTGAAAGCTGTGAGAAGCAAGGAGTTTGCCCACTTCAGATAAATTAGAGTCCGGCACACCTCATTCAAATGTCTATTACTTGAATTAGTGACCGGTACTCAGAACCCCGAGAGGAAACCTATGCAGCGGACGATGAGGACGACAACGAGTGCGACGCCTGGGCTGATGACAGTTCGGATGTATCCAACCTGTCTCTTCCACAAAAATCCACCATTCCGACTTGAACTTTCAGCGATGAAAAGAGGATGGAGCTGGACCTTCATTCATGAGACTCGAATGGTGTATTTTTTGGGCCTTACTGCTACGATTAGCCAGCCCCACAAGTATGGTGACAAAGGGGGTCATAAGCCTTAACTGCCTCTGGAATTTGCGCTCTCTTGCAAGTTATGTGCCTATCAGAGACGTTCTAAATGCGTAAGTTTTGCTGAAATCCTTCTCTTCTGATATTGTAAGTCTACTATCAACTTTCCCATATCTGTAAGCTGATATTTTAAAGTATCCAGCTTCTATATAAGCTCTTATAAATACTTCTTAATATTATTAAAGGAGAAAATCAGATGAACAAAAAAACTTACAGAAAACTATTACCCAGCGAGGTATTTCATAAAAGAATGTTCCTTTAGATCTGCATTAACTCTCTGTGAGCATCTTTTGTACCTGCTTCTGCAGACTCTTCTCAAACTGTTCCACGCCATTATCCTGTCGATGCAGCTTCCCTCGCCTTAAAACGTACACATCGTGCCGCCCCAAATCGTCATCGTCTGGCTTCATAGTCATATTCGCATCTCTATCTTGCCCCGCCGCGTTTCGCTTCCCCTCAACAACGCCCCGGATCAAGTATCGACCGTGGGAAACGATGAGTATAGCACCATTGAAAGATGAAAGGTCTTCCACTAGTGCGATAACAGTGTAGAAATTAAGATGCGTGGTGATCTCATCCAGGACTAATAGGTGTGGCAGATTCCAGAGTATCCTGGCCAGTGCTAGGCGTACCCGTATAAACAAAGGTTTATGAGAAATAATCTGGTTTGGCACCAGGGCTGAGCTCGGAACTTGAAATGAAAGGAACATACTAACCAGCTGCCCTCCTGATAGCTGTGTGATAGGGACATCTGATGCGGTCCTTCCTGCCAGGCCTAGTGAACTCAATAATCCACGCACTTCACCCTCCCCAAGGCTCCTGTTAGCGTCCCAGGACAATAATGAAAGCGCAGTTAGCACCGGTTCAGTTCGACCAATTGCTTTGAGTTCATCCGTCGAGTGTTGCGAATAGTATCCGATAGTTGCTCTAGGATGGCGAGTCACAGTGCCCTGCGACTGTCGCATTGATCCCACAAGGACCTTGAGTAGGGTCGTTTTCCCACTCCCGTTTAGGCCTATGATTCCAACTCGGTCTCCCATGTGGATTACCAGGTCGATAACCATTAAGGATAAGGTCACCCCGGGGCTTGTAACGGAAATGGATAGATTCCAATGAGACTAGAGGTCCCGGGGATCTCAGTTGCTGTGGATTTGGAATACTAATCGACACCCCCTTTTCATCATGTGGAACATCTATTTCATCTCTCATGGAATCATGAAACCCCACGCGGTCACGATTCAGTTTAAATCTTGTCCCCTTGGCGCTCACCTGCACACCCATCCTTTCATCCACTTTCTTCTGGCGAGATTTCGCCATTCGAAGTTTGTTGTCAACGCCAGTCTTCTTGCCTAGTTTGATATTGTCCCGAATGGTCGCTTCCATGTGCGCGACTTGGCGATCCTGCGCTTCTTTCATACGGCCCCAGTAAAGTTTCTGAGCTCCTAAATCCTGCTCGTATGCCGAAAGATTTCCCCTGAAGTATGAAAGGGTCTGATCTTTCAGGACAATGGTTTCCTCGCACATATTGTTGAGGAAATCTCGATCATGAGACAGCACCACAGTCCTATCGTCATCTACTGTCCGTAAATGGGCGAGATAATTTTCCAGCCAGACGATTCCCAACAAATCGAGAAAATTGGTAGGTTCATCAAGAATCAAAATATCCGCTTTCTGGATCAAATTTCCGGCAAGCATGCAACGCATCCGCCAACCGCCAGAGAGTGACTCGAATGGCTACTCAAAGGAGGATTCTTTAAACACGAGGCCTAGAAGAACCCGACGACGTGCCTCTGCCTCAATATCTGTGATTTTCATCTGCGGATGGTCCGTAGTTAACATCACCTGCCAAAAATACTGGCCTTCTACAATCAACATACTGCTTCATATTGACATTGTAATCTGTCCAGGAGATCTACAGCTTCCTGTGTTTCTTCCTGAATTCCGGAAGGCTCGCTTGCTTCCCGATTCCGCTCTAGCCTGGCTTCTTCTGAGTCAATCTATTCCTTCATCTATTCATCATCATATAATAGAAAGATCCCAGGAGGCCACTACCCACGTACAAGGTTTCTAGCGGATTCAGCAACCTTATCTTCGACCGCTTTCAGATATTTCCTCGCCTGCATCCCTCGACTGCCACTTTTCAAACTTGCATTCTTTCGCGCAAGAAATAGATCCCGCTCGAGCTGTTCATGGCGAAGCTGTCGGATTGCGTTGCACGGGTTCCCACGGGTCTTCTGCCTCTTCCAAAGCATGCGACAGACAGTACTTTAATTTCAAAATGAAAGATACATTTTAAGCTCAAATTAGCGCTGTAGCCTACCAAATTGGAAGGGGATTCAATCAATCCCTGCGTGACTCTTTACGTAAAAATCGCGCACGGGTAGGTACATGAACATACCATTAATCTTCCTCTCCACATCACTTCTCAACCCATCACTTTGAATGACTGCTTGTAAAACAGTCTTTGTGCCATCGGCCCCCCCCCCCCCCCCGGCCCCCCCCCGCATGCGCCCCAGTTCTATCATGGTTGGTAGTTCCAAATGCGCCAGACTTAGCAGATACATCCTGACCACCATCCTCTCTATTTGCTAGAGGGCAGATATATCCGGATGGTATCCGGGATGCCAGGGATAAGTTTTTCAGCCATGGCAAGCAGAATCGCTTCGCGCATATAACCAGACCAAGGTCAGTCAATCATCAAGCCCCTCGGCTCCATTGGCATGTGGTGTGTGTATGTGTGTATGTGTGTATGTGGCCAGAAGAAGCGAACATGGGTGATGCCATACCATACATGTAAAGTATCTTGAAAGAAACAACACGGATGAAAAATATATATATATATATATATATATATATATTGTATTAAGAAAAACCACCAAACTACTAACTCGACTTGCCCGTCCGTCCCATTCCTCCCCACAAGCCCCCCCCATATAACAGACACAGACACCACGCTTCAGCCGCAAAGCAGCACCCGACAAAATATCTCAACCCCATCGCTCCTAGCCCCTGGACTTCCCCCCCCGGAGTCTAGCGGGCTCGTTAATAACCCTCCCAGCAGCACGCAGCACGCAGCACGCAGCCACACCGGGCGCGCGTGGCGGCCAGATGAAGCAATGATGGCGACAGCGAGGCCTTGGATGTCACCCTGTCAACCTGTCAACCTGTAGCTGTTGTGCACAGCAGTGTATGCATCATTAGCTGTCTATAGCTTATTTATATATATATACTTTGTGGTCTTGAGAGGGAGGTCAGTCAGTCATCGCCAGCATTTAATTAATTAAGTAGCTTGGGGGGGGTTGCTTGCCTCCCGTTGAATTGGAATCTTGGTCTTCGCGGACATGGAAGCGGGTCTGCGTGCAGGTGGCAATGGATAGTTGGGGTCATAGCTTGCGAGGCCATCTCGGGCGGGCGTCAGATTGCTGATATTTGGATGTCTTCGCAGCTGGTTATGGATGTATGTACATGTACAGTACACACTTACTATGAGAGGAAGATATCGAGGTGATCATGTGACTGGGCGGTTTTTATTCTATGTCTATGACAATACTAAATAAGACATTAATATATAATTATACAGAAATACTATCTAAAATGAAGATAATAATAATAATAATAATAAAACACGTAGTTATTTCACATTGAAGAACAGAAAAAAACATAGTAATATACACACTCGCTCTCTTCTTTAAATTCACCCGAGTTTTTCATCCTTTTATCTCTAGCTTACTACGTATATATATAAGCTTAACTCTTCCGAAGCCCAGTCTCCATTTCTATCACTTCCCAATCGGCTCTGCCCGTTTCACTTCCACTCCCACTCTGAACCGCCCCCTCGCCGTCCCCAATCCCAAGCTCCGTCTCATGCAGCGCAATCCACTCCAACACACTCTCATAACACAGCACAAGCTGCTTAAGACTCTGCACCATACTGAGTCTCTGTAACCTGAAATCCTCAACCGTAGCTGCGACCAGGTCGATATCATCGCGGCGGAGCCAATCTTCTCCACCAACGACACCACCACTGCTATTATTACCAGCACTATCGCCATCACCACCAGCAGCATGGCCCCCATCCGAGCCCTCCGCCTGTTTCTTCCGGTCCGCCAACGCCACCCGCCGCTGCCTCTTCAGCATATCCACAACACTATCGACGGTACAGTACGTCCCCGTCCGCCCGCAGCCAGCGCTGCAGTGGACCAATATCCGCCTCTGGCCCTCAGCCTCCGGGTCTAGCGTCGTCGTCTCCCCCGCCCCGCTACTACTACTGCTAGTCTCGGCCACGCGCCCGTTCGTGGCCCGCGAAATCCGATTCACCTCCTCGATCAGCCTGACTAGATGTGCGGGTTCGGCGGGTGTGCCGAAATCGGGCCAGTTGGAGTATTGCAGTTGCGTGATTTCGCGGATGGGTTGGAAGGGGTAGGCGGAGTGAGAGAGTGTAAGGCGGCGGATAGTGACGTAGGGGGTGTTATCATTGGCGCCAGCGCCAGGGGTGGTCTGCGAGTTCTTTTTTGCGTCGAGCTTTTCGAATTGTGTGAGTGGGTTGGTGGCTCGCCGTTGGCCACTGGATCGGCTTTGTTGTTGCTGTTGCGTGTTTTGGGGGGAAGGAGGAGGAAGGAGTGGGATTTGTTGTTCCGAGAATAATTTCAGGTTTATGGGTCCGTAGTCTGCTGCTTTCCAGTATGGATGGCATTTCAGTTGAGGACCTTCTGATTCTGCAGTTAACATGACAATCACTCGGATATCCTGTTCCCATATGACACGCCAGAAGTCCTACAAAAAGTAAAAACTTGTTAGCATCCACGGGAAAGCGGGAAAGCGGAGACATATTTTTTTTTTCCCCCACACTTACATTGAACGTAGCAGGTATTGGCGCTTGGGTGGCAATATATTTTTTGTTCGAGTGAGAGGACTGAATGAAACTCGCATTTACGTAGTCGCAAGCACCTCTAGGTACACCTTGTAGCCGAACTCTCGAGTGATCGTACGGATAGATATTGTTATACCGATTCTTCGCTCCCTGTTCTAGTCCCGCTATACGGAACACCTTCGTTGGACTCCCCGACCCAGGCGAACCATATGATACATTACCACTCAAGGCTTCCTGCATGCGGCTTTGTTCCGCCTTCTCAATCTGCAAAAATCTATCGGAAACCCGCTTGCCCTTGTCATGAACATCGGTAGCCTGCGCGAGCCACCGGGGCAACTTCTGTCGAGATTGCGCAGACATTGATCGCGGCAATTTGATAGGAATTTGCCCGACGCCCCCTATCAAATCCATATTTTGCCGAATGTTTGAGAAGAATGGATGGGTAGTTGTACTGCATTTCGGGATGCTGCAACCGCCCGCTATGCCAGGTTTGTTTGGCAGCACAAGACTGATTGACCGCGGTTGGCCTGCGAAGTTGGCAGGTTCATTGTTCTCATTTGATTCAACGAGGTCTGGAAACTCGGCAGCGAATTGCGTAAATCCACCACGCAGTATCGATGTCTCGCCTTTCCACCCTTCGTTGGTGAACTTTTTTAATACGTTTATCAAACTAGACGCGTCCTTCATGTGTACCGTAGACGAATCGTAGACAATAATTCGCGTACATTGCTGCCAGCGCGCAAACCTTTTCTTTTCTTCTTCGCCGGCAAAGGTATCCTCCAACTTTTTCAGGTTGAAAGACGGTCGTTTTAACAGCGTCGTGGGTATGCACAAATTCAAGGCTCCTTTTATCCTTGCCAGGGTAAACTGCGGGTATGGTCGAACATCTAACAGCAAAATGGTGTCTGATAATGACTTGGATAATTCTGCACAACGGCTAGGCGGGATGAGTTGGACGTTGCCCTGATCGACACTGGCTGGGGAAGTCTCAGACCGTTGAAGAGTGCGAGCTTTACTGACAGTAAAGGAATGGCGTGAGACGTGCGGGGGCAGCACGATACGGGAGGGAAGGCCAATAGGCCCCTCAGAACCAAGTGGAGTCCTTAGCTGTGGTATGGTTGAAGCTGGGCTCGACATAGTCGATGGGACCATCGGCTTCACAAAGGCAGTAGCCGACTTAATTTCTCCTATTGAGCTACTCGACTGTGGATCGATGCTCATGTAGCTGGCCTTATCATCGTACCTCGGTATAGCCCACGAGGGTTCGACTGGGAGTGGCGAAGCAGGCGTGCGCATCTCGCGCCTCTCCTCAGCCTTGCGATCTCTATCTCGAAGGGCTTGCGTTTGCTTCTCGAAACTAGACGAGATTCTATGGCCGGCAACAAACCCAGCTGATTCTGATTGTTTCCTAAATGCTTCGAATTCGAAGTTGTATCCAGTCGAGTGGCGATTCCCATTTTTCCCACCAGGTCCTGGCGAGACCGCCGGTAAATTCCAGGTCTTGCGCGCATGTATTCCTGGTGTTGAACTGGATGGGTTAGTGGATGTGAAATCGACGATGCCGAAGTAGCTGTTGGACGAATCGCGCGAGATCCGCGGGGAGAGGGTGGCTCCAGAGCCCAGGATAGGAGCGGTCATTTGGCCGACAGATGCGGGAGTCCGCGGTGGCATTCCCAACGGGGTAGTCGACACAGCGGCGGCCGTAATGCTGGGGCTCCAAGCCTGTGGAGAGGGCAACGTCGTGGTTGCCGACATATTTTGCAAGAAAGGGGATTTCAGATTCCGATTGTTTCTCGGCGTAAGAAAAAAAAAAGAAAAAGAAAAGAAAAGAAAAGAAAAGAAGAGAGAGAGAGAGAGAGAGGAGAGAGAGAGAGAGAGAGAGAGAGAGAGAGAGAGAGAGAGAGAGAGAGAGAGAGAGAGAATTGGACAGAGCGAAAGTTTCTGCCTCTCTTTCTTTAGTAGATGGGTATGGTATAGCGTATAGCGTATAGTGTATATAATACTATGATAAAACTTGATTTGTTCCAATTGTTTCAAAGAGGAGGTGTCAATGTCAAATAACGAAGTTGTTCCTGACGATAAGCGAACGCCATGCTCCAGTAAGGTTCGATATTGAAGAGAGCATGGTTTGCCGGGGGAGGACAACAACGACAACAGCAGCAATAGCGGGTGATCACAACGCAAGATCTGACGTAGGTCGGCGTACGGTGGCAAGCGTGAATAGCATCGACGTGCCAACGGGCGGTTGATAATATATATCAATTAACGGCTACGAGGAGGAGGTACGGAGTAGAGCTGACAAAAAGGCGCACGCCACACAGGCACATGCAGCAGGAGAGAATAAGCTCTAATCGCGACGCGGGCTTTTTTGGGTGGGGACTATAGCCACATTCCACAACCACAAGCTGGGGAAAAAACTGGTGGGCGGTTGGTTGGTATATGGGCTATTATTAGAATTCAAGTGGTGTGTGGTTTCGGGGGCGAGGGGTAGCGAGGGTTTGTAGTCTTGTACCATGTAGCTAGCTGGGAGGAGAGTAGAGGTTCGAGTGGGGAGGGGGGGGGGGGGGGGTCCGGGTTGCAAGTTGTGGGCGAGCGTTGTGAGCGGAAAAGGGGAGCAAGGGCCCGCAGAAATGACGTAGCTGGGAGTGTGAAGGGAACACCGAGACCTTTCTGTGGGGAGTCAACTTCAGTCGAGTCAGTACAGTACTCAGCCAGTAAGTCAGTAAGCCGGGATTGAGCGCGGACAAAAACCAACAGGAACAAAGGCAGAGCGGTTTTGTCCTTGAGGTAGGGTAGGTAGGTAGAGTAGGTAGGTAGAGTAGTAAGATGGCAAAGAATATGGGAAGGAGATGGATAAAATAGAATTGAGGGGAGAATTAACTAATAACCCACAAAGAAGGCAGAAACCCCAGGGTGCGGCAACGAGGGAAGTCTAAACGGGTTGAGTTTAATAGGAGCCAGAGAGTCAAAAAAAGAAAAAAAAAAAGAAGAGAGAAGATAGAGAGAAGATAGAAGAGAAGAGAAGAGAGACCAGCGAAAAACCCAAAAAATTCCAGAAAAGCCAAAAAGCTGGAACCGCAGAAAGACCGGGCCCGATGACGTCGCATGCGGGAAAAGGGGCAAAAAGGAAAAAGTAAGCAGAACAGAAGCCACTTGTTGACCCTTTTTTTTTTTTTTTTTTCGTCTCTGCTGGCTGGACAGGGTTGCGTTGCGGTAACGGCGAAAAAGTCAAACGCCATAAGCCATGTGCAAAAAAAAAAAAAAAAAAAAACAAAAGAGAGAGAGAGAGAGTGGAAAAAGCACGCGAGAGACCCGTAAACCAGCGAGTCGAGTTCGGGCTCATAGTGCAGTAGAATAATAGATAGCGGTTGAACAAAAACTTACACGGATAAGCACGGGGTTTTTTTTTTTTTTTTTTTTTTTTTCACTGCCGCGTCCTGCGCCTTGTCTCTCTCTCCCTCTCTATATATATATATATATACACATATATACATATATTATCCTTCCTCTCTCTGCGGGTGTATGTGCTGCCCGGGGGGAGGACGGGAGGAGGGGTGGGGGATATGGGATATTCGAAGATGATGATCAAGGACACATCCCCATTCCCGGTAGATAAGACAATTGGGATCGGGATCGGGATCGGGTTAGATGTATATATCTATCTATCTATGAGTTGTCGTTGTTGCCAGAAGAGAAGAATCGAGTGCGATTTGAATGGGGGACTGGACTAATCAATGGGACGATGGGCGGTTGGTTAATGGCCTGTTGTTATCATCTATCTATTCGCCGACAGATGGTGGTGGTGGTGGTGGTGGTTGGTTTGGCTGGCTGGCTGGCTGGCTGGCTGGCTGGCTGTCAATGGTAATCCATATATAGTTATATGGAGATATGAAGAGAAAAATACTCTTGTCGAGAGTGAGGGGGGCTGCGAGAGAGAGAAGAGAGAGAGAGAAAAAGAAGGGAGAAAGAGGGGAGAGCAGGAAGGAAGAGAAGAATATACTCTCTATCAGCGCGTCGACAGCGACCGACCCGCAAGCGCGCATCTAGGATCCAGGCCGAGGGGGGGAGGAGACAAGACAAGACAAGACAAGAAGAGAATCAAAAAAAGGATGGATTCATGGATTCATGATTCATGGGCGGGATCGACGACGCTGGTTGCTGCTGGTTACAACTTGCTCTCTATCTGCCTGTCTGTCTGTGTCTGTAGTTAGGAGTTACGGACGAACGACGGCTTGAGCCTTGATTCCAGTAACTAGTTATTAACTGAACTATTAAATATTACATTCTATGATAATTGCTATGCTATCCTTCTTCTTCTTGTTATCCTCGTCATCATTCATCCGTCTTGCAGGCTCTATTTTATCTACGGTTTAACTATCGAATTTCTTCTATTCGTTTTACCCCGTTTAAATCTTACATAACAGAGTAAGCACTTAAAGAACCCAGGCCCATGGCTCTCGAACCCTGACTGTTTGCTAAGAAAAAAGGAAGGAAAAAAGAACAACACCCAGGTTTCGTTCTAGAGTAAGTTCACTATTATTAAAGCGTATGATCAAATATAAGAGAAGATCCATTTTAATTATTATTATTGTATAGAGAGTATAAACATATCTCTACTCTGTTTTCTTTCTCCCAATTAATTAATTAATCCCTCGGCTTTTTTTTTCCCTTTTTTTTTTTTTTTTTTCTCCCACGGCCAATGAATGAATGAGGTGGGAGTTAATTAAAAAACGAGGGTTCAGTCCCCCACAGCTCCCCTCCCCTCCCCTCCCCATACTGAACTGAACTGAACTGAACTGGACTGGGAGACACCAGACAGCAGCCCGTACCTACGTACGTAGCATTATTGTTATTATTATTATTAGTTAGTGATTTCTTTTCAGGAGAGGAGGAGGGGAAAAAGGCGTTACAACGTTTAAATATTAAATAATGATGATGGAAAGTCGGTGTGAACGCGTGGCTAATAAGTTAACTAACTATAATAGTTAATAATAATGAATAATAAAGATTTAAACTACGGCCCGTTAGTTTACTACTACCTAGTTACTACGCATAGTTAACTAGTTACTACGGAGTACTGTTGGCAACAAAAAAGCATAATTCCGACTTCTTCCCCCGAACTCGATGGAAACCTCCAGCTTCCAAGCAAGCAAGCAAGTAAGTTAACTAGCAAGTAGCACAAAGTTTGTTCGGTTTTGGTCGGGGGTTCGAGGGTAAATGAAAATGAAAATGAAAATGGAAATTGTCAATGTGTTGAATGTTGAATAATAAAGAACATTTAATAAAATAATAATAATAATGGAAATAATATGGGGACGCGCTGTATGTATGGTATGGTATGGTATGGTGTGGTATGGGGGAGGAGAGAGGAGAGAGGGGAGAGGCGGGAGGCGGGGCCTAGGCTCTGCGTTTTTCTGGTTCTTTTTGTTCAACTGTCCTGTCCTGTTGGAACTTGAATTCTTTTTCGTGCGTTGTACGTACGTACCATGGGTCCATCCATGGGTCTTCAGAGATAAATATGGGGTAAATTGGAAGGAATGGAAACGGCGCCGAGAGGAGAGGAAGCAGAGGAACGGGGGAGCGGGCAGGGAAAAGTCAATCATAGGTAATACCGTGCGCGATGGGTTGCATTCGGAATGTTATTGTTTATTATTATTGTTAACCAACCCTTGGGGTTGGTTGTTCTTGGGTTTCTTTGGGTGTTTGCAGTTAGACTGTTTTTTGTTTGTTCCTTTTCAATCGATGTGCAGAGAGGGATTCATTTTTGAGTTCAACCAAGCTATGTTATATATATATATATATATGTATGTATGTATGTATGTATGTACAGTAACTGCTGCAAAGATGCAAGATTCGAACAAAAACTATATATTATGATTTATTATGTATGTTAAATATTCATGAGCCTCATCCCGCTTCATCGAACCCTCAACCACCCTCGCCGCCGACATCAACAGCAACCACATGGACTTCAACTCTCTTATTAAAAGATTATGATCATTGAACTTGTCTAGGCCCTTTCTTTCTTTCCCCAGAACCAGGGTTTTTCTACGTGCGGTAACTAGTAGTAGGTACATGTACATTACGTGTTCTATCTAACTACGGTCCCGGCCCAACCTTGGCCCCTCCCTTCCTTACTTATATATATATAATATATTCATCGAATCGGAAAGCCAATGGTTTCGCGAAGAAAAAAGGAGAAATAAATAAATAAATTATACCCTGAATACATAATCCTCCAAGCCTATGGAAATGGAACAAAATGTGGATAAGTCATGTGTAGATGTGTATATGCATATGAGGATCATGCAATGCACAAACAAACACAAATGAACGACGATGATGCATGAACCGCCCAAAAGGGAAAAATCCAAAAAAAAAAAAAAAAAAAAAAAAAAAAAAAAAAAAAAAGAAGAAGAAAATGTCACCAGATGGATATGTTACCCCGTACATCGCGGTTGAAGGAACTGTGCCTCAATCCCACCCCCTGTTTCTTTCGCTTCCTGCCTGCGCGCCTAGGTGTGTATACTCAACCAGGTCGAGGTGGAGGTGGAAGGGGGGGGGGCCATGACTGCCATCATATACTACTAACTTATCCTTCTCCCCTTACCCCTCCTCCTCCACTCCTTCGATCTCTACCAGACACAGAAGATAAAATACCTCCATCCCATCATCTTCATGTGACCACACCAAAAAAAAATTCTCCAGAGAATCATTGTGTTTTCCCCCGCTGTTACTGTCGAACTCTCTCTCTTATCGTCCTCCTACCCGCTAGCGTGTATCGTCGTGTCATCATTGTACGGAGTAGTAGGGGGTTGTGGGTTGTGGAATTATCTGCATCGCAGCTCTCGCCCACATCACATCACGGTTAAACCATGCAAATCACAATGCACAATGATGTACAGAGTACATTTAATTACATGCACATGCGCATGCACATGTACGGAGTACATCATTCATTATTATTGCCAAACCCACGAAAACTGCCTCTCTCTCTCTCTCTCTGCGAAACTCGTTCAGCGACATTCACGAATCCCTGCCACCCGTTCAATCAACCCTGTTTAGGTTTTGTTAAAATAAAAAAATAATAATAAAAAAAGGAAGGGTGAAAGAGAGGCAAGGTAATCCATGCATCTGAACGAGCTACCCCACATTACCCATTGCGACTTTTTCCTCGGAAGGAGGGGCAAGGGGTTGTTGCACTCTGGCATGAGCGGCTGTTAATGGCTGAAAAGGTTGGGTTAAGTCTTTTCTTTGATTTCCGTCACTTTCCTTCTCTCTCTCCTTTTTATTTTTATTTTTATTTATTTTTTTGTCCAATTCCTCTATGCTCCTTGGCTGCGATGCAAGTGGTTGCGATAAAGTTCCGGATCTTCCACTCGCGCATGTGCACCTGCTAGCGAATATAGCTTCACCGGATTTCTCAGCTCTCGTTGGTTGGTTGACACAGGATCGGGAAGACTGCTGTAGTGAGAGAAGGGGATAGTTCTTTGGTTTGCGGCAAAATATCGTTGGTGAAAATATGTTAATTATATATAAAAAAAAGACATGGTCCAAAATAGAAGTGCCGTGCGCCTGTTCTGCGTTCGTTGGCGGATGTGTTGGCGGATGTATTTTGAGTGGAGTGGGGGAGGGTGAGGAGCCCTCCGGTACCCTAGGATGTGTGGATGTAGGGATGTAGGGATTGTATTGATTGCGCTTGCTGGAGCTTTTGCTCGCTTATAATCTACCATCCGGTTCGCCTTTGAATCGCTGTACGCGCTTTTGTTCCCAGTTATCAAGATCCTTGGCCATGAGTTTCTAAATGGTGAGGAAGTTCGTTTGTGGTCAGTAACAGGTAACAGGTCGATCAAAGTTGGAATCTTCGTAAATAGGTAGAAAGGGAAGAAGGGTAGCAAAGAGATATATATATATATATTAAGGAATTAAATGAGTGAACGAACATAATATTCCTCCTTCTCACTCCCCAGCACTCTCCGTCGTGGATTCCGTTTGACCTGTGCATCATCGCCATCCGGTCCCTTCAGGCCCAGCCCCATCGCCTCTTCCTGACTCACTTGCTGGACTTTCCGATCGAAGCGCTCGTATCTCAATGCCGTCGCGGGAGTGAGGATGAAGGACCCGGCTAGCATGACGCCAATAAAAGGCAGACCGAAGAGTAGGAATGGGTGTTTTTTGAGATGTGCACGATATTTGGCACCCAACCGTTCGCCGAGGGTGGAGGCGGAGTTCACTGTTGGTCGGAAGCGTTTGGCTTGGAATGACATCGTGAGCAATTGGTTGAAAAGCGGGAGGGATATGGGACAAAGGATGAGGGTCCGGGATCAGAGATTGCTGTGATGTGTTAGTATTTAGTATAATATGTTGTGGTTGGACAAATTCCTCCATCAACCTCCGGCAAAATATTAGCCGGCCAGGAAACGTCCGGCGAAATGTTATTCCGGAGTAAACATCCAAAAACGGTTTGGAGCTTCCTTAGAACTTTTTATTGTTGAATGACGACGGAGTAGAAGAAGAAGAAAACGAGGACGAAGAGCGTCTGTCTGGATAACAAGTGCCCGTGCTTCCAGATTGGCCGAGCTTTCCTGTTTCCCTCGCACGTTCACTCCCTATACATTCCTTTCTGTCGTCGCCGAAACATAGACAATCCAACAACATACATACCAGCATCAAACATTCGAGGAAGCGCCATCTACTAGCGAGGGACCTATCATGTTCCAAAATACTGCTCAGCAAAGCTCCCTCTTTGGAGGTGCAGCGGCTGATCAATCAGCAAAACGAAGTCTATTCGATCTTGGAGGTTCACAAGCCCAAACGCAGCAGCAGCAGCAACCACAAAAATCTACTCCATTCGGGACCTTCTCATCGACCCTATCCAACACGCCGACTCTGATCGGCCAGCCAGCAAGTGCTCCCTCCTTCGGCCAAAGCACCACACAAGGCAATCTGGGCTCTTCGCTTTTTGCGAATCAGCCAGGTGCGCAAGCCCAGGCGCAAGCGCAGCCACAGGCACAGCCAGCGATACAGTCCATTTCCGCTTCTCAGTCTACACAACCCGCGTACTTTAGTAGCTTGTTGGAGCGTGGTAAGAAACGCCCACATCCATCTATCGGAGATGTTGCTTCCGCCGACCTTCCTAATCTCCAGCTTGGTTTGGATGATATTCGGAGAGCTGCGCGGGGTTTGGGGGCGGCCGGTGAGCGCGGAGGACAGGGGCCTAAACGTGCTGATAATAAAGCGTAAAACTCCGCGTTTGCTCATCCATTTTTATATAGTTTACTTTATGACAATGCAATTTTTGCTAATGCCTAGTTGTCGTCCCCAGACATTACTCTCTGGCTGCCTCCGGTATCTCCCCGGGCCAAGTTTTGCAGGATCTAAAAATGTTGGGTAACCAAACCACGGCGAGCAGCCCGTTCAAGCATACCGATAAGTTCGATCCCGACAATCAAAAGTTCCTACGACAAGTTCAGCAGCGTGGGAGGGAGGCGATAGTTGCTGAAAGTCTTGCTCGTGTCCGTAAGGACTTTGACGCGTTTCTCGAGGAGAAAGTGAACGTCAATTGGGACGAGCAGCGTCAAAAAATCTATGAACACTTTGGTTTGACGCCCAGAGATGATTCTGCGCGGGGGAAATCTGATTCTTCCCGCGGCGCCTTCGGGAAATCAGCAACGCTGGGACGGTCCGCTGGAGGACCAGGAGTGCCGCGGAGTGGAGAAGCGAGTGGCAGGCGCAGCGTATTTGGTCGATCAGCGTTGGGGAAATCTGTCATTGGGTCTCCTTCAATTAGTGGGCGTGCTCCCCAGTCTCTTTCTGATTCTGTTATGCGGAGCGAAGGGGCTGCCGGTATGGCGTCCGCTGATTCTCGTTTCCTGAGGGAAAAAATTCGGCACTTTGCGACGAACGTTCAGGCACTCAATGAAGCAAGACTTCAAGAAAGGGTGTTCCCAATTCTACACCAATTTGCAGACACTGAGCGGGTCGCTGGAGGGGATGTACGTGAATTATTTACGGTCTCCCTTTTCAAAAAAAAAAAAAAAAAAAATCTATATTATTTTTGCTAACGGGCTTTTCTTTTTTTTTTTTAGGTTCCACGGCAATTAATTGAAGCTTATCATGCGTTGATCAGCATGGTAAATGAAAGTCCAAACTCCACTAGCCTTTCAGAGCCCGGTGTACTCAAGGAACGCCAATTTGCGGACGACTACCTAGATGATACTTTCCACTCCGTTGGAGCGACGAGGATGAGAAAGAGAATTATTGAAGGGTCCAGAAAGTTTTTGGAACAGTTGTTTTACAAAGAAGTCGAAACTATTATTGCAAAGAACCCCCGCGAAGCCCAGCTTGGTGGAGTCCCTTCTATAACCAACAAGATTCGCGCCTACATTCGCCTTCGTGCCGCACGTAAGGACCTTGCCCCTGATGGCATGGAACTCCAAATGGTAGGCCAGGATTACTGCTGGATCCTCATCTTTTATCTCCTCAGATGTGGCTTTGTTAAGGAAGCAGCGGAATATGTGAGCCAGGATCCGGGATTCCGGTCCCTTGATCACAAGTTTGTTACCTACATGACAACCTATGCCCAGAGCAGAAGACTTCCTAGAGACCTTCAGCAGAAAATCAATGGAGAGTATCAGCAGCGCTTACGCAATGCCCCGGAGAATACCGTCGACCCATATCGCATGGCATGTTATAAAATCATTGGTCGCTGTGACCTGAGCCAACGTCGGTTTGACAGTATCGGCCAGGGTGTAGAGGATTGGATGTGGCTACAGTTCGTTTTCGCCAGGGAAGATAGCCGAACCGAAGAAGTGGCTGGAGAACTCTTTGGACTGGAGGAAATTCAGAGCGATATCACGGAAATTGGGCAGCGGGTGTTTGGAAAGGGTCAGGATGGTCCGGGCGGCTATGGGACTTTCTTCCTCCTCCAGATCCTCGGAGGCATGTTCGAACAGGCCATAGCGTGTCTTGCGGATCACGCGCCGATCAGTGCTGTGCATTTCGCAATTGCTCTGGATTTCTATGGACTACTCCGCGTTTCCGACTTTTACACGTCAGGCGACGAACTTTGTAAGCATTGCCATAACCAGTGTGGGGCCTCCTAGACTGTTAACCTTAAATTTTGCTAACGAAAACCTGTGCAACAGTGACCTTTAGCACGAAGCAAGCTCCTCAGATCAACTTCGCATCACTCATTACGCAGTACACTCGCGAATTCCGCACCGGATATGTTGAAGCTGCAGTCGATTATTTCACCCTTATATGCCTGAATGCAGATCTTCCGGGAGAGCTTGGCAAATCACAAGCCTCAGTCTGCCATGAAGCACTGAGGGAATTCATTTTGGAGACTCGAGACTTCGCCATTCTGCTAGGAGATATTCGCAGCGACGGCAACCGAATCAAGGGCGTAATCGAACGGCGGCTCAAGCTCATCAAACTTATCGACCAGGAGGAATTCTTAAAGACCATCACTGTTCAAGCAGCAGCGGTGGCTGATGATAAGGGACTCATTGCAGATGCCGTTCTATTATACCACCTGGCGGAAGAATACGACAATGTTATCTCTATCATCAACCGCGCCCTTGCGGATGCCGTCGCGGTGGATTTGGGTGACTCAGCAAAGAAGCTGCAGCCCTTAAAACCACGAACCACACCGGACAGCCAGGGACAGCCACAGCAGCAGCCCCAACAAGCAGGTGCCCCCACTGAACAAGGAAGCAGCCTTAGTCTCACGGCGGTTGACGATCCGGTTGTCCTCGCTAAGAACATGATTGGCCTCTATAATACCAACGCGCTTTACTATCAGAAAATACATCAGATCAACCGGGATGCATGTGGTTTGTTGCTGCGCACGATGGAAGCAAAGGCGAACGTTGAAGCTGGGAAATGGGCTCAGGCACTAGATGTAAGCTTTTTTGCATATTGTTTTTCTTCCTTAGCGTGCTTGAATATCTCGCAGTCTCTAGAAAAGAGTGGACTGACATTTAACCTCAACAGGATATAAACAATCTCCAAATACTGCCATTGCGAGCTCAGGGCTCGGTCCCATACATTCGTAGTGCCGCACAGGCATTCCCATCCCTTCCCCCGGTCATCTCTAGAAATGCCGGCCAGCTAATTATGTGGAGTATGATGTGCATCGGTCGCGAACGAGAAAGACTTCAACAAGGAGCCTATGCGAATGACATGAGACAGAGCTTGGCGGATGAGCTTCTCGTGATGGCGAAAGACTTAATGGTTTTCGCAGGTATGATCAAGTACAAGTTGCCGCCGCGGGTCTATGAGATGCTAGCTAAAGCGGGTGGAGAGATTGGGTTGTAATGATGTTCTGAGTATTTGTTTGACGTGCTGGGTAGAAAGCGCTTCTTATATCCTCTTCTTTTAAATGCAGCTTTTTATTTTGACATTATTTTTGTTCGATATATTATCTGTTTATGTTTGTTTCGTACCCAGGAAAGGTGATTGGCCCTGCCTGGCCTTGGAGATGGATATACCTATACCCATTTAAACATACTAGGAAGAAATAGAACAATGATGTCGTATTCCTATTTCTCACATTTTGAAGCAATTGATTTTAATGTGCAGAATATTTAATCTAGCCCAAGCTTTGTCCTGCGGCAGATCGAACTCTGGGGATATGAACAGTCTTCGGAGGTGAATAAAAAGCAATACACTATAGCCTGGTAATTTTACATCCACCCAGTCGAGAGACTGTTCAATATATATATATATACCCAGCGCTATTATTATTATTATTTATTCCGTGTTCTTCAGTCACTCTTGGCGTTGGCGCGGGTTATCCCCACTTGCTCGCGCCTTTCGTCGCCGTCCCAAGCTCAATTGAACCTCAAATATTCCTGACAAATAAATATCTGTCTATAATTGACCTCTAACTATTCATTTTTTTTTTTTTTTTTTTTTTTTTTTTTTTTTTTTTGGCTTTTTCAGGTTGTGATACTTCTCTTCGTCGTTCTTTCACCCCTGCATCACCGCTTCTAAGCTCCCACCATTTCAAAACCGCTGGAACTATTTAAGCCTCCAAGCTTTCGTTCAGGCCAATAAACTACCACCACGACTTTTTCTCCCAGAAGGGCTAGAAACCCTCAGTGCCATTATATCTACTCCGTACTCGTGCTTGAACCTTTTAGTAACCAACGGGGTAGCCATGGACGAAGGGGGCGCTAGTACAGCACCTGGCTCCCCTCAGTCGCGGTCCTCGAGCCTTCCAGAGCAGCAGAATGACACCTCGATTCAGTCGAACGCCGAGACGGAAAACTCAGCCGAAACAGCTGAGATGGATGGAGATGTGGACATGGACGATGCCGAGGACGACGATTCCAGACTCCAGAGCGATATAAAAGCGCAGGTTGAGGCTGAACCAGACCCCCAGCCTTCGCAATCCGTTGAGCCTTCGTCACTTCCGCAGCCGACAAGTAATACCGACTCAGCAACGTCCCCCGAACATCCCTCTGAGCAAGTTATACCTCCCGCGCCTGCGGGCCCAGCTTATTACAGCCTCTTCAGCAACCCGCCCAACCTCGGGTGGATCAGGCAGGTTCTCTTTGAGCTTAAGGATGCCGTGGAAATGAGCGTGGAGGAGTTCCACACGTACTGGCCGTTTATAGATAACGTTTGGGTGAAGCAGAGGTCAAACTCAACCAAGGACGGTCTTACGACTACCGATTACTACATGTGCCGACTACGGAGGGCGACTTGCAGACCGAACCCGTCAAGACCGCTGCCTGAGGGAAAGAGGGCGAGGAAGAAGATGGTCAGGCAAGGGAATCAGTGCAACGTACAAATTAAGGTGGTGAAGTTTGACGGCGCTTATTCTGCTGTTACGATAACAAGGACGCCGGGTAGCAGTCGGACGCATTCGCATGATCTGGATCACATTGATAAGGTGAAGAGGAATTCGGGCCTGATAGAGTTTTGCAGGAAGGAAGCTGAGAAGGGCTACTTGCCATCGTCTATATTTGCAAAGTTACGCGAGGAGCCGGATAAACTGATGGCTGCCGGTGGGAAATTCTTCAGCGTCACCGATGCCCGCAACGTCTCTGCTAAGTGGCGCGCTTTACATCCCGATGTCAAATTGAGGGAACATGAAGGTTATCATTATCAGCAGGGCTATGGTATCATGCGCATTCAAGGCCCCGTACTGGAGCATCGTAATGGAATGATGCAACACGAGCCGCAAAACTCTCGTTACGAAATTCCTCCCGATGCGCTAAGGTTTCCTAGTTATTCTTTGGAATTTCTCCAGCCATATCTCCCCAGTTACGAGGAGGGTCGACAGTTCCCCTTCGTCACCCTAACGTATGCATCTTCCATGGATGCTAAGGTGTCTCTTTTCCCCGGCATACAAACAGCCTTGTCTGGGCCTGAAACGAAGGTCATGACTCACTATCTGCGCTCGCGACATGATGCTATCTTAATTGGGGTTGGAACTGCCATAGCAGACAACCCTGGCCTAAATTGCCGGCTGGCGGGCGCAGGCGGCTTTGGGGGATTAGGCAAAATGTGGCAACCTAGACCAATTATCGTGGACCCAACTGGAAGATGGCCAGCGGACCCGGAATGCAGGCTTTTAAAAACTGCCAAGGCGGGGAAGGGCAAGGCGCCGTGGGTCATCGTCTCTCCTGGAGCAAACATCCAGCCGGCAAAAGTCCTGACACTCAAGAATCACGGAGGCGACTACCTACGCATTGTGGAATATAATCAAAGCTGGCGACTTAGATGGGAAGCTATTCTAAGGGCCCTGGGAACCGAGGGAGTCACCAGTGTCATGATTGAAGGTGGCGCAACTGTGATTAGTGAACTACTGAATCCTGAATACGTTGACTTTGTCGATTCGCTTATAATTACGCTTGCTCCTACGTTTTTAGGCCGGGGTGGTGTTGGGGTCAGTCCAGACGCGAAAAAAGATAATACGGGCAAACCGATCAGTGCTCTTAATCCGTATGATATTAAATGGCAGCCACTAGGTCAGGATGTTGTTATGTGCGGCAAGATACGCGCTCCTCCCCCGCGTATTGTTTCCGGCATCGAAGCTGTTGCTCAGGGAAATGCCCAAGAACATGCGCAAAATAACTCGCAGGAAGGTAGTCAAGCAAGAAACAAAGAAAGCGCACAGGGAACTGCTGGGAATTCTCAAGAAAATTCGTGATTCACTTCCGGATGTTAATAGGATTTTTTAAAATATTGCCAGGGTGTTTGGTGGGCTATATATATACATATATGCATGAAATGTCTCCGTCAGACATGACTGGTTTATTTCAACACACAGTATACTATTGGGTATGGGTAGATTTCCACTTACCTTGCAACTCCACCTGGAACGTTGCACATTTCACTCGAGACGAGAAACGACCATCTATTCTGCCTCTCGCACTCCTCAGCCAGCTTATCAAGGTCGAATAACTCTCCGATAGGACATCCCCAGCCTGCGAGGAGCACCCCATGCATGCTCCAGTCTTTCGGTGGAGCTGATGGGACCGAAAGATTTCATTGGATTAGTGCCAATTGGCTGCAACATGAGCACATTTCCACAATAGAGATCTGCGATCTGAGAGGAGAAAGGGGTGGAGGGGGCTCACGATATGCTTCAAAAGCTAGATGATCGCCTGCTACTGCGGAGAAGTTCTCCCATATCCATTCAAGCACCTCCTCGCTGCGTTCTACCCCTATTAAATTGGACGGGTTTTGTTTGGCCAGCTTTTCCAGTTCATCCATTGATAGCTGGTTAAATGCCTTCATATATCCTAGCGTCATAAACCGATAAAGCATAGGAGGGAAATGGAGAGAAGAGGAAAGCATTGTCCTACCAACTCGGATGATAAGTATGTCTCCAAAATTTATCTCTGTCCCCTGCGACTCTGCCACACCCTGGAGATATTTCAGCGGAATTGAAGTTCTCTTAAATATCTCGGCTGGGATATTGTTTGCTAATGCTCACTTGTGGAAATCCAGCAGGACTCCACGGCCTACGATTCCTCTCTCTGCCTAGGCTGTCACGGCCCAAGGAAGAAAAAAATAGAAATAAGACCGTCAGATTATGCGTAACTCGCAAAGATTTTTCTCGTCGCATCATATGTATGCTGAATTCCGTTGACGGTACTGTCCTTCGATCTGTGAATGTCTTCCATTGTCACGCCGTTATAGAACCTCTTTTCTTTCTGGTAGCCGAAATGACGGAGTCCATCCCCTACACGAGAAGAAGAATTAGACGGGCCTCGATTAGCTATATTCCTCTTTATCCGAGCTGCAGCCACACACTGGACAGCTCTGGGAAGAAAGGGGGAAAACTTTCACCGGCTACTACTTTGCGTGTTAAACGTCCAGAAATCATCATTCACTGTCCGAGGCGATTTGTCGATGATCTGCTTGTGGAACACCTGCCGGCTGAAGAAGTGAACTTTGCTTTGGGCGTCCAGCGGCCAGTTTAGCGACACTCTTTGAAATTATAATTAGCTCTCTGTCTTTCAACGTGGGCGAAGAATCGGGGGGGGTAGCCTTGTGTGGGTGGACCAATACGATGAAAGAATGTATTTATTCTTTGTACGTATTGATTTTATCCTTCAGGTATGCGGACCAAATCACGGACAAGCAAGCAAAGCAGATAGCGAACTCGACAGCGGCAAAGATATACATGTACACTACTCCGTACACTACAGGGAAATCATAATAAGCTTCCTCACCTCACACCCGTCTTTATCTCCTTCACAGCCTCCACCACAATGGTGTCGGTCTGGCGATTGAGGCATCCCAGCTGGTCATCCTTCCCATACAAGCCCCATGCGGAAAATGGAGGATCTCCTTTGTTCAAAGGCACGTCGGTGAATTTGGGGAGGTTGGCTGGGCGTCCTGTCATTGTGTATATATATATTTCTGAATGGAATGAACTTCACTATGTATTGGGCGGTGTTGTATACATGTACTCCGTACAGTGGTGACTCCTGTGACTTTGTATATTTTTCACGTATATTCATTCACCCCCGCATATGAGAAATGGAGTATGGAGTTTCATGCAGGGAATAGCTAGAAATTCCACGAACTGCTCGGGTATCGCGGTTCGTTGCCGAACTCAGGGCTGGCGGCTTATCTTTGGGAATAAACCACCGCGGTATTTCTATGATTACTAGCTAGCATCCATGGACCTGTCTATATTATAATAAGCCCTAATATTCATTCATGGTGCAGGGTAGCTAGATACCGGAGGCGGGGAATGGATGTATGGAGTGAAGTAGTTATATTTATTTGACAGCATATAACCCCCCAATGTGGCAGTGTAATTCACCATCCCATTATCAATATGGTTAATATCTTGCATCTTTAAATTGATTCTTTGAATTGCAAGATCTTCACTCTTTTCATTATCTTTCCTGAATCTTCTTTGGTTTGTGTTAGTGTTGGCAAGTAGTGATGACATAATCCTCCTTTGAACCACAAAAAATAAAAATAAATAATGTATCGCCAACCACAAAAGAAACGAAAGATCTAACACATCTTAAAACATCTCCAATCTCCCCAACTCCTACATATTTCCCCTCGAGGGACCTCGATTAACTCACGATAACCTCCCTCACCACTATTCTCTCATTTATTCTCTCACTCATTTCGCATTGATAACCCTCGTGTTATGGCTCCCAGAAAAGCCGCATCCAGCACGACAGCTGCTGCAAAGCCCAGGGAAACAAGAAAAACGGCTCAAGAACCCGGGAGGAAATCATCTACCAAGGCTGTACCTAAAGCTAAACCTGGTCCCAAGCCTGGCTCTAAAAAGACAAAGTCCCTTGAGAAAACCGAAGATGTCAAGGTGAACGGCGTCTCACCTTCTGCTAGTAGCGAAGTTGACGAAGTCGACGCGCCCAAGAAGCGCAAAGCGGCCGCCGATGAGGTCGCGACGCGCGAACCTAAGAAGGCCCGAGTCGTCAAGGCGCCTGTCGTCAAGCCCAAGGTCGTCATCAACCAGGCTCCTACACAGCGATTGAACGTGTATGTTTGCGGCGAAGGGAGTTCCGGAGAACTTGGCCTTGGTGCTGGCAAGAATGTTGTTGACGTGAAGCGCCCACGCCTCAACCCGCATCTGCCTGCAGACACGGTTGGTGTCGTCCAGATTGCGACTGGCGGAATGCATTGCGTTGCTCTCACCCATGATAATAAGATCTTGACCTGGGGCGTCAATGACCAGGGCGCGTTGGGTCGCGACACAACTTGGGATGGGGGCTACAAAGACATCAAAGAAGGTGATGGGAGCGACTCAGACTCGGATTCCGATAGTGATAGTGGTCTGAACCCGCGGGAAGCAACTCCTGGAGCCGTTCCGTCTGAATCATTTCCCGAAGATACTGTTTTTGTCCAAGTTGCTGCCAGCGACAGTGCAAGTTTCGCGCTTACTGATGTTGGATCTGTCTATGGCTGGGGTACATTTAGAGTAAGTCGCAAATTTTTCCATCTCATGTGCATTATTTTTGCTGTGTTGATTTTTCTTCTCTGGAAACCAATCGATTAACGAACGTTCTTGCATCAGAGCAACGACGGCATCTTGGGCTTTGACGGAAAATCCACAGTCCAAAGAACACCCGTCCTCCTACCCACCCTCAAGAAAATCAAATACATTACCTGCGGTTCCAACCACGTGCTCGCTCTCAACGATAAAGGCTCCGTCTTCGCCTGGGGTTCCGGCCAACAGAACCAGCTAGGCCGCCGCATCATCGAGCGCACCAAAATCAACGGCTTACAACCCCGGGAATTCGGCCTTCCCAAAAACATGGTCGGCCTGGGCTGCGGCGCCGACCACTCCTTCGCCATCCACAAGTCCGGCAAGGTCTACGCGTGGGGCCTCAACAGCTTCGGCGAGACGGGCATCCGCGAGGGCGCAGGTGACAGGGAAGCGGCCATTCTCCGCCCAGCCGTTGTCGAGTCCCTGACAGACAAAGACATCATCCAAATTTGCGGTGGCTCGCACCATTCCCTCGCCCTTACCGCCAAGGGTGAATGTCTTGCCTTTGGCCGTCTTGATGGCTTCCAGACCGGCATCAAAATCGACTCTTTGCCTGATTCATCCGTCATTCGCGATGATAGGAACAAACCGCGTATCCTCGCCAACCCCACCCCTATTCCCGATATTGACGCCTGTCATATCGGTAGTGGAAGCGAGCATTCCATCGCTATCGGTAAGGATGGACGCGCGTGGTCGTGGGGCTTCTCTGCCAACTATCAAACTGGGCAGGGGACTGATGAGGATATCGAAGTCGCGTCCGTTGTGGAGAACACTGCTGTGCGCGGGAAACGCTTGAATTGGGCAGATGCTGGTGGGCAATTTTCCATTTTCACCGAGATTGCTCTTGACACGGCAAATTCTTGAATTAATTTGGCAGATGGCTTGTAGAGTTTCCTTTTCCGATTTCACCGATTTATTTAGTATCTCCCGTCTTGGTTTTATTTTGTTTTGAAAATTGTTTCTGGCATTTTTTTCCCAATTTTTTCTGGTTTTGTTCTATTTCATGTTTTTTTTTTTGCTATTTGCATGGGATAAGCATGGATTTGATTAAGCTTGTTGTTTCCATTGGCTTTTTGTTGCATGCATTTTATCTTCCCACTCGATGCATTCTTCACCTATTTTTGTTGAAGTTCATAGAAATATTTCGGAAGTCTCCTTTAACATTTAGTTTACCCAAAGCTTTCTTTTTCCCGTTCAAGTCCAGCGATCCATTATGTTTTTCTACTACTATTCTCTTCATTCAAACACTGTTTTAACATTGTTTTTATCAGAATTTCAAGAATTGTCTTCTTTCACTTTCGAACAAAAGGGTTGGAATGCAAATGGGCAACACCAAAAAAACAAAAAACTCATCAAATTCCCATTATCACTTATCATCAAATTGTTCAGTTCTTTAAACTAAAATTACGGGTGTCAAATATCATAATCATCCATTGCATCCAAATCGTCAAAAGCGCTTACTGGGGGTAGTCCTGAACCCGAACCCTTCGCCATGGCGGTAGTCGTTGTACTGGGTTTTGATTCCAGTCCTGATGGCATCCCAGCACCCTCATGCTCAGCCAAGAGAGCCTCCAACTCATCGTCTTCGGGTGAGTTTTCGACATGCCCCGCTAGCTTATTAATATCCACATGAGCATTATCGTTGTGATCGCCCCGGACGAAAAGGTCGTCATCGCTATCTGCGTTGTAGTGTTCCGCCGCCTTTCCCTTTCCGCCTTCCCCACCGCCGAAAATGGACGGTATATGATTTTCTGTGGAACTATCAACGGTACTATTGTTTCTCTGGACTGGTGATGTTCTCGGGTCGCGCCGGGCGGTGTTTGTGGTGGTAGCCGGAAATAATTCATTGTCATTTTCGGTTTGCGGATGTCCATCGCTGCTGGCCGCCGCAGCATTCGAAGCTGGCAGCTGGGTTGTGTCGTTATTTGTTTCCTCATCTCTGTCAGCGGCATATAGTCTTGGTTTGCCTTCGTCAATCCACTCCTTTCGCATGATTTGGATCCGTTTCGAGTGGCCTAGCTTTTCGATCATAGCGAGACCGTCTGCGAATTTCGCGCGGGGGTAGAGGTCATCCAGCCAGAGCTGGTAAAAGTTGAGCAGGCGCATGGCGTCAGAGTACTAGGGAAAATAATATACGCATTAGATATCAGTATCAGCAGAGCGCATACCAAGCAATTTCAAAGGGTGAATTGAATGGCTGTATTATTATTTATTACCTCATGGCCTTTCCCCCTGAACTTGAGCTTGGTTTTTGCATTCTTGCGTAGCTTTGGTATTCCGGCTGGCGATAGTAGTCTGAAGATCATGTTTAGCAAAGCGACCCAGAAGCTCCCGCATGCATGCTTTTTTTTTTTACCGTGCCTCGTCCAGTTTCGCAACCGGTCGTCTCTTGGGCGCAACTTTGATCTCCTCATCTAGACCTAGGCTAGCACCGTTGGAGTCTGCTGGTTCGTCATTCCTTCTTGATGCTGGGTTTGACGAGTCGTTATGTTGGTTCAAGTCGGTCTGTTCCAGGATTTCATCCAGCCCGACATCGTAATCGAAAAGGTCGTCGACTGTACCTGGTGTATGGTGTCCGCTAGTGTCGGCACTCCGTCCTCGAGCTTCCATGGCTGCTTTATTGCTTTATATTTATTTTCATGAAAAATAGGGCAATGGTAAAAATTCGTTACATATATGTTTCGACTTCGCGATGGTAGTTAAAAAGATTCACACTGGCGGTTCGTCAATTGGTCGCCAGAAACGCGGTGTCTTTGGATGACGCGACTTGGACGCGACTTGGCACACATAAAAACACGTGATTAAAATTGCGTATCATGTGATTTGAGCGTTCCACGTGATATCGCTCACCACGCCTGCAATTGTTCCGGTGCGGAACAGTTGATTGAAGAGCATCGAACGTTTAGCTATCCAGTATATACACCAGGGCTGTGTCTCCAGTCAGATCAATCTTCATCATGGCTACCGATCATGGTAGGCCGATTGTCCCGCCAAGGGTTCTCAAAACTGACTATCCCGTATGTGTTTCTTTTTTCATGTTTCCCCTCCGCCTCTATCTGCAATTTGCTAACCCGGCTCTGGCTCCTTAGGTTATTGATACGGATCCGTACGCTCGCTCCAACCCCAATACCGATTCTCGATAAGCAGTACTTCTAACATTGATCGCAGTCATGTAAAACGAGTCTTCGGATATGCCCGGCCATCCGATTATGTCATTGGTGCTGGCGTCGGGTCAATGTCCCCAGCTCTATTTTGGCTGATGGAACGAATGCACCCGGCCAATGCCAGCCCAGGAACCTTTGGCAAAGCTATGCGATTGGCAACGGCAATTGGCTTCTTCGGTGGCTTGTTCACTGTATACAACACATCATGCAGTATGTTTGCCTTTCTTTTCAATGGTATCTTAGCAGCTTCGGGCATCTCCAAGTTAACCGCTCCTCTGTTCTGCCACATCACAGAACGCTTCTACGGCTTTACGGAAAATTCGCGAGAGGTCGAGATGGATATGCGTGAGATGGTTGACAAGGTTAAGAAAGGAGAGCCGTTGTACGGAGTCTCGTCGCTCTCACCTTATATGCAAGGAGTCGCAGCTCGGAATTCGCGATATTCCTCTCTATTCATCCATGTCCTTCCTTGGTTCAATTTTGTGAATCATGATCAGGTATCTATTCCCCGGCTCCTACGGAATTTTGTGTAGTTTAATTTGGACACCGGCTAACTGTTCGGATTAACAGCATGGCGTGGATACTGCGAAGTACTATCAACAAGCTGAGCGAGAACTAGAAGCAGAACGCCAAAAGACGGCATCCACATCGTAATGTTCTGTCTCAAACGATAACTTGTCCAACAGCTCTCAGTCAAATTAATTTCCTGTTGTTCCTGCGTCTTTCAATTTTCTTCCCTCTTGTGATTGAAAAAAAAAAAAAAAAAACTATTGTATATATTACAGCGGATTAGGGTTCCATAAATTTCATATTCGTTTTCAGGAAACGCAAAAAGAATGGCGCAAGATGGTGCTCACAAGCTGCATTATGGAAGGTCTTATGGCCGGGGCAACATCCCCGCGAATTCCATCCCCGCTCCCACATCACCAAAATCATCATCCTTCAGTTCCCGATCCTTTTTTGGTTTTGGGTTAGGCGCTAGGGTGAAAGATTAGTTCTGAAGGGGAATAAAAGGAAAAACTAGGCCAATTTCTCATTATGTCATTGAATATTGATTACCACCTACCTCTTTCATTTTCTTGGATATAAAATCGGCGTAACAACATGATTGCTTCTTTCCTGAAAAGCCCTCCTGTAAGCCCATACGGCGGATCAATCCCCGGGCTACCAGAAATGATACCGGGTAGTTTCAGTAACGATTTCCTGTTAGCTGGAGAAAGTGGATATGGACTCACTCAGAGTGCAACTTGAGGACCCCTCCAGTCCCTCCAAACCGTTCATTCGCGCACCCGAAATAGACATGCCGGATCTGGTATTGTCTTAACGCGGATGCACACATTATACATGGCTCAACAGTGACGTAGAGGTCGGTTTCACGAAATATACTTCGTGGATGACTTCTCAACACTTCTTCAATGGCTAGGAATTCTGCATGTCTCGTACCCTTTTGTCGAATCCAGTTAGTATATGTATTATATATATTCATATACTTCCGACAAACTAATTTTAAACTTGAAAAGCTATGCTTGGGAGCTTACGTTCATAGATTTATTCGTGTCGTTCATACCAGACCCGATAACTTCGTCATTATGGACCAGCACGCAACCTACTGGGGTTTCACCGCTGGCGAGAGCTTCTTCACCCTTTTCATTCATGTGGGATTAGCAAAGATTGAATCAGAAGAACAAGCACACTGAGAACACACCATGTCAAGGGCTTTTTTCATAAAAAAAGCATGTTTTTGGGCATCATTGGCAAACCGTATGCCAGGGCTGTTCTGTTCCATCTAGCCAGAAGAGCTCCAGCTTTGCTGGTTGCTCTTGCACTGTAGCTCTCCTGTATATCAATCCAGCTGTTTGGTTTCAACTGAGATGCTGAGACGAGATGCACAGACAGATCGGATGTAATTTAGATACGGTTAAATAACTAACTAGTGGTTAACTTACGGTAACTAGTTATTTAGTTTAACTACGGTATTACATAACCACTATCAGCATCGACCTCCTCACTGATGCAGAAGCAGGATCAGGCTCTGCCATTCAAATGTTCAGATATAATCATAAACACGCGTTTCATATATATATTTGAATGTGTTCTTGTAGCCCTCCCGGCGGGTATTCCGAGTTATCCCAACCCTGTTTGTCCCGATGGACCGAAGCATTTTAAATGGCGGCAGAAAAGGCACGAAAGCTTCAAGGCCCTGTAGTCGCTGAGCCAGCAGCCTCTTCGATTTTGGCTGCCCACCTTGCGCCTCATCTGTCTCCTAGCACAAACCAGAGACATGCAATCAGCCGGGAAACTTTCTCCCAGCTACGCCAAGAGATTTTGGGCCAAGATGAAGGGGGCCAATCTAATCTGGAAGAGAACATCACCGATGTGCATAGCTTAATATGCGTGGTGATAAAAGCTGGTCTACAGCCGGCTTTCAAGTCCCAAGTTTTGGGGGAAGAATTGGAGGGACAGATCCTAGACTGCCTTGACATTATACGTTTGGCAGTGCAGAGATCACCTCAAGTCCTCCACGAGATATCTGACCCTGAGATCCTTGGGAAGAACGATATTCATGCTCCCCTGTTTGCCTGGCTTATTCACGAGCTTTTCTCTCTCCTCTTCGTATGGGGTCAATGCTCTATCAAAGACAAGATTTACAGCCTCCTATCTACCATCTATGTCTCTCAATTCAGGGGGCCCCAACTGTGGCATTCGTCCCGGTCAGTGCATACACTGATTCAAGCTTGTACTGGCGGTTAGTTGCTTCAACAAATCTATAATTTCAAGAGTCAGACGTTGACATGAATATCGCAGATATACTATATTCTCTGGAGGCCATTGGCACTTCAGAATCCGGGCGTAATGTCGCGTTGTATTTCCCCGGACCCTCGAGCATCTTATTGAACTACCTAGACAAACTGTCTCTCCCGCGTTCGATGTTCTGCAAAAGGATCAAGCTAGGAACCCCTAGAGAAGCTGTTAAGTTCTGCCTTCAACTTTTCGAGGCGGTAGCCTGCCATCCGTTTCACACTTCCCTTCCAGCATCCGCAGCAGCCAATCTTCGCCGGGTGCTTACTTGGGTACTCAACAGTCAACAACAGCTATGGACGGTTATGCTCGAATGGTTTGAGGTGGCCAAGATCACACAGGTAGAAGAGCAGTTGATGAACCTTCTTGATTTTATCACGCTCTCGCGCAAGTTATACTCACATGCCTTGAAATTATCGCAAGGGTTGTCGCTAGACCAACAAGCAAGACATATATGGCTACAGTGTGGAATCGATTTGCTGAACTCAGCAAAACTTGAGCAAAACGCAGATGTCCAACAAGCACTAAGCCAGCTACTAAGCGATGCTATACGACTTTCGCTCACTTCCCCTGAAATTGGCCGTTTTATTGAGGATCACTTCTTTGAACCCCTATTTGATCGAAGGAAGGATGAGACAGGATTTCGAAATTTGCACCAGTCATTTCAGGTGAGAGCTATTTTATATCCACATACTTACATTTTCTATAGTGGCTAAGGGAAATTGCAGATGGTGATTATCAGGATCCTAAATCGGGAATATGGCGTCCCAAAAGACGTGATTGATGCAAAACTACTCGCTCTCCCGAATCAAAGCCGTGATTCGATCACGACGTCCGCCCGGAAATCTCCAAGCCGGCCCATTCTCGAGGATATTAACCCTTTTGACAGCGATCGAGCACGGAAGAGACCCCGGCTCTCTAACATAGAGGAAGATATACCCGTTGCAGACCTTGTGCACACCGTTACAACCACTGTATATCATCTGCTTGCTTCTCATCCAACAACGGGTACGGACGGGTTAAGCCAAATTGTTTTGTATGTTTGAAATCAATTGACTTGTCAACCGATTAGGAGTACTAACTTTCTTTACAGAGATACTTTACCCAAGCTGCCGGAGGAAGACCAGTGTGAAGTTTTGGCTAAGGTTGGACGGATTGCTTGTGCTGGCGCGGGAACTTTGGTGATGGAACATCCTAACAATGTTGCTGGGCCACAATTCCGATGTCTGATATGTGACACCATTTCACCAAAGCCTTCCACCAATAAACCTCGGAAGAGCTTACATTTCGGAGAAGTATGCAAAACCATGATTGAAATTATACCCATTCTTCAAGGATCTAGGAAACCTCGAATAGCCGCCATGTTTGCGATTAGGAATGTCGTAATGCATGATCCGAAAAGTGAAAACGTTGGAATACTTACGTCCCCTCTGGGCGAATGGTGCCTTCAATCTTTGCGCAGCTCCCTTAGAGAGTTGAGGATGGCTGCAGGGTAAGTGGATTTTCAACTATGTCCTGAGTTGAGATATATAAACTAATATTCGATGGGATAGACAAACATTACCTGCCTTTCTACGGGAAAACCTGGACTCGGATATTCGTCGAGCCAATTTCGTAACGGCTCTAGAATATTTGCAAAATGTTCTCGAAAAGGTCGACATGCCAATTCAGGAAACCTCGATTATGGCTTTGGGTCGTGTGGCAGAGTAAGCGTTCTCAGACTTCAACATGGTTCAACAATGGCTGACGCGGTAATAGAGTCTCTGGTGACGAGGAAATGAACATCATTCTTCTCCGCCTTTTCGAATATCTTGGTCATCCGAATCCATTTATTAGTGGTATTGCCTATACCGGAGTGGGTATTTCCCTTCCTTTTACCGATCCTTATTGCTGTATGCTGACAGTTATTAGCTCTCCACGATTGCCCAGCGTTTAGGAGTAAGCCCAGGTGCGCTTTGTAGGCCATTCTGGAGGACTCTCTCTGTCGTGATCGTAAAGAACCTCCAAGGTCGTCCACAGATGGCTGATCAGCTCTGTGACTTGCTTGGCATGAAGGTCGATAATTTTTTGAGGCTGACTGAGGTCCATGTTCTGCCGTACCTTGTCTTGATGAGGAAGTATGACATTATAGCACGTATTGGAGCCAACTATGATGAGAAACAATCCCCTTATCAGCTCTGTACAAGAAAGAACAATTTAGCATCTATCCTTACACTGTTGTTGACTCAACCGTCAAACGATCATAACGCGATGGTTGTATCAATATTCAACGAAATGTCGCCTGAGTTCCAAGTCCACGATTTGGCAGGATGGGTTCGAGCAGAGCCAATTCTTATTGCATGCGAACTTCTCAAGGGATTGGGGGATTCAACCAAAACTGAAAGATCCAAGGTAAGGGAGAAAGCTGAATGATTCTCAACTTGCACAAGCGCTCACGTTACGATTTTAGTATCACAAAGCGCTCAAGCTTCTTGCATCTCTTACACCGCGAAAGCCAGAGCATGGAAGTGATTCTTTGAGGGGGAAAGAGCTGGTCGCCAATTTTATTGAAGAGCATGTTCTAGGGATCATTACCGAGTTCGCCCACGTCGTTAACGATTTCCAAATTCGACAACCTATTGTTGAAAAGAAGCGGAATATTATCGCCATTGGAGAGATGGTAAAGATAGCGAAAGGTAATATTACCATCGCTCTGCCACAGATTTGTGCTTGCTTGCGATCGGCGTTGGACATACCAGAGCTTTGTGACCAAGCTTTCTCATCGTGGAGTATCATCATGACTTCGCTCGACGAGGTTGAGATCGAACCTCTAATCGACCAGACATTCTCGATTATTATCAAAAATTGGGACGCATTCCAGCCGGACGGACGGGACCGAGCATTTACACTTGTTGGTCACATTTTAACTGAGCATAGAGCTGTTGTGGAAAATGTGTTTGAGACCATGCCTTCTTTATCGGCTATCCCTTCTATGGCGGATTACGAGCAAGAAATCCAGCGCTTGAAGGGACGCATGGATGTTCAAACGCGATTTAAGGCTTTCTGCCGACGATGTCAAAATGAGAACCAAGTTGTTGTTGAACAGGCGCTGAAGGAGCTTGACCAGGAACTGGTAAAAAACGAAGAATTCATTCACCGGGCCATAACCAATGAACAACCGGACGGTATTGTGGCACTGTTGACCCGTTCACTATTGGATTGTTGTTCCAAATTTAATCCCACCTCTCCCACAATAATGACCCTTTCCGCGCGGTGTCTGGGCCACATTGGATGCTTGGACCCGAATCGAATAGAATCGGTTAAAGAAAAGAAGGATATCCTTGTTTTGTCCAATTTCGATAGTGCGGAAGAAACCTTAGATTTCATCTTATTTTTCCTTCAGCATATTCTGGTCGAAGCTTTCCTGTCAGCCTCCAATACCAGAGCTCAGGGCTTCCTTGCGTACGCTATGCAGGCTTTGCTAAAGCTTTGCAATTTGGATTTGGTCATGATACCCCGCTCTCAAGACAGTCAAGCAAATGAGTATTATCGACGATGGCTCTCCTTGCCGGAGTATGTGAGAAACACGTTGACCCCATTTCTTAACTCCAAGTATACAGTTACTATTGGTGCCATTAGTACAAACTGTGACTATCCTCTGTTTTCGTCGAAACTTAGCCATCCTGAGTGGCTCCGAGCTTTTACACTTGACATGCTACAGAAGGGGAAAGGCGAAAACGTGGTTATAATTTTTAGTGTCAGCAGTAGAATCATCCGAAGTCAAGACATATCCATCGCCGCATTTCTCCTCCCTTTTGCGGCCTTGAATCTGGCGCTTAGTGGTGATCAGGATCAAAGGGACGATTTGAAGAAGGAGTTGCTGAACGTCCTCCAGTACCCCCTTCCCGAAGATAACCATCAAATCAGGGAGAACATAATTTTATGTAGCGAGGTACGTTATCTCTCGCCATTTTGGACAACGTGAAGTATACTGACGTGAAGAAATGAAAGAGTGTTTTTTCCGTCCTCGATTATCTATCTAGATGGCTCCAGGGGAAGAAAAAGGAGTATACTAGCCTCGCTGTGCCAAATGCCCATAATCATCGCATAAGCCGAGATCCGGTTCTTAGTTCATGGGAGTCGCAAATAAAGCTCGTTGAGGAGCTTCTCTCCTCTGTACCCGCGGAGATCATTTCAAAACGGGCTGTCGAGTGCAAATCCTTTTCGAGAGCACTTTTCCACTGGGAACAGTATATACAGCAACAGCAGCAGCAGCACAAAGATGACAAAAAGGCCGCCTCCCTTGAACCCCTTTATCAAAGGCTGCAGGAAATATATACTCAAATCGACGAACCAGACGGTATAGAGGGGATCTCCGCTCATCTTCATGTCCTTAATATTGACCAGCAGATACTTGAACACCGCAAAGCTGGGCGTTGGGTGGCCGCCCAGAGTTGGTATGAGCTACAGCTCAAATCAGACCCGACAAATGGTTACGCCCAGGAGAATTTGTTGACATGCCTGAAGGAATCAGGTCAACATGGTATGATAATCCCCCTTTCACTGGTGAAACTGAATATCACCCTGACACCCAACTAGTTGTTCTTCTCAATCAATTTGATAGCCTCGAGTTGGCGAAATCTACACTGCCAAAGATGCTCCCCATCACTATGGAAGCTTCATGGTTGACTGGTAGATGGAACAAGTTGGATAGTTACGCGGGAATGGCCTCTGATCAAGCTGTCGGAGACTTTAATGTTGCAATTGGCTCAGCTCTTAGTATGCTACGGCATGGCAAGCTAGGGAAGTTCAAAGATACAATCACGAAGTTGCGCCTTAACGTCGCGAAAGGACTCACGTCAAATTCGGTGGCGTCGTTCCATGCAAGTCATGATAGCGTCCTTAAACTCCACGCTCTCACCGAAATTGAGCTTCTCACATCTCCAGCACCCAAGACCCGAGAGGATCGAATGGCGCTTTTCGAGACATTGGACCGCCGATTGGACATTCTTGGTGGTTGTATTGCTGATAAACAATACCTCCTTGGGTTGAGGCGAGCAACAATGGAATTGACGTAAGTCCCCAGCACATATGGGGCTCCTTTCCTAGTTAAGAACAGCACTGACCAGGAAAATACCAGTGGTTCGTTTGATTCGTCCGACATTGCCTCGATTTGGTTGCGTGTTGCTCGTCTTGCACGTAAAGCAAACTGCACCGAACAGGCATTCAATGCAGTTCTTCATGCTCATGAGCTTGATGATACGTCAGCTACCATTGAACACGCCAGGCTTCTGTGGAAAGAAGGCCACCATAGAAAAGCGATACAGACTCTCGAAGGCGCAATCGCAGCGAATGCCTTTACTGCACATGATTATGCTCCGTCAGAAGACACATTTGTAACGGTTGCCCCTGATCGACAGCAAAAGCAAAATATGGTTACAGCAAGGGTAGGATACATATATTGCTTCCTTTCAATAATTCGTTTGCCTTTGCATTTTGCTAACTTGGAGACAGGCACACCTACTGCTTGCAAAATGGATGGACAGCGCTGGCCAAACACAGTCAGAAGTTATCGTTCAAAGGTACAGGCAGGCTATTAAATTCCACAGTCGGTAAGTGAACTTATAACGGCCAAGTCCTTTATCTTGCTTGCAGCAACTTCCGTTGTGTATGCGCGACCTAACTCACTTTCTTTAGGTGGGAGAAAGCACATTATTATCTAGGGAGGCATTATACAAAAATCCTGGACTCGGAAAAGTCAAAGCCTTTGGGTAAAGAGGCGCAAATATAGTATGTACAATATCCAGGACGCTGGCGTACATGGCTAACACGGGTAAACCGAATAGTTTGAGCGGTGAGGCGTCTAAGCTTGTCATTGACAATTTTCTTCGCTCACTTGCCCACGGAAACAAATACGTTTTCCAGACCTTACCCAAAGTCCTGACCTTATGGTTGGAGCACGCTTCAACTGTCGACCAACCCTTCGATCCTAAGAGGGGTGACAATGAGTGAGAACCGTTAATATGCCCATCAAGGCTTTTCCTGCTGACTTTTCTCTAGGGAGTTTCAAAGATACAGTATGGCTCAGAAGAAAAAATGCCTTGATGACATGCATACGCAGTTGCGCAAATACTTTAACCGGATACCTGCTGCCTTGGTGTGTATTACCGTTGACCCTACTCATCAAGATATCCTGCTGATATTCTCAGCTCTTCACGATTCTACCCCAAGTAGTAGCTCGAATTTGCCATAGCAACTCTACGGTGTATAGTATCCTCACACATATTGTGGTGAAAACCGGAAATTCATTCCCGCAGCAAGCCCTGTGGACGATTCTCGCCGTGTTGAAGTCTTCTTCCAAAGATAGGGCCTCTCGAGGCATGTCATGTCTTCAGAAGATAACCGTACGTTCATGGTTCTCGTTTACTCAATGCGACGTTGCTAATGATAACAGGAGGCAACTAAAAAAATGAAAACTGAAACGTCGGCTTCGGATCTTCGGACTATTATTAATCAAGGACAACGAATTTCGGAGGAATTGTTGAAGATGTGTAATACGCGCATTGAAGATAAGAAGACAAAAGTTAGCCTGGCGAGAAACCTTGGGTTCAATCACAGGACAGCGCCATGCAGACTTGTTATACCATTAGAATCGACTTTGACTCCAATCCTACCGGCGAATCATGAACTAGGCTTTCTGAAATCATTCCGAGCGTTTCCCCACGACCCTATTACCATTGAAAGTAGGCAATCCTCCCTATTCAACGAGATACTATATGTCAGTCTAACTTGATATTGCTAGCCGTCCTTGACGATGCCCTCGTTCTCAACTCGTTGCAAAAACCCCGGAAAATCAATATCCGCGGCTCAGACGGGAAGATTTACAGCCTCCTTTGTAAACCGAAGGATGATCTCCGTAAGGACCAAAGGTTGATGGAGTTCAATAGCATGATCAACAGGTTTTTGAAACGCGATGTTGAATCAAGCAAGCGACGACTATGTGAGCCCCTTTTGAAAATAGAACAAAATTGCGACGGGGTGTTTTTCTAACTACGTGCTAGATATCAAAACTTACGCTGTGACTCCGTTAAACGAGGAATGTGGGCTTATTGAATGGGTTGACAACTTAAGGACTTTGAGAGAGCTCGTGATCAGGCTTCTCAAGGAAAGGGGAATCATTCCGAACGTAAGCTTCTGAGAACCCCCTTCGAGATTGTACGGGTTAAACTAATACTTTGTAGTACAATGAAATTAGGCACTATTTGAACGAAGCGTGTGCCGATTCGTCGAAGCTACCGCTTTTTACCAACAAAATCCTTGCGACGTAAGTCCTAAACTTCCCGTCCATACAAATAGAAATCACGATCTAACATCGTGTAGTTATCCTCCCGTTCTACATGAATGGTTTGTTGAAATGTTCCCTGAACCAGGCGCATGGTTTGCTGCACGCTTAAAGTATACAAGGAGCAGTGCTGTTATGTCCATGGTTGGCTATTGCTTGGGGTAAGAATGAACGCTTAGACAATTACATAAATCGTCCCCTGTATACTAAAAGCTGTTTGATAAAATAGGCTCGGAGACAGACATGGCGAAAATATACTTTTTGAGGAGGGTAGCGGCGGTGTCCTCCATGTTGATTTTAACTGTCTTTTTGACAAGGTAGGCACTCCAAGGTCCCTATGTCTAGAACAAAGTGAGACTAGGTAATGTTAACAACTACTCCAGGGCTTGACATTCGATAAACCAGAATTAGTTCCATTCCGACTGACACAAAATATGATAAACGCATTTGGAGCATATGGATATAATGGTTAGTATTTCCAACCCTTCGTTCTCGGGTTCACAGAAATCCTAAACTAGTAGTATCCAGGACCATTCCGAAAGACCTGCGAGATCACACTTGGCTTGTTACGACAAAACGAAGATTCGCTCATGACAATTCTGGAGACTTTCCTGCACGATCCCACAACAGACTTTATTGGCAGAAAGGTTGGTTCTTCCATCACACGGCACATCGCCATCAAATCTCCCTCCTATTCCAGAAGTTGTTAAAGAACTAACCGGTGAGCTAGAAACGAACAAACCCGAAAGTTCCAGATACGCCCGAAGGTGTCCTCGAGTCTGTACGAAGCAAACTACGAGGTTTGCTGCCTGGCGAATCTGTTCCGCTATCTGTGGGAGGCCATGTGGACGAACTGATCATTCAAGCCACAAGTATAAAAAATCTGGCCGCTATGTATATAGGCTGGTGCGCTTTCTTCTGAGTTCGTTCTTTGAATGGTACTCGCCGGGACGTATCCAGTCTAATGTCGTGATGAATTTACACGGGTTTAATGACTGCTGCGTACACATGGGTATTTTTGTATTCACTATTTAAATCATACTGCTGATCTGAGACCGAATGTATTATTGAAACGCCATGGCTATGAAAGCCCAGCAGGACATGTAGCCCTCCTTTTCTTTGTCGCCCAAAGTTTTACATAAAGTTACAAAAATAGTTTTGGGAAACAAACAAATTAGTAGCCCTAGTGTAGGGAATTGCTACCACCTTCCACCACCATGACGGCTGCGACTTCGACTAGGACTTCTGCTTCGGCTCAAGCTTCGACTCCGGCTCCGACCACGGTCGCTGTAGCTGCTGTAACTAGAGTCCCGTCTCCTACGACGACGAGGGCTATCCCTATGAGGCCTTCTGCGGGGTGGTGGCGTTCTGGAACGAGATCGCGGGGAATAGGAAGGCGAGCGGCCGCGTGGGGAGCGAGATCTCGAAAGTGACCGAGGACGATATAAATCGTGTCTTTCCATGCCGCGAGGGCCAGGAAAGCGTCGTGGGGAACCACGACGGGGCGGCGGAGAGCGATATCGACCTCCTGGCGGTGGCGGTCTTCCAGAGTCTAAGCCGCCTCGACCATAACCTCTTCCGTATGCAGGGCGGTCGAATCGCCCAAAATCACCCCTGTTTCGAGCCGGTGGAGGAGAGCGCGAAAACGTGCGGCGTGGTAGGACAATAGAGACATTGAGGACAGCACCGTCAAGTTGTGCTTCGTGCATATGTGATATAGCTGCCTCTGCATCTGCTACTTCGTGGTATAAAATATACGCGGTACCGCGGTTGGTCATAACTGCGCGCGTAACTCTTGTTAGAAGATGAAAAAATATAATACGATAAAATCATAATACTAATAAAATATCCACATCACATACAATGTGGATTCATCGGCAATTCCAAGCTCTGGATCTCTCCGTAGACCCCAAAAATTTCGCGCAGATGATTTTCATTCACATTCTTGGTTAATTTCTCCACGACAATCTAAATGGATCCGATTAGCATCAAAACAATAACGCGAAAATAAGCTGCAGAACTAGATCATATCAAACTAGGACGGGTGGGACATGACTTCATCTCTAAATCATGGTGGAACGGAGAGACAAGGAAGGACGCTACCTTCGAACTCGTTCGGGGAGGAGAGCGGCTTGGGCTTCGCGTGTAGCTTCTATCTCGATATCGATGATCGCTGCGACCTCTGCTCCAGCTTCTACTGCGACTTCTGCTCCGTGAAGGAGATCTGCTGTCATCCCGATGTCCATTGCGCCTTGGTGACATGTTGGGCCTTAGATGTCTCGAGCGAGAGCGGGAGCGGGAGCGGGATCGCGAGCGCGAGACATCTGAATGGTGGGATCGGGGCGAATGCGATCTTCGGTGTGAAGGTGCGGGAATAGGCGAATGCGACCTACGGCGACCCCGAGAGTGCACAGAGGGAGACCGAGATCGTGAAGGGGATCGAGAACGCATCGTTGCGGCTTTCGGCCAGTTGGATAAACCGAAAACCTTCACCCAAACCAGAAAGAGAGAACAATAATAACTAATTGTGTGGACGAATTTGCTGAATAGTGGTCAAGTGAAAGCTGATTTGATTCCTGTGAAGCATTAACTAATGTGCTGAAGCTGTTTGCCAATTAGATAGTTGGCCGTTGGTTGAATGGAGTTGGAGTTGGATATCTGCGATGGTCTGGTGCACGTGACTTGCACAGCTCTTAACATTCTAACTAGTGAAAACAAACAAGATGTATAAAGCAATATCCAAAAATATCTAACATACGCATACATGCATATATGGATATACATATCATTTGAGAAAAGGTTTTATGTCTATTTGGGTCATGTACTCATATCATATCATCCCTCCATCTCTCATAAGCCTCGATCACAGCTGCTGATATCTGCTTGGGTACCTGTTCCAAAGCACTTTCAAAATGCCTCCATCCAATTTTTTGTTGCTGGCCAGTCTCTTCCTCCTCGTCCAGGGCGCCGTCAGCTGCAGTTTCACAGATATTAACCATCTCCGCGCCAGAATACCCTTCAGTCACCTCGGCTAACATGTCAATATCAACATCATCGTCGACTTCCGATTTACTAACCCAGATGTTTAAAATCTCTTTCCGGGCCTGCAAGTCTGGGGGCCCAATATACAGAATATTATCCAGTCTCCCGGGCCGCATAAGCGCAGGGTCGAGAACCTCGGGTTTGTTCGTTGCCGCCACAACGAGCACGTTTTTCAGCTCTTCGATTCCGTCCATCTCATTGAGCAAAGTCGTGAGTACGTTTATACCGCCACCGCCCCCAGATGGGCCACTACCTCGTCGCGAAGCAATCGAATCGATTTCGTCAAAAAATATAATGCTTGGGCTGGCCGATCGTGCTTTTCGAAATATTTCACGAAGTGCCCGTTCTGACTCCCCAACATACATGCTCAAGATCTCAGCCCCTTTAACTGCCAGAAAATTCAACCCAGCTTCAGTCGCCAGTGCTTTAACCATTAGTGTCTTCGAACAACCAGGAGGGCCGTATAGTAAAATCCCCTTCTTGCCGCTTATATTCAGTCGTCTCATTCGATCAGGAAACTAATCAGGACACGTTAGTCATATTGTGGCTTCCTTAGCAGAAGAAGGCTGAGTTGCGGGCTTTACCTTGATTGGTCTCTCTACTGCTTTCCGAAGACGCTCCTTGATATCATGTAGTCCACCAATATCGCTCCACCTTACTTTAGGCGTTTCCAGGAAAACTTCTCTCATTGCCGTCGGGCGGGTTTCTTGAAGAGCAAGCGATATATCGTTATCATCGATTTGAAGGAAATTCTCATCTGGAGCTGCAGCCTCGAAAGGTAAGGCCTGTTCCGAAGCACATTGTTCACTGGAACACGGTTTTGCCTGCTCCAATTCCATCATTTGTCTGGTCTGTGCTTTTCTACACGAAAGCTGTAACAATGAAAAGAGGTCGGCGCCGACATATCCATGAGTCCGTTCCGCCAATTTTGCTATTTGGCTGTCATCGGGCACAGTGGAAGTTCCCCGAATGGATAATAGAATCTCTTCTCGCCCCTTAGCAGTTGGAACTGGTAATTCGATCTCGACGCCAAACCGATGGGGGGTTCTTAGGGTGTCGTCAACATCGTTCGGATGTCTCGTGCATGCGGCCACTAGAACTTTCGCATCTTGTAAACTATCCAAGGCTTCGCATAGCGCTGAACATACAGATGAGTCATTAGGCCGATTCTTGGGAGCAAGGAAATCCAATTGGTCTATGGCAATTAGACTTGGTTGTGACTGAAGAGCTTCTGTGAAGATCTTGCGCAATAAAACCTCTCCGTCGCCGCGGTTTCTGTTCAGCACGGAGCTATTGACGGTGAGTACTTTCTTCCACCCTGCAGCGCCAAGTTTAGATAGTAGCGTGCTTTTCCCCGTCCCTTTCGGGCCGTAGATTAAAATCCCGCCACTACTCCGATAAAACGAAGGCATAGTCACGTTATGCTCCTGGAACGTAAAGTCACGGAGTCTTTCATTAATCTGCATTAATTGCTGGCCGAGGCCACCCAATCCCGCGGATGACACAGAAAGGGAGGAAGGTAGAGTTTGACGTTGCAAGGCCTGTCCGATGAATACCTTAGAACTTGCAGTAAATTGAAAGATGGTATTACTTCGACTTGGAGTGAGAGGCTCGATTTCCGCCACTCTAAAGGTTCTACGGCTCCCTCTAAGGTCTAGGTCAAACACCATCCCCTCCGCAATGATCTCGCATTTAGACAAGGGGTATTCCAGACCCCATTCCCAATGAGGTCTATCTGTTTCCAGAAGCAGCCCAATAGCGGAAAGTTTGCCTGCGTCGGTGCACTCTTCAAGGCGGATAGCAGATATTTCGTCCAAGGGTTCATACTCTCTAGAAACTGATATCTTCTCTCCAAGCTTAAGCCCGTATAGATCCTGAACAGCCTTAGAGGTCTGAACAATTGTATCCGGAATTTTCTCAGCTGCGGTCCACGCGATGGCTGTTCTGGGGGAACCACCTGGTGATTCCAGTTGACACAGATCGCCAGGCCGAGCTTTTATGAGCAGCAGAGACGACGGAGAGAGAAAGACACGAAAGGAGTCTTTCTGGTCGTTTCTGGGTTGTTTCGACAGTGGCCGAACCGTGAACTTGGGTGCGTCCGCCGCCATCGTGAACCCCAGCGTCTCGGGATATCAATCGTTATTGAAACAGGGCTCCGCAAAATGGGGCGGGACAAATCAGATATATGAGGCGTGCTAGGAAAATTTTCGGCTGGTACACTGTCCATTCTAGATCAGACAGTGAGCATATTAGCTCACAGTATTTTGTCAAAAGCAGCATAAAGCCAGAAATATGTTACCTGGTAATATTCTGCTCAGGGGTATAGCACACACCAGCCAGCAGCTAGACCAGTTTGTAATTTCAGGGCGGGGATGGGTAAATGTTCATTTTCTCGGAGTGTCTTGAGGCTTAAAAAAGCCAAGCCGCGGTTTGATCAGATAAGATAAGAATCCTTAACTAACTTACGGAGTATAGCGTAAGAAGGGGAGGGTCTCAAACTTTTTAGCAGACACTGTACATACATAAGACCGCGACGACGACGTGGGAAAGAAACTCAGCACCATTTCTTCATCAGCCAGTTTCTGTTAACTATTCGGCACGCGGAATTGACACCAATTTATATCCAAAATATTGAGGCTTCTTCATGAGCTTTTGAAAGCGCATTGGTAACGAGCAACAAAACCGTTGATGAGACGAATTCCACACGATCTCCAATTATACAGACAGACATAATTCGCTTGCGGCCCTCCCCATCATAACCAGCATGTTCTCTCCGTCGCGATTTCCAGCCTTCGTACAGACATGTCCCGTCAAGTCATTGCGATGGCTGCGGCTATTCACATCTACTCCATCTCAGAGGAACGGAGGCAGACTTGAAATGCCACCGACTAAAAACAGAGAAAAAGGGGACGGAGCAAGCGCAAAGGCCACAAACACGACCGACAAAAGCAGCCGGCTGCGATTTGACCCCGAAAGAATATCCCTGGAGCACGCCGATTTACTCAAAATCTTTGGGCTGGCGGAAGTTCCCGAATCGAATAACACTGGCGCTATCATCGACAAGCTAGGGCGAATAACGATTACCTCTAAAGAAGCAAGTCAGCAAAAACATACTACGGCCCTCGTGCTCTATCGCGCCCCGGCCTGTCTTGACGAGCGAGACTTCATGTCAGTATTAGGCCAGGGGAAATTTCTCAACCAATGGAGAAATACAAGAGGCCTTGAGAGAAGTGAGGCTTGTGCATTTTTGCTAGATTGAAGTTAAGCTATCCAAACGGAGCTCTTTTTTACTAACATCAACGCCTCCGGGCTGGTAGTAATTCCCCTCCGCTTCCCTGATACCCTACGACGATCTAATACGTGGATCCTGATATTCTATAGCCCTGCAGCAGCGAAAGAATTCCAGGACAAAGTGTATCGCCTCTTTGAATTTGCCCGGGACAATCTCCCAACCTCCACCATGTCCAGCATTACGCCACCACCAAACTACACCGCCGACATTGCGGGCGATTATAGACTGAGCGATTACACCCTCACATCGCCGTGGCTGAAACTTTCTCTCGCCGCATATCTGGCACCTTTTGATCAGAAGATCCAAGGCGCAATTGACTTGCACAATAGCCTAGTATCCCGACATGGAAAGCAGGGATTCCCCGTTCGAATATGGATCGACAATCAGAGCCACTTCACTCTTAAACAGGAAGACCTCCGTCGACTCCTGTTGTGGGATGGGCAGAACAGGTGGTCACCTTGGCAAATAGTCGAAGAGGACCCTATAACGCCGCTGACGGAACCGCTTTCCAACGAAATGTTATCCTCCGGCGAGGAGGAGTTGACTGAAGGAGATTGCTGGCGCGTTGCGTTTCAGACTGCCGCGGAGGCACGGCGATTTGTCAGAGCGTGGCATAGGAGCGTGTTCCCTAAACTGGACGGGTTGCCGTTCTACCCCGATCCTCCGCCTTTAATAAAGGCCGAGTGTCTCTTTGAAAGCGAAATCTGTTGAGGTTGAGCCGGGTATCTACGTAAAACCAGTCGAAACAACTGCTCGAGTGGTCTAGTCTACATATCCAGTGAAGCTATCAGTGCCTTAAAACATGTTTGTTTATTAAGCCAAATACTACACATGCGATATCACCTATGGGGATAAAGCCGCCTGAAATCGCCAGGCCTGGGCAGTTTCATCAAAACAGCGATACGGTTTCAATATGGATTGCACAAGTTATCGTGATTCAATACAGCTCACTTGGTTATTCTGGATGGAAAGATATATTTGTGCGAAATAAACGAATGCAAAATGAAATGACGCCTTCTAGGAAACAAAGCATAGGCAAGCAAACAAGGACGAACAGGTGGAAGCGGGAATGGAATCATTATCAAGTGGACGAAAAATCAATAAGGCAAGAAATAAAATATAGGAACAAAAGAGATTGGGTCGACTGGGGATACATACTAAGATGAAGGGATCTGGGGACGCCACATTAACAGGGTTGGTAACTAAAAGTAGGAGATCTTTGGGGTAAAAAGTCCATCTCCATCTAGATAGTACAAGGAATGCCGCCTGTTCGCATGAACAAAGGAAATAAAAAGAAAACGTGAAGAAAAGGGGGAGAAGAAAAAGAAAAAAGAAAGCAATCCTAACAACATTTACCTCCAAGGTTGCCTTGCCCGGCTCCTTGATGGTCTATTGTAACGCCCTGGGAGCCGGCTTGTTCGGATTTGGTTGTGTCCATAACCTTCTTTATGTCAGAAGCTAGGGTGTAGAATGCCTTTTCAACGTTGATGTTATTCTTCGCTGAGACTTCAAGGAAGGGGATTCCCAGTTCGTTGGCTAGTTGCTGGCCCTGCTCTGTTGATACGGCTCTCTTCTCTTCCCAGTCGCATTTATTGCCGATAAGCATCTTATGTACTCCTTCGCTTGCATGTTGTTCGACATTCGAAAACCACGTCCGGATGTCTTTTTTCAAGGTAAAAGAAAATGAGAAGGTTAGCGTGACAGCCTCTTTTGCTATTTCATTTCTCTATGGCCGCAACCGCAACGCACAAAGATCGGAGAAACTCACTGTTGAAAGACCGCTCATCGGTCACATCGTAAACAAGAAGTATTCCCATGGCACCTCGGTAGTATGCGGTGGTAATGGTCCTGAATCTTTCCTGGCCGGCCGTATCCCATATCTGTAGCTTTACACGCTTCCCGTCTAGTTCTATCGTCCTGATTTTGAAGTCGATTCCGATCGTCGTAATGAAAGATGGGGTAAATGAATCCTCGCTAAACCGCAACAAGCAACATGACTTGCCTACGCCCGAATCGCCGATGAGAAGGAGTTTGATCTAATTCGGTTCCGAAACAAAACGTCAGCAGATGAAAGAATATATACATATATATGCATTCCAGAGGGGCTTTTGCGGAAAATTCGCAAGGCAAAAGTTACCAAAAAATCGTAATTTCGTGTGCCAGCCATCGTTAGTGAGTGTTAGTGAGGGAAGGCAGGCGGGGGAAGGAATGTTATGGAGATAATCCGCAGAGTAGAATCAAAACAGGTCGCCGTCGGTAGAAGCGTTCGAGGATGGCTGGAGAGGAACCAAATCCTCTAAGCACCTGTGGATAACTTTGAAACCTGCCTTTTGGCTACTAGCTCCAGGAACAGGGAGGCGGCGGCAGCGAGTAACTTAGGGTTGGAAGGGAGCGAAGTCTTTGGCAAGCAACAAAGCAGGTGCCTGCAGGTGTCTCTCAAGGACGGCCTAGATGGGAGGCCAGGCAGCGAATAGCACGGGAGATAGCAGGGGAGATAGCACGGGCGAGCAGGCTGTTCCGTTAAGTGATGGTAAGGGCGTGGGATCTGGCAGCGAGCATGATAGATATAGAGGATACCTAGGTCGGCTGGGGCGCAGGAAACCCATACAGGGCCAAACGTGGTTGGTTGGTCGTTGGTTGGTGGTTGGCGAAGGCGGAGAGAGCCAGCAGCCGGCAGTATATTTATTTGCTGGTTATTTAACTTATTATTAGCTCCTCCTGTCTTATAATATCTACTCTGTCCACAACATTATTAAGAAAACTGGACTCCTCCTCCTCCTCCTCCTCCTTCTTCTTCTCTATAGTTTTCTTTTGTGCTGATATACGCAGGATATCAGGATATGGACTGAGATATGATGGATACGGATGATGTGAGGTCTCCTTTATGACGAGGATGTAACGTTCTAACCTACCTTTGCGATGAACTAGACTTCACTGCTGCCTGCCTTCCTGGGCGTGTGATACCGGATCGGAGTGGAATATGTCTCGTATATTTAGGGATTGCCTTGCCATCAATGGCCCCCATAGAGAGATTCCTACCTGCCTACCTGCCTGCCTGCCCGCCGGGCCACCGGCCAGATTACACCAGTTCACGATTGATATACCACATATAGGGCTTGTATGCTACAAATTCATACACAGCTCATGCAGACGATACCAGCTACAATCGATGTGTGCTGTAGGAGATTGCAGTATACAATTTCTATCCCCTGGGCTTAAATAACGGTTGCACGCTACGGTCGATAGATATCGAGAGAGATTTAAATGGAACAGTAGCTTTTAGAGGTTCTTTTCCAACAATATAATAATGATATATAGAATATAGGATGATGGGTTAATTTATCACCTGAAAAGAAGTGCTGTTTTTTTGCACAGTTACTTTTTACCAACCATATCATAACAAATAGATATATATGAATACTGAAATGCATAGATTAAAACAACAACATACCCGGGGAAATGTTTATCATCTCCAATACTCTATGATACTCCTGAGTTCAATAATAATTGATAGGGCGTGTTGCGTCTTCAGATGTCAAGATGGATCACCAGAAGGGCGCGTTGAGGTGGGCCAATCCCGGCTGTTGATTGGGCTGGGCGGCTCCGATATCGGTCTCTACCGCCAGATATACGTCTGCGTCAAACGCACCTTTTCAAGGCTCCATTCCTCCATCTTCCTTGATTATCACATCTTTTCTTGAGAATCACATAACTATTTCCTGCGTCGTTAATGTTGCGCTACTTCGAGATTCCGCCAGACAGAACTTCCTTCCAGCTATGTTCAAGCACACGAAGCAGACTGAGCCTATAAGATACTCGCCTCGACTCGACTACCATACCTCATTTTCTCCTCATAGCGGCCCGGGGGCCTACCCCAGTATGGTATTTGGACATCTCCATGGCCCTTTGGGGTGAGAATATGTGCAGTATCTTGAACAGCTAAAAGTCATGGTCGGGCCTGTCTCTTGTTCCCGGCTTGTCAACCATCTCCATTCACCACGTTCCTAGGACACCTCCGTTGAGGTGCCAGTCGATGACTACGCCGCCACCATTGAATAACAACGTGGACACAGGACTCGCCTGAACTGTTCCGAATCACACTTCCTCTCCCGTTAGATTATAGAGGACGGACCGTTCCAACCTACAGCAGATGTTGGAGGAGATACACGCTGACTACGCGCAGTTAGATCAGTCATGCCTAACATTCGACTTATCCACAGAGCGATCGAGAAAAGACGGGCTTGCAGGCGTACCTGTTTCCAAACCCCCCTGTACACCCCTCCCCTTAGAAGATAAGATACCTCCCACCCTTCGAGCAACAAATTGCAAGATACAGTGACGACGCCGAAATGGTCTGGAATCCACACTATACTCGAGAGGGCACTGGTTAGGAGCTTTGTTAGGGCTGTGGTTGATGATGAGGAGAAAGAAGCTGGCTGGCGTTTCTGCGTGGAGCATGGCGCTAAAATGCCTAGTGCCGCTGATGATGGGGTACCTAGAGGTCAACACGTTCTCGATCATTGTTCGGATAAGCAGGCTGTGGAACGATATAGTAACTGCTTTGGTCCAATTCGCGAAATCGAGTGTTGCTTGCCACTTTGATCGACTCATTACTAAGTTTCCGCTCTGACACAGAGCTGCCTATAGACATGAGAGGAAATCCTGCTTGACGGAGGATTTTTATTTTTATTTTTATTATACTTAGACAACCCATATGTCTAAACTTGCCAGGAGAAAGATTTCAGCAAAGCAATTGCAGGGTCGCGCTATAAGCTTGAAATTTCGTGAAAACCAAGTTGGGCTTGCGTTGCCGCCAAAAATGAAGGTGCAAAAAAAAAAGAAAAAAAAAATCCAAACTGATGGCGAGGCACAGTCCAAGTGCTCTGCTTTATTCTCGACAGGAAAGGGCCGCCCCAGCCCAGCCAAGGTTCATATCATGTCATCTGAGGGATGGATGGATAGGGAGATTACATAACGCCTGCAGGGTCGTCTATCCCGAGAAACTAACCGAAAACGCTAGCACCGTGTTCCCGGTAATGGGTTGCAGCAGTAGCAGCAAGCGCCTCATGGCACTCGTGAGGGTGCAACCATCGAATGGCAAGGCCTCACTTCAAGAATAATTGATGGGCTCAGGATTCGGCCGAAAGCGAGGGAGCTAGGCTGACCAATGACACAGCTACGATGTACTTGGATGATGAGTTAACGACTGAATACGGGGTACAGGCATGGGGAGTCAATCGGTCTGCTTCAAGGGGAATTATTATTATTATTATTATTGGCCTCGAGCAGGATTGTCTGCTTCCCAAGTTCACCATCGCACCGGAGGCTGAATCCTATATTTATGCCATGCTGTCTGATCACGCAGGAGAGCTGTTGAGCATGGCCACCCCTGTCTATTACTTTCACGTGTAACCCGTCAGAGTGAGACTGAAAATGTTGACCCGGGTTGACTGAAGAGTCTGATTGGTAATGAAAAGATCTTGCTCTGGTCAAGATACGTTCGTATATCGGGTTTCTAGCTTTTATTTTTTATTTTTTATATTTTTTCCCCCTTTTATCGGCTAATTTTCAGTGCTTTATGTTCTCCCAAAAAGCTTGGTCTTTTTTGCCGAAGCGATACTGTCCATGTACGCACAGTACTGCACCCAACAATAGGGATACTGGCAGCTCTAACAATCCATAAGGTCTACAATTACTTCACATTGACACATTCATCACACATTATTGGGTGAGATGGAACGCAAGAAATGATTTTTGATTTTATTCCGAAGAATAGGGAGCAAAAAACCCCCAGCTCCGCGAGGACCCCGCGTGTTTTAGACAGTTCCCATCTGGTTGGTCGGTTCCGCTCAATTCGAGAAATTTGAAGCCTGAGCATCACAGGTAATTTCTTTTTTTTCAAATTTTTTTTTCATAATTTCTTTTTCACGGGGGCTTGTTGAATCATTGATCGATCAATTATTGGGGTTTCAGCTTTTACAAGGTAAACATAAGCTTTTGGCTCTCTGCATGAGATCTGTCATTCTCTCCTTCAATTCTTTCTCGCTAGATATCTCTTCTTTCAACCCAGCTCCTCCCTCCGGTTCCTCAACTGAAGGAAGGAAAAAAAACGTCAACGCATGACACGTTTCCTCTCGCGCTGCTTCCGGGAAAGTGGGTGGGCCGCAGAAAAAAAAAAATTAGCAAATTGGCTCTAGTATTTAATGCGTGTGGACACGTGTGAGAGGTCGCAGCTAAAGCCCGCTAACAGATTAAGCGTCTCTTGGCGACGATGCTCTCGCCACATCTCCGCTCCGGGGTTGGAGGGGGGGCTTGAAGGAGGGTTGGGGATATGCTAAACCTCTTTTAGGGAGGTCCTTAGGGCTTGGCTTGGAGCACGCGATGGGACCAAGGCCGGGAATACCCATGCGGGGGAAGATGGGGACCGGAGAACCAGACACAACGATGATGATGATGCTGCTGGTGATAGGTGACGATGGTGGCTGATGATGACAGAATTGGGCTCGCGTGCTTGGCCTCTTGCCCTCTTCATTTCACGAAGAAGAGGTTTGTTCCGAGCTCCTGCTACCTATGAACGGTTAGCAGTAAAAGCAACCGGACTGGGGAATTTTCTGGAGAATAACCAGACCAGGATTATTATTAACCCATGTGGATTCGAGTTGCAGGAATGTCTCTTCTGCGAATGAGATGAGCTCCGTGCGACGTTAGCCGCTCCTCTGAACGGTCTTGAAATGGGGACTTGGTCCTCCACCTTGGTGATTGATTAACCAATTACGGATGACACAGAGAAAGGCTTCGAATTTCCCTATCCGGGGTACGCTGGGAATCATCTGGAAATCTGACAGCCTTGACCACTACACTCCCGGGAGAAGAGGGGAGAGAGGGGCCCGGGGGGCCACCACCACACTGTTGCGTTGCTGTGAGTTACGGGTAGCAGGAGTAGGAAGAGTGAGAGTGAAAGTGAGAGGTGAGAGCAAGGGTACCGCCGGCAAGCCTGAGAGTACTCTGTACATGCCCTGTAGAAAGGCGCCAAGTTGACCCCAGCATATCAATACATCCCCGCGCCAACAGCTATCTCTCTCTCCGTGTCTCTGTATCTCTCTTTCTTCGCAATGTGCTTTGCTGACGGAGGCAAAGTCAAAAAATACTCCGAGGCCCTCGGGGTATAAACGACTGAGCGAGAACTGTCGAACTTCGACCACTAGAACCGCATGGCACGCCTTCCCCCCCCGCCTCTCTCCTCTCCTCTCCTCTTGGGATCTTGCTTGGGAATGGAATTCGATCGCGAGCAAAACAACACACTAGATCGCGAAGAACTGGCAGCACGCAACAAATGGCCAATCCCCGCTCGCGAGTCGTTATACGAACACACTTTCCTCCTGTGACAGGTCAGACCGCAGTGCCACGGTCGTAAACGGACAAGCTCGGGGCTAGCAATTCCCATTAGTTAGGACTGGGGCCTTGCAAGCATATTGGTTAGCCCTAGGTTAGACTCAGGTTAGCCTCACGTTAGGGCGCCCACACTAGCGCGACCCACCGAACGCAGCACTAAGCACTGTAAGCAGTCGACCGGGGTGACGGCGGTGATGGCGGTGATGGCGGTGCTGGTGAAAAGTCCCGTTCCGCTGTGGTGCGGGGTCCAGCAGCGGGGATGGGATTCGCGCTGCTGCTGGGCTTGGCGCGAGTCGGCATTGTAACCCTGGGGCTTGGCGCAGAAAAAACTTCCCCAAAACTTCATCCGGGAGATCGTTCTTTTTTTGCAAACCTCCGCCTCCACCACCACTGCCACCACCGCTGCCACCACCGCCGCTGGGTTAACGAACCAACAACGGTCGGCAATCCAACCTATTTTTTGTCCCTCGCCAAACAAGCTGCTGTCAACCGATCCTGCCAGGCCGCACTACTATATAACCGTGGTCTAATCCATCCATTCCAAGTCTCACGCCGCCTAAACCCAAACCCCCCCCCCCCTGCTCTTCTTCTCCCCCCCCCCCTCCCCTGTCCCGTCCTCTTCTTCCCTCCTCTCCCCGGTTCGCCCCTGTCCTTCAGCTCATCCTTGGCCGTCTGATTACCTTGCTGTGCTTTCTTCTTCCTCCTCTTTCCGGCTATTTCCCTGTTCTTCCTCTCTTCCTCATAAGCCTGGAGCTGCCCTGTTTTTCCCGTCCCTCTTCCTCCTCCTCCATGCAAGCAAGGAATCTTTCGCTCTCCGTCCTACTGCATCGATCCTAATAGCTCGTGGTCCGGCACGTTTGTTTTTGTGATCGCCCATCATGAGTGTCTTCAAAAAGGTTCTCAATATCCTCGCCCCCGACGCGAAAAAGGCGACGGACGGCCGTGATCAATGGCCGAATCGGCTTTCCTTCGTGCTGGCCGCCATGGGCGGCGCCGTTGGTCTCGGAAACATCCTTCGGTATCCCTCTGTTGTCTTTGAGAACAACGGCCTGCAGTGGTTCATTCCCTACCTAATCTCCCTCATCTTCCTGGCAATTCCGCTGCTCATTCTGGAAATCTCTATCGGTCAAGCTGCCCGCGGTGGAGGTGTCATCGCCTTCAACACGGTCAGCAAGCGCGCAAGAGGAGTCGGTATCGGCACCATCTTAACAGGCTACATGGTTGCGACCTACTACGTTGCCATTCTCAGCTGGGTCATGATTTACTTCCGCCACTCCTTCTACACCCCACAGGCTTGGGCCGGTAGAGGAGAGGAATTCTATATGCAGGATGTCATCGCGAATGTCGAACCCATCCCCGGCACCTTCAGTGAAGATGGCAAATCCGTAGCCACATATGCTAGCTACCCAGGCACCGCCCTCGTTGGAGAGACTGTCGGCTGGGCAGCCTTCGTCTGGTTTGTTGTATTCCTCTGCATGTTCAAGGGAGTCGGCCTGTCAGGCCGGGTTGTGTATGTGACTATGGGTCTGCCGATTGTCATGATTTTTGTCCTCCTTGGCCGTGGCGTGTCGCTTCCCAACGCTGTGGAGGGCGTGAAGATGTACGTGGGTCACTGGGACAGTTCTAAGCTGGCTTCGGGTCAAATCTGGCAGGCAGCTGCAGGTCAGATCTTCTTCTCCACCGGCGTTGGTTTCGGTTACTTCACCGCATTCGCATCCTACAACCCAACCTTTGCGAATGCAGTCCAGGACTCCATCATTATCGCCTGTTGCAACTCTCTCTATGAGGTTATCGGCGCATTCTCCGTCTTTGGCATCGTCGGGTACCTCGGTCTGAAGCCTGAAGCGGGTGACAAGCTCGGAACATTTACTGTTGGCTTCCTGACATACCCACTGGCCATTACAGAACTGCCTGCGTCTGCCTTCTGGGCGGTTGTGTTTTTCTTCACCATCATGCTCGTCGGTCTCAGCTCTGCCTACGCCCTCGTCGAGTCGGTGGTCACGCTCATCGTTGACACAGACTGGGGCAAAAAGGTCCCACGTACCGTCGTGTGCACGGTCGTTATTATAGTATCGTTCCTTCTATCACTCATGTACTGCTCCCAATTCGGATATTATCTTCTCGATGCCGTCGACACGTGGCTTAACAACTTCTCTCTCCTCTTCATGGCGTTTTCTGAGTGCATTGCTATCACCACCTTATACCGCTACAAGGAGGTCGTCGGCCAGGTCGGAGGAATTCCATACCTCATCTACAATGTTGGCTACGTTTCCGCCATGATTCTCGGCATCGGAGTAGGCCATGCGACCACGCCTTGGGCCGGTGCTGTTATGGGCTTTGGCCTCTTTTTCTTCTGCGCAGCCCTTTCTATCTTACTTGCCAAGAACCCTGACACTCGTGCTCCTCGTTTCTGGGCCAATAGTCCAATGTTGGAACGTTTCTGGTGGATCGCCTTCTACTCGGTAAGCAAAATCTATCCCTTCACATGCTCCCCCCCTTTCTTTCCTATCTGTGTTCCACAACGCCTCGATTTCCAATCTCGCCTCCCTTTTGACATCAGGCACTAACCATCAACACTGTAGGGCAACCAACTCACCCGCGATCTCAACGTCGTCGTCGCAACTGGCAAAAACTGGAGAATCCCCGTCTACTGGGGCCCCGTGGTCAAATACATCTCCGCCCCCATCCTCGCCATCATCGTCGGTTTTGCCTATCCCCTTTTCAACTCGAAGCGCAACGACCCGCTCCATATTTTTGCCTTTGCCGCCGCAAACGTTGTCATGGTTCTCGTCGTCCTTGGTCTGGTCATCCCACGGTCGCTGAGTCTCCTACTACCCGCCGAGCGCCTTAACAAGGTCGAGCACTACGCTCCTGGCGTGACACTGGCACCTGTTGAGGTCAACACGGGTGCCATCGAGGAGACCTTCGAGGAAGCCGAGGAGATGAAGCAGAAGCACTGAGATCCCGTTTCCCCTCTCCACCCCTCTCTCCTTTCCCTTCATCCCTCTACGCGCTCTTGTGTGTGTTTTTTCCATCATGCATTCACAGGGCTTATTTTTTAATCTATCTATTTTCCATTTGTTATACACATTCCCTCTTTTATGACCCTTCTCAGGCTCCAAAAACCGAAAACAATAAATACAAAAAATACAATAAAGAAACACTAACTAAATCAAGAAGAAACTCAAAGCCTCTCGATCTAACTAGCTAGAGCCCCTCAAATCTTTGTCAGTTAAAACAATCGCTCTTCTTGCTTTTCAACAGCATATACCAGGCGAGGCTGCTTATTGGTGCCTGCTCCACTGGGCTGATCTTATCCGAGATTACCCATATTTATCGGATAGTTAGTTATACATACATTAGGTACATACACACGTACATACAAATACTACAAATACATAATAATAATAGGGCATTCTAGAAGGAATTTTAGCTTTTTCCCCCATACTTTCCACCTTCCTGTTTGCCTCTAGCGCTCCTACTAAAACCAAGCAAAAAACGTGTTCAGTGTAAATTAAGTTTATAGGCACGTAATATCATTGGCCACTTAAATTTACAAAATTAATTTGAAAAAAAAAAACTATTTTAGAATTAAAAATAAAAATAAAATATACTTTTCCAAGGAAATACGAGCATGCAATTATTAACTACCCTACCCTACCCTCCTCACATGAACCAACCACCCCACCACCCTGTTTGCGGGCGGGTACGATGCGGTGTGTTTTGCTGTCGCTTTGTGTGCGCCCTATTTTAAGCTTTGCTGGCGTGAAACAAAACCCAGCAATCCCCTTATGGATGAAAGAGCAAGTTCCAAGGTTGGCGATAGCTCTTAACTCTAACGCTTGTCTCTCTCTCTTTTATATTATTAGAAGTTAGCGAGCGAGCTTGCCCTGGCGCCTGCAACAGCCGGGGATGAGACCCGGGAAGGGGGGGAGATGAACTAATGAACTACGGATGTTACTCTCCTGAGGATGTGAAGTTAACACAAGGTTTTGAATTAATTGTGCGGTTTTGAGAACGACAAAGGGAAGGAAAAAAAAAAAAAAAACCCCGTATTTTCGGCTGTTGCTGAGATCTGGGGAAGGGAAGGGGGTTGTGGCTGTGGTTTTGTTGCTATTATTAACAACCCATGGTAAGTTAGTTATGATGTATGGTAGGTATCGTGCTGGGAGATGAAACCTCGGCTTATCTTTTTATTTTTCTTTTAACTCCATAGTTACTTCTCTTTCCTTTTATTATATGGGTTGAGATTTCTCAAATACCTCTTTTTACGCGGTTTTAATTATTTGAATTTTTTGTTGGTAATCAAATGCTTCTAATAAAATTCCAAAATTGTAATCCGTAGATTATTATTGTATAGATTAATAAGTTTCCTCCTTATTCTATTCTTTAACTAGCTTTGTGGCACTCACCAGAGTTGAAACAAGGTGCTTAGAGATATATCAACATGTTTGGATGGAACGGTTTCAAACATTCTTGGCCAAGTATCCCGCCCGAACTGAGCTGAGGATTTTCCCCATCAATTCATCTTCATGATTATTGAAATATATATATATTTCCCCTTCACTTCTTTTCTAAGTTTGAATGGCCAAGTCATTTGCCCTGCAGAATCACTGGCAGGGGAGGAGGGAGGGTTAGTACATACTCCGTATATCCCGCAGAGTGCAGCAGAAGGGGCGGGGTGGAGCCAAAGCCTTTCCAATTTCCAAACGCTTCAGAGTTAACTTACTCCGTACATACGTGAAGCTTTTGTATCGGGAATAACTAATTCCACCTCGGGATTAACTTGCTGTTGGCGTTGGCTAATGGCCGGTGGCTGGCGCAGGCAGGGGCCGTTGATTAGCGTCTAAACCGACTCAGCCCTATATACTGTACATGATACGTCTCCCGAATCTTTATGGAGGTTTGGAATCACTTTTACCACCCGGATCACTGGCAATTGCAAGGTGGTTGGTTCCATGCTTCTGAAGAATAGCCGGGCCATTGACCCTTCATGGGCCAATTAATCTGTAGACAAATTTGTTCGAGGTGAAAGGCGCCTTCTGTGGAGACATGGATCAAATGAATGTGTGATGTAGACAGACAACTATATTTTTTGAAAGAGGGGCTCCTTTCTGATAAAAGGAAAGAATCAGTGCTGAGACGCTATGTGATTAACTAGTTAGTCTTTGTGAAAAAGAATTAAAGAATATTAGAACAAACTGAGGACTTTGAACTTATCGCTGCGTGGCTGGCTGCTCGTATCTGTAGGATTCTCGTCGGCGTTAACCTGCACGTTCTGCACGTCTGCCACCTGTTGAAGTCCCTGTTAGATTCCCAGTATAGTCGCTTTTAGCATTGGCCAGTCAACCAAAAATATTACCCTATAAACTATCAGAGGTCAGCTACGCCGGGTCCTTTGAGACTTGTGGTCTGTATATATAGTTAAACTCTCATAGATGGCACGGGCACTACGCTGTAAGTTGCAATCTATATCATGCAGGGTCAGCAAGAGAACCTCAAGCTGGAACCAGGGGAGAGAGAGAGGAGCTGGGGAGAGGGGGGGCTGGCGGAAAGAAGCTCAGTGGGGAGCCTCGATATCATGTCTATTCATGTACTTCGTACGAAAACCCCGTAAACCAAATCGAGCCAAGGATCGGGCTGACGTTCAGTAGATCTGTACCGCCACAACCAATTTAGGATGACAAGTTCTCCGTTTTTTCCCTTCCTTGGGTGTTGTTGGCATCTAGCTTCCCATAATGGGTGTGGTGGTACATGTACATGTGCAGTACAAACGCCCGATGTCCCCTGGGCGTGCATGTCACCGTGCATGTCACCTTGCAATTTTCATGCATTATTCAGTAAAAATCAAATATCGAGCTATCGCTAAGAATAAATTAGCAAAGGTGGCTCTATCGAAATAAGGGTTGTCTGCAGGCCGCTCAGAATGGGTGACGAAGTACGCATTGCACAGGGAGCTAGATATGTTCACAAGCAGATGTTGGGAAATCCGTCAATTTGATAGGCCACACCAGCTGCATGGTGGCTGTCTCTTCCAATGAATATGCCTGTCTACACCTCATTTCATCAGAGATCTTTCAAAAATTAAGCCCGTCAGTGGGCACACAAAAGGAATAGCATTGCCCCGCGTCAACTTACAGGCCGAGAAACAGAACATCCATTGCGAGAGTAGGCCCGCAAAGTCACCAGGCCGTGTGCAAGCAGCATATGGTTTTGGATTTTCATCTAACAAACACACACATATATATATATATATGTATATATATTTAAATTGTTTTTGAACCTATCAGGTTGAGATGTCTCTCCAAAGACGTACTTCATCTTACCGACCACTGCGTACGCTCCAGATGATCTCATAAGGCTTGGGCAAGTTATCGTGAACCCTAGGATTCCTTACCGGCGTCTTGCCGAACCGCTCCCGCTCGAAGGAAAGCTTATTCCTCGAAAAGCTGACGCTGTCGAGTGAAGCGCCTTCAAAGTTGACAACGAACGCGGGCATTTTCGCACATTTTCGCGGGCCGAAGCATCGTCCAATAAGTCCCAGATCGAGAAGTACAACTAGGAAGGCGCCTTCTTAGAGACGCAATTTATTGAGCTGGATGAGGATCCAGAGTACGTGTTTAAAACTGCGATAGAGGTTCCGATGGTGTTGTAGTGGTTGGAGAAGAAATGGCCGAACATCTCTGGGAGGATGTTGGAAAGATTACGGGGATAAAGACGGCTACTAAACCCGGAAAGGCCACCTACGATGGAGTAGATAAGAGGGACGCTGCGGCAAAGCTCAAGGTCTCGGCTCCTCTCCACCCTGGAGGAGGAGTCCCGGTGAAACTCGGGGCTGAGGGGGGGGGGTATCACAACTCAGGGGACATCTACCTGGAGGGAACGCCGCAGGATAACTTCGTGTTCGCGTATCAATTGCGCAAAATCCACATCGACTGGAGAAAGAAGACTCGTTTAGGAGACCTCGTCGGAGGTGCAGACTTGCATGGAGAGGGGCCATCGATTCGGATTCGTGATATAGCCTGTGTCAACAAAATCGCGAGTAGGTCACTGATTACGAAATCAACAGTGCGACATGATACCGACGATTTTGGGGCCTCATTACCAAGAAGGGATGTTAACGTAACTGGCGTCGATGAATGTGACGGGCATCAGTGCCTGATGGTCCAGGCAACCATAGGTTATGAATGTTGGGAATTTCTTTTTGAATGGTGCAGCACTGGTTTACAGGTTGACAGCCTCTCTTATTTTGAGTGCGAAGTAGTGTGCCAAACCGTGATTGTCATATTTCTCTTTCAACCTATCTGCTTCTAGGCTGTGGTTGTCGCTTCCAATGTCGGGCTTCAAATAATTGTATTTGTGATCTTCCGAGTTAAGGCTCATGGATTTCAGTATTGCACGTACTGCTCGAATCATTTTGAGGCAGGGGAGCTTCTCGCCTACATCCATTATAGTAGGATATTCGTAGCAAAATTGAAATATGATCGCCACGATAGCAGCAGCAACCGGAGTTGAAAACGATGATCCGGGCAAGCGCGTCCAAGGAGCTTTGGTTGTCGACCTAGTAGAGATAGTAGGCGGTTCTATTTGCAGAGGCCATATGGACTCAATATCGTGTCCTAATGCCCCGAAAGTGTATCGTGTGTCAATCAAAGGAGGACATGACTCGACCTTGTAACCAAGGTGGTCAGTTGCGAAAATTTTGAAGACACGGTCCTCATTAGCTGGATATTGCAATTGCTGATGGTTGCCTAAATTCCCCACTGCGGCAAGTATTATTATGCTTGTTAGCGGCAAGGTTAATCGCTTCTTGTAAATTGTCGGTCGTTCGGCAGAAACCGAACGACAACGAGATAATGTCCGCCCCCCACTCAACAGCGCACTCGATAGCCTAAGCAGCATGAAAAGTTAGTCACAGCAGAATCAATATCCGATAACGGGGAGCTCTCACTTTAGCTACTTTTACATCCGCAGATAAATCACTCGCTAGCGAGTCGCGAGTTCACCCAACCCGAACAAGGAGGTCTACGTTCGGCATGAGCTGGAGTATAATTCCAGCAATGAACGTCCCATGTCCATCTTCATCGATTGGAACGGAAGAGGCTTGCTCAGAAAATCGTGAAATTTCACAGAAACCGGATCATCGCCTTTCGGCCCGTAGCTAGAAGATATATAAGGATGAGAAGTATCTATACCCGTGTCGATTATCGCTATTCGAACCGTCTCTACATCCTCATGTGGTGTTTTCGAAAGTAATAGTTTGTCCCGAATACTTGCTAGCCATTCCATCCGATGAGCGCTTCCCCTGTGAACACAGTTCTGATCAGCGAAGCTCTTGGGAACAATGCTCAAGATTAGGGCAAGTGATGCACTCGTCTTACTCTCTAGGTTCTGATTGCAAAGAAACTCTAGATGCTTCACTATAGAAATGAATAAAAGATGCGCTCGAACAGTCTTTTGATCGCTCTGGTAAACCCGCTGAAGAAGCTAGAAATGTTAGTAAGAAGCATGGCGCTGAAAAGTAGCAAGAGCCGTGACGTAGGGGCGCATTGGGGTTTAAATTACAAGAGGAGTGATTTAAAGCCCGCTCTCTGCGTGAGTGAGCGAGTCGTTTCTTCCTTTGTGAAGGCATCAGTTCTCTTTCAGAGTCTCCGTTGGCGTCTAATTGGATAGAAGGGTGAGCTAAGGGTGTATCGGCACTGGTTCTTTGATCTCGGGCTCCGGAGGGCCTTGTTTCACTGTTAGCAGTAGAGGTCGGAACTGGTGACTCCGATCGATATCGCTTCTTCGTGCTCGGCCCTACCTTCATAGCAAGCTCCAGGTTGCTGACAATTTCCCTGTAAATCAACTTTCGTATCGCAATAGGCCTCTCTTTCTCTGACAAATTTTCGTTTAATACAAGACCAATGTTCCGTTGTGATAGATGTGGTCTTCCCGGTATGAATTTCGAGAAGAATCTTGGCGAACGACACTAGAGCTGGATGGCCAGTCTCAAATTTAAGTAGCTCTTCTGATGGCGGAAGCCCCGAGGAGAAGGCCATGAAGAGAAGCACATCCTGGTTAACGGATCCCGTAGATTGAACGAGATGAATGTTCTTTGAATCCCACTCTGCGTCGAAAAAGTCGAGAATGCGGTAACCTAGCTGAAGGGCAAAAGTTCGCTTGTTACTGTGTAATATAAGCTTGCTTATTCTGTGGCTTCTTGCGAATCAACCGGGCGAGTGATACGCTTGACGATGGGTCGGCACTGAACTCTTCCGAGGGAGGGCCGTTCCAAGTTCCAAAGACATCACCTCCTCTTATAGTTAAGCCTAATAGTTTGGCTCGATTTGAATCGTCTTGTAGTTGGTTACATATATTTTCGGTACAGTCAAACAAGCTACCATCGCTGCAAGGAAATTAGTGCCTAGTGACAAGTTTGGAATTAAGTCGTGGAGCCTACTCTTGTGAATCATAGAGCGCCTCCTGCCAGTGGTGTGAATCTGAGCACCGAGACAGCCCCAACTGAGTTCTCTATCGTCCGGTGGGAGGGTTACACTGGTCTCCTAACCCGAGCATGACTTCGCGGTTGTTGCATTGGAAGCCTTGAAAAAGGGCGTTAAGAACAGCTTGTTGCGCGGCTCCCGCGTTGTTGTATTTTGGTAAAGTATGTACATGTACATCAGGAGGGACGTCCGGTGACAATGTCGAAGTTTTGAGGGTGAGGTCCAAGAGATCATTCGCTTCTGTCAGTCGAATTATGTTGATATGAAGCTCATTAGCATTTGGGGAAGCCTGAATAGTGTTTGATTTATGCCGCTGGCCATGTCAAAATATCTCATGGGTGTTGGATTTCCCAAATATATCTCTTTAGCGCCGACAAGGGTAAATATCCGGATGGATCACGGATGGCATAACTTCAACATATTTGCGGCTTCGCGAGTCAGTCCAACAACTGATAACAATATACCGAAGCCTTCTTTGACCTTTGTAAAACGTTGCGGGCCATGAGGCGTGTTTTCCTTCCAAGGCGCTTAGCTAAGGCCTGTATCAAGCGAAATTCATCGCACTGGTAAAGGTAAAAGCTAGGCTCCATCGGCAATAGGCCTCTGTTCCTGAAAATTCCTAGTTTTTCACATAGTAATTAATAATAGAAGAGCAGGTACTGAGTTAAAGTATGTTGTGTGGCTATCAATTTGGTGGTTGTGTGTAGTTAACTAACTACTAACCATGCGGCGGCGGCTCGGGCTGGGCCTTAACTAACTAGCTACTAGGCACTATATGTATGTACTGTACTGTACTGTACTGTACAATACATAGTTATACTTACTGTACATTCATGTACATGTACTTGTACTTACTTGTACTAGTTACTTACTTCCCTAGGTTAGATTGATGTCAATTGTCAATCCATTAATATTGGAAGGGCTACAGTGACCATACCTAGCATTCATTTTAGGTTGCTTGGTTATTGTCATGATATAAGTTATATAGTTCTAGAGTAACTTACGGAGTAACTACAGAGTGGTTAACTTACTGTACACGAATCTCTATGTAGGTAAGGTAACATAACTAATAGTAATAATCCGTAACTGTTACACATCACATCAACCATCAACATCACATCAACCATTCTCCGCATCCCTAACTACTTCTCATAGCCTCACAAGACTTCATTCGACTTTTTCAGCTTCTGGAGAGATTGACTCTACTGTCACTTTCTTCGTACACTTAGAGCGAACTCGGGTAGGGAATCCGCCCCATCACATCACCTCACTGACTGATGGCAGCCAGAATTAAAAGTATGCTGCGACTCCAAGATTTCGCCAATCCACGGTTAGAAAACCAAGAAGATTCCTGCACACCGATGATTATCAATAATGGCAATGGATCCAACAAATATCAAGTACCCAATAAATCTAACATGGCAAGAAACAAACGAGCAAGCTCCCTTCTTTCCTCCTCGCGGGGACTTAACCTCTGCTTCCGCCGAACACGCTCAAAGAAGCATGAGGGATTCAACCAAGGCGGACTCGCAGTTTCAGCACATTCAGTCCTACCAATTTCATCAGGATAACTGCCCCAGCCCTTCAGAAAAAAGGCAATGCTGACACAATCACATGTGAGTGATGTTCTACTGTTCTTACACCAGAGACTTTAGAGCGCCTAGACCATATGTAGGGACATGGCCACGATTCGATTGGTACCAAGAAGTATTCCACTTGATGTCGTGGGTATGTTTGCTCTGCAAGCCCAAACAGGAGTTCTATATCGATTTACAGCGCCTACTCGCTCATATGAACGATGAGCACTCACAGAGTAGTGTACAAAAGAAGACCGTGAAATTATTTCCCAGCACAGCACGATAAGAGATCCAACACCAAATAAATGCCGCCTATGTCTCTATGAAATTTGGAAAACTGCTCCATCTAGACATCTATATGCCAGGAAGCATCGGAAGCAGCTGTTGCGAGAGATGGAAGGGCAAGAGTGTCAGAGTTGATTTGGAGATTAGCCACCTCAAACCCCGCACCTCCATCAATGAACATTCACTCGACTTTGGTGGAACGGCTGAAAGTTTTGGCAGCGTCGAAGACCCACCACCAGGACCTAAGGCTTCTAAAACTATGGCACTACACGTCGCGGGTCATTTGCAAATGTTAATGTTATTGACCATCCGCCTAGCATAAATTACAGAATGATCAAGAGACCCTAATTGAAGATATCAAGAGCGATAGCATCAATGTTGATATTGACAACAACACCTGTCATGAACAAGATATTGCCTTGTTCTCGGACACCGACGTATCAAAAAAGACAGAGGAACAACCATTGGACGAAGCACGTGCTAGTAACTTATAGACGTTGACAAGAATTCGCAAATCCCAGTTCCAGATACCGAGGAGTTGAATGATTGGAGCCATATCCCCCGCAGTGATTTTCCCCCTGAGAACGACAAGTTTCTACAGGAAGTGGCAAAGGCGGGGGCATAATCAATCAACAACCATCAAGTAAGGTTTACTACTTCATTAGGGAGGGATCTTGGTTTCCTTCCAAGGCTTAGAACTGATGAGAACATCTGCATGCTAAAGGCATGGCATTGCCCTATGGAGGTGTTTGGCTTTGAGTCCTGACTTACTACAAATGACAATCTAATGACTGGGAAGTCCGCAACAGCCCCTCAAAGTCTGTATATGACACGGTCGAAACAACAACCAAATGAACGTCAGTACGGAGACGTGGAACAAATGGCTTTGCATATATTCTAGACGAGGATCACGGAAGTGTCAAAACCCCAGAGCTCGAACACTTCCGACCTCTAAACGAGCCCCAAGCTTTTCGGGGACCTGTAAAATGGCTTGTAACCAGGTTCAACATAAGTATTATTGTTTCCATGCTCACGTTCATTTGTGTCTCTACACTTTACAGCTGCACTTGCATGTTCCGTAAGGGACCTGCATGGAAACGGTATACCTTTATTCAACTTCTACTGCTTGGCTTTTTTATCGATGTGATGTTGGCTTCTTGCGACATCTCCAAGGCTTCAATGAAGAGTTCTACTACCTCTAGCAGATTTTCTCAAGCGTTGGTCCTTCCTTGTTCCTCAAATGACTTCTATAGAAAACCGTGCTTTGCATAGTGCCACGCATTTCACATGTTGATGTTGGAAACGATTTTTTGAGAAAGGATAAGTGAAATAACTTTGATAGCCAGGGTTTTTTTTTTTTTTTTTTTTTTTTTTTTTTTTTCCAAGCTCTACATGAAGTTAGAGAGTTTCTAATTATCAACTCTTGTCACGTCTGAACACACTAAACATTGTTCATCACATAGATTTTGATCTCAATTGTCTTCAAGTAATAAAAATAGAGTCACTGGCAAATTACATCTGGTAATAGTTATTTTCCTCCAGTGAGCTGGAAAATGATCTAAGTACTTAAATTCTCAGAATCGCATTGCACTCACTTGTATAACAACTAGCTAACGTTGGGCCTCCAAGTGGGTGTGAACGGGACTATTCTCCAGAGCCTGAGGCAGACAGCCAGGGAACAAAGTAACCGCTGGATGAGGAAATAAAAAGGAGCAACAGTAAGTTAGTTATAGCTCTACTGCTGCTATGCCCAGGATTCATTCACCCTCTGTTTCAGCGCCTCCCTTGGCGCCCCCTTGACACACCGCACGCCAGTTCGAATGGAGTAAGAATGACTAAATATGCTAAAACTAAGCTTGGGATATTTAAATCCCTCGTTGCCCCTCCCTCCGTGGCTGGCACAGCCAGCGCACTTGCCCCTCTCTTTCCGCTACATACCTGAGGTAGAATCGTTGAAGATTTCACTGTGATCGCCAGTTTACATCATCTGCTCGTAAGAACGTGCATACATTCATACATCACCCAACCACGACCGCCGTTGATATACTTCGACACCCAGGAGTTTTTTTACGAAGAAGGCAACTGACCGATTCACCCACGCACAAACAAACCATGGCGGAGTCTCAGGAGCGTGGTGAGGAGATCCTTCGCGTTTTTGGCGCTGCGTTTGGGGAGCTTCTCACCGCCGACCCAGCAGCGTTTCGAGTCAAATTCCGCAAGATGGCCTCATCAGCTTTTGCCTTCTACCGTGGCTCAGCATGTCTGTTCTATCACGACCTGGAGCAGGAGCAGCATGGCGGACCGTATCTGGACGCGCGCACCAGCCGAGTCTGGATCCACGGCGACTTGCACGCAGAGAACTTCGGCACATACATGGACAGCCAGGGCCGCTTGATTTTCAACGTCAATGACTTTGATGAAGCTTACATCGGCCCTTTCACCTGGGACATCAAGCGCTTCGCCGCCTCCGTTGCCCTCATTGGCTATGCGAAGGCCCTCAGCGATGACCAGATCACAAGTCTCGTCAAGACATATGCTGCCGCGTACCGTGAGCGCATCCAAGTCCTTGCCGCGAGTGGTGCGAGCAGCGCCACCAAGAACGAACGTGCGGATGTGCTGGGTTTCACCCTGGAGACCGCTAAGGGCCCAATGCTTGATGCACTGCGCTCCGCCCGCCTGAATACCCGCTTTGGGCTGCTAAACGGAATGACGGAGATCCGCGACTTCGAACGGCGTTTCCGCGCCGGCGGAGGCGCCATCCAACTGGATGACGCGACGCGAGCAAAGGTCCTCGAGGCCTTCGACCGCTACAAGGAGACGCTCCCCGATTCAAGCGGTACTCGCATCCGCCCCCAGGGCCAGCGGGTCAAAGATATCGTTGGCCGTCGCGGCATTGGCATCGGGTCGGCAGGGCTGCCGTCGTTCAATCTTTTGCTTGAAGGGAATAGCGACGCCCTGGAGAACGACATCGTGATCTACATGAAGCAAGGCCAGATCCCGGCCGTATCGGCACACATCTCCGACCCGGCGATCCGCGGATACTTTAAGCACGAGGGCCACCGGACGGTGATTTCGCAGCGCGCGCTGCAGGCATATGCAGACCCATGGCTCGGCTGGACCGAGCTGGACGGCGTAGGTCAGCTGGTTGCAGAGGTTTCCCCCTACGCGGTTGACCTTGACTGGTCGGATATGGATGAGCCGGATGAGATGGCTGCGATCATCGCCGACTTGGGAAGAGCAACCGCCACGATGCATGCGGCGGCAGATAACGAGAGTGGGCATTCAGAGCTGGTGCCGTTTTCCACAGATGAGGCCATCGACAAGGCTATTGCGGCGGACGAGGAGGGCTTTGAGGATATGCTTGTGAAGTTCGCGCACAAGTACGGCTCGCAGGCTTGGCGTGATCATCAGATCTTCGTGAATCTGTTCCGCAATGGACAGATTCCAGGCCTGTGAGGATGGTTTTAGGAATGTCTATTGAATCATTGAGGTATGCTTTACCGTTGTAGTTCCTTCTCGCCGCAGTCAGATTCATGCAATTCCCGATTTCAAAGAGTTTCTTCATATTTTCCCTGCACAGATGTTTATCTTGTTTGTTAAGAAAGTTAAATAAAACAATATAATCAAGAGGGAAAAGAAAAGAAAGGGTTAGATAAGTTAGATAAATAACATTATGCCTTGATTATAACACGCTCATGCATCCTATTTTTGTTAATTATATAGCTTCATTTCAAATGAAATGCCCGAAAAAATAGCCAACTGCATGTAGTAAGGGGACATTTACTAGCAGTTTCAGACGACAAAAAGTACCTTCGCCGGAAGCGCCGGGTCGAAAGCTTCCAAATCCTCCAGACATTGGATACAGAACCTATCATTGAGGAAGAGACGATCGCCTCGCCGGATTGCAAGAACCGCAATCGATAGCCTGGCCAGCCAATTCTTGTGCGTCATCGCCACTGACGATGTGTCAGGTCGCTCGAGGAATTCATCCCAACTTGTAGTTAATGCAGGAGATTTCCTTTGTCCACAAAGTCTCCCTCCTCCCAGCGTTGCATTTTGGGTGGCAGCAGTCGCCGCTAGAGGAAGGCGAATGTGCACAGCCGGATTCGAAGAAGAGCTTATGATCGAATTGCCCGTAGCCGTTTTTGAGGGAGTCGAGGACATCGAGATCGGCAATCCATCGCCCATTGTCGTTTACTGATACGGCTGATTCGACAACATATGCTTCGGCGTCTCGGTGGCCGCGGCCCAGGTCGATAGGGGGAGACCAGTCCGTGAAAGAGAGGTGGAGTCTTGTTCCCCTGAAGGTATCCTCAAGCTGGCCTTCATAGACGGGATGATCAATGGATCTCCAATTGTCGAGTTCTGGTGTCATGACTTGGAGGACTTGGGGGGGGGGGGGGAGGGACAAGGAGGAGCAGCCCATGCTTTCTGACATTCTCAATCATACGCCGGATGTTGCTGGCCGCCACCTTGTCGGAAGGATCACAAAGGAGCGGAGCACTGATGTATAAGAAGTTTCCTGACGATAGAGCCATAACATTTTCAAATTTGAATGGCGGAAGGTTGACTGTATCAAAATAAGAAATACATGCAAATTGATATTCCCCTGACGCATGCACACTCTTCCAAAAACACCCATGGTTTAACCCAGTGAGCATCATATAATTTCTGCAAAATAACATTAGGATTGATCGTTGCTCCCTAAGGGTCCCAAGCGATCTGTATACCCCGTTAACTTCCACGACCGCATTTCAACGAAGTAAAATAGTCATCATAATTTTTAGCGCGCTGGTTCTTTTCCACAATTGTCCCTATGACCACCTTTGGCGAGTCAAGTTGGTAATTGATTTTGGCGGGATAAAGCTGTTGCGCAAGCTTTTTGCGGTCCACTCTCCCTCGTTCAAGGATCCGGCTAATGTCATCGAAACGGAGCAAATTAGGTTTCCGGGACCACAATGGGCCGCTTGATGCCTGCTTGTACGCTTCGTAAAGGTTAGAAATAACAAAAAGAGAAGCTGAGTTGGGATCGCCGACGAAATGATGGTAGGTGAGCGTCTTGGGCGCCGAATCATTCCCATTATCGCCTGGAGAAGTATTCCGGCCAACCCGCTGTCTCCTGTTGGCGCTCATGGAGAGCAGCACTAAATCCGTCTGATTGTACTTGTCATTGGTAATCTGACATGTCAAGTAAAGTTATGACTTTGGATTTGTTGGATTGAGATTCCATCATGGTATTAACACGCGAGTCACGGAATATATTCGCTTGTAACCTCTCATCGACCCAGCGATGGTGGGTTTTCTGAGGTACCTGCCCGCATTTTATGGTGAGAGGCAACGCTGTAGCGTAGTGAGGAACAACGGTTTCGGTTTTTACTCTGCCAGGTGAACTACTACAAACGGTTGTTGTTGGGGCTTTTTCGGAAGTCTCACAGCTATTTAACTAGCGGTTCACATAGTTTGGTCTTCTCTCCTTCTTCCCGCTCTCCTCCGCCCTCTTCTTCCTCTTCTTCTTGTTGTTGTTGATTGAGAAAACCTTTGAATCGGTACCTAATTATTCCCTCGTCTGCTCGAGCCTCCGGGAAGAAAGCGGGAGCATATTCCCTTAGAATATCAATCCTATCTTCATCGTCCATTAGTAGCGGCAGGAAGACTTCGAACTGTACAAGAGAAAAGAGAGGATTCGGGTGCGAATTAGGATCGCATAAAAAACTCGAACCCCTCCGCCGCGCGAGATTGATTAGTTTCAGAAGTACGGCGCGTTCGACGCCCTTTGCTTCTACCAACATACAGGCTGCCGATGCAACGATATCTAGCCATTTCGGGTACCGCTGGGCTTGAACAACCTTATGAAGAGTAATAACCATCCTCACTGCTTCTACGGAATTGCGTCCACCGGCGCCCCATCCTGAAATGATCGTGCCTAGGACGAGGACGTCGAACTCGCCGAACTCGTCCATAGTCACACGCGTTGCAGCTTCACTAAGGGTTACATGAGCTTGTACTGGATCGCCATAATATCTGCGAGATGGCGTTCTGTTAAAATATTGGCACGATGCAAGAATAGACACGGCGGTTGAGGAAAGAACATACTTCATGGGTGCTAATGGCAAGGTCTAGTAGACACCACGTTAGCCTTGCACCGGGGAACTTTCTAGCCCGATAGTAAGAATGACACCTTTGGGGAAAATGTAAACGTGTTGGGAAACGAATTTGTCACCGAAAGCCTTATGTCGGATTAGTAGCCAATGGCGACAAGAGAAGCGGGAGAGCAAGGGGAAAGAGGTAAGAAAGCAGTACAGCAAAGGATATGACTTTGGGCTTTCGATTAATGTAACTTACAGCAATATCAGGATACAAATGCCAACTAGAGAGAGCGAGCAGGAGTCCTCCATCATTGATTGGCATTTTGAGATTCCCCATTTACCAGACGGTCCATTCCCACCAAAGCAGAATCTCCAGGCATCGATTGTGCTTGCATAGGTAGTAGTAGACCTTGCATTGACACAGACGGTTATATTATCGAGAATTAATTTCACTTGTGTTTGCTCAATCTTCTTAGCTTGGTCGGCACGCCGCAACCATACACGCGCTCTATTTTCCCATTCTGCAAGCTGTTCCCGCGACATTTGAACGTGTGACGCCAAAAGATCGCCATACCCGAGTGGTTCGGCGTGGTTCACCGTCCCGAGCGCCCTCTTGCGTTCGGCAACTAACTCTGACCAGATCGAAATTGCTTCTGGCGCAGACCATACTCGGGCGCTGTGACGACCATCGTTTTTTTGTTAACAAAAAGCCAATTTCCAAAGATAGCCGAACATGGCCTACAGCATGCATGCCAACAAATGAACCGATATGGTAGGACTCCCAGACGTGGCGGTCGCCCATATCGGTGTTCCATCCGCTCCAATATAATCCGCGAAAATACCGTCACTTCGCAGGCCTTGCGGGTTAATGTCAGACGAGCCCGCAATCTCGGACACTCGTTTCCCATATTCCTCCTCCAACTTCGGGATCGAAGGAACAACTTGTGCAAATAGAGCACCAAAGTTTCCTCGCGGTGATATTCGTAGGCCCAATCTCGGCGGATTCGCGACAATGGCGGGACAGGAGTTTCCAGACCAAGAAATTCCTTTGGAGCCTCCCTTTTTTTGGAGATGTTAGCGTTGGAGAAAAAAACGAGGAAGAGCAAATTGAGTAAACATGAGCAAGACATGGGGTTTTAACTACTTAAACCAGACTGAAAGCAAAATTCAGGTTCGCGAAAGCTAGAGTGGTCTCAACGGTTGGAGCTGTGAGTGACGGTACGAAACGACTTATCAAAACCATCTTGGTAAACCAGAAACTCAGGGAAAATATTTGATGTTGAGCTGAGATTTTGAGATCATAATATGTAGATGCTTGCAGCCCGCTTCATTCCTCGCCATTAGTCCCACCTTACGCATTTCGTCGCAAGCATGGAATGTTAGGGTCAATGAAACACAGACGACTTATTCTGCCGCTCAATATAATTTTTTGCCGAAGTTGCAGGCCAAAGGATTCAGTTATCTAGCATCATATTTTCGTCCTCAAAATTAAGTGCTTTCTGGGATTGATTGTTCGGCGAATTAAATCAGCTCCCCTTGTAAAACTACATGCAGAAATGGACAGGCAAAATGTAGTCATCTGAGGCGGGGTAGCTCATGGCAGTTGATATCTCAATTTGCAAACCGGTGCAACCGAAAGCCGGAGGATAAGGTCATCAAGTGTGTGGCTCCCACGATAAATATTCATAGCATCATATCTTCATAGCTCCCAAACCCTCCTTGAACCCACTCAGCGGTTCCACTTCGCATAGGCCCACCGCACCCGCTCCAAGATCCGCAATTGCCGCGCAACACCAACACGCACATTCAAGAGCTCATGAATATCCTCTCTAAACTCATGATATGTAGCCCCGGGCAGAAGATTCTGGGCTCTTTGCGTGAGGATATCGGTTTCGCAGATCAATAGGCCGTGGTCCTTGTAGGAGAGGATGCCATCGTGGGTTGTGCAAGAGGAGGTCAGGACGCGATCGACGGCACTGGTTGTGGAGTACATCAGTGAGTTTTTTTTGATGCATATGTATGTTTGGGGAATGGCTAGAATGTGGTGGATGGAACATACCTGAGTGCGCGGGTCATTTCTTCTTGTTTCTTCCCCCGTCGGAGGCCTGCCCTGTTTCCGAATGCTCCACTTACCCATCGGAGTGCGGCGTAGGAGACGAGGATTCCCGGTGTAAGGCCGACAAACCTGGGGAAAAAATGAGTGAGCGAGTCTTCTAGGTGCAAATGAAGGCGAAGAATGGAGAGAAGTAGTTACCCAAAAACCAATTCCTGGCTCTTCAACAGCGCGTCAATGCCGCCGATTGCAATCTCCACGTCCACCTTGGTTTTCTGAATCTGTATCAGCAGCGCACGAATCAAATCTCCCCGCACTGTTCCAACGAACGGTTTTCGTAGATCTCGCTCGTATGCTTTTAGGACGGGAGTTAGGTCCCCCTCTTTAACTTTGGAGCGGAGCAGATCGATATCTGACTGAGTCCATGATTTATGATCCGAGACATCCTTGGCGAAGTCGACGACCATCCTTTCGAGGCTGGCTCGATCAGCTTCCAGACTGCCTTTGCTCATTATGGCGACTTCGCTCGTCTCGTCGTGCCGTATTGTCCCGATGAGTCTCCTTAAGGGGTCTATGACCCAATTCGCCCAGAAATCAACCATTGTAGAACCAAGTTCGGAGATCCAGGTCCATATTTCGGCGCGTCTATTTGTTAATGTATTTAGGATTGTTCCGAGGGAAAAACACAGGGCCGACGCAGGTATCCAGTAGCGAATGATCTTAGAGGGGTAACCGTATTTTTTTATTAGAGCCTCAGTAGATGTCCGTTGGCTGGGCAAAGATTCCTCTAGAACATGTATTAGTTGTTGGAAAATGTGCGATGGATGTTCTACTGCCGGGACCCGATGCTCAACACTCGCAAACACAGTGTCTTCAAACACGGCAACCTTGCCATCACCTCCGCCGACGTTTTCCAGGACGACACGCAGAAGAACGACAGTCCGTCGAACAACATCTTTCCAATCCCCAAGATTGTCCACATAGCCATTACTAGCGTACCCGGCTTCTTCTTCATCCTCCATCTCAAAGATCAGACCTTCCTCCACAAGCAGTCCAATAGCACATGCATTAATCTCCCGAATATTCTTCAAATGCTTCCGCTTCGATCGAACCTGCGAGCGTGACAACGCAAACGGCGACAAAATCCTCATCATCTGCGCCTGCACCGGGGACCGCTCCTTGATACTCTGATGGACAAGGTTATAGAAATTGCTCCAGCGGCCGGACAATGACCCAGATGAAACGCCCAGGTCCTTATCTAGCGCCTGCAACCGACGCCGCCGGAACGTGTGGAAGACATCCTGCGCCTGATGCCAGAGCCTAACCGGTAGCATCTGCATGGTATATAGGCCAGTGTAGAAATGGGAGCTCAGGACTTCATCCCAGTACCAAATGCCATCATTTAGCGGCATGCTATCTTGTAGCAGCGCGCGCATTACCATCCCCAGCGTCTGCACGGTGGCCTTTGCGGCGATGATCCATTGGAGATCTGTAATGTAGCCATCTTCTAGCCCTGCAGCAGTGGTTTGAAGGGAGGGCGCTGCTGATCGGTGCAAAAGCTGCAGGAGATGGGAGCGAGGCAGGAGGGGCCGTGACGGGGAGCCCGTGGAGAGTGCTCTTGCAATTGCAGTCAGCGCAGTTATGGTCTGCTGGGTTGTTGCTAAAGTTTCATCGTGCACGTCCGATGGCTTTTCGGCGGCGGCAGCAGTTGACTTCTGGGCGGATTCGGAGATGTGCAATTGGATCCTGTCGATCTGTGCATCTAGCCGTCGAACTTGCCTGGGATTTAAGTCGGAATTAGAACGAACGACAAGCGGAGCAACGGCGGTAGTGTAGTATAGTGTGGTATATGGTAGGGTAACCTTCCAATCCCACTTTCTATAGAGGGGGGGAGCGGAGGATAAACTACGTCAGCGGGGAGGAAGGGCTTACTCAGATATTATTGACATGTTCGTGCTTGACCAGGGCGCTATTCTATTTGAACTTCATCTGGCTAGGAGTACAGCAACATCGGGGTGCCATTTAATAATAAAGTAGAGTAAACAATGAGTTTTTTGCCCGAACACATAAGCATATAACTAAAGGTTGTTTTCTAGGAGATTGATAGAGAGAGAGAGCAAAAAAAAAGAAGGAAGAGGTTGGGTGGTTGATGCAAACAGGGCAAACTAGCTACATTGGGTAGGAAGCTCCAATCACCACGATAGGAAACGCCTTGCCGGAGATGGATATAATAATAATAATATACGTATGTTCTGGCGGTATCTGTCTGAGGGGAGGGGATAATTAATTGGACCGATTCTTGGTTCCTGGAAATATCTGAACAACATGTCATAGTTACTTAAAAATCTCACACGGATTGAGACCATAAACCCGCTCCGTCCCGGGGGTAAGATCGCGGGCATCGCCCGTGGCCTGATTGCAAGGTGATCCATCCTCCAGTCTGGTAGTGTGTGTGTGTAACTATGTATATATAGCTTTCTCTGTAATATATGTATGTATATATGTACTCCGTATGTATTGTATATATAAATTCGGAACTGGTTCGGATGCAATCATCAGACCATCAGACCAGACGGTGCAGAGGATCCGCTAGTCTACTTCCAGTTAGTCAGAGGCGGGTCCCGGTCCAGGAAATCCCGTGCCGAACTGGTAATTACGGGGAATTACCGTCACAGGGTGGTCAATATCGCGTTCTCATTGGTTAACTCCGGTAAAATAGCTCCCAAGCGCGGTTTGCTTACGGGGCGATTCAGGCTTGGCAAGTGTTAGTCAGCAATCCCTCCACCCCCGTATCCTTTTTCTTTTATCTCCCATTATTTCTTCATCTTCTTCACGACTTCAACAACAACGAATTGCTGCGGACACGACAATCACGCTGCTGGGCATATAATAATAGGAAACATCCCTTCTTCCCTAGGATATTTTTGTGTCTAGCAAACACCATTTCTAATAGATACTGGTCACGACTTCAAAATGTGAGTGTTTTCATTCCTTCCATCGATTGCGCTGCTCTGGAAGCCCCCCTGGCTGGCCAAATATCCTAATATCTTTGCCTCGTTTTCACAGGAATTCCACACTCCTTTCTCCTCCCCAGGAGACCTACTGGGGCCAATTCGAGGAAATCTCAAAGTACAATGTCCACCTTAATTTCGCAGAGCGAATGTGGGCTGCCTGGTATGCCTTCATGCAAAACGATGTCCTCGCCACGGGCATCATGTCCTTTGCCATGCACGAGATTGTCTACTTTGGACGCGCCCTCCCCTATATCATCATGGACCAAATACCCTACTTCCACAAATATAAGATCCAAAGGGTATGTTGAAAACCAAGCACGCACGTCTATGTTCCCTCCCGTATACTATTGCTTTTTGCGCTAACATTGATAATTTCACACCCGTCAGGACAAAATGCCCACTCTGAAGGAACAATGGGATTGCGCCAAACTCGTCCTCCTCAGTCATTTCACCGTTGAACTCCCACAAATCTGGTATGTTCTTCAAACCAATTCAAATAAAACAAATTATCTCTCTCTCTCTTTTTTTTTTTTTTTTACTTACACTCACCCTGTAGGTTATTCCACCCCATGGCTCAATACTTCGGTCTCGAAACCAGCGTCCCCTTCCCCTCCCCGTGGACCATGGCCTACCAAATCGCAATCTTCTTCGTTCTTGAAGATGCCTGGCACTACTGGTCGCACCGCGCCCTGCACTGGGGCCCTCTGTACCGCGGTATCCACAAGATCCACCACCAATACTCTGCTCCCTTCGGCCTTGCCGCTGAATACGCCTCACCCATCGAAGTCATGATCCTCGGCATCGGCACTGTCAGCTCGCCCATCCTCTGGTGCGCCATCACCGGCGACCTGCACATCCTCACCATGTACGTCTGGATCATCCTGCGTCTGTTCCAGGCCATCGATGCGCATAGCGGATACGAGTTCCCCTGGAGTCTGCATCATTTCCTGCCCATCTGGGCCGGCGCGGATCATCATGACGTCCACCATGAGAAGTTCATTGGCAACTTTGCGAGCAGCTTCCGCTGGTGGGATTACTGCCTTGACACGGAGTATACGCCCGAGGCTGTGAAGAGGTGGAGAGAGAAGAAGATTGCACAGTCGGCGAAGAAGGCGCAATAGTTCTTCCTAGTTGACGTCTGTTTACTCTTTCTTCCGTCTTCCTAGTTCTGGCGCGCAGAGATGTTAAGTGTGACTGAGCTGTTTTTTACTCTCCGGTCGCTCGGTATATCCAACAATATCCTCCATCTACCCTTCTAACATTTTGCTATCCGGATATTTCCTTTATGTCTTCTTTCAATTCTCGTCATTATTTTCAACCCCATCCCTGTTGCTTTTGGGTTAGCACCCGAACGGGGATTATTCTATTTGTTTTATTGCTCTGGAGTACCCATGCTGCTTAAGCCCTCATACTGCCTACCTACTCATTCACCCTCTTATTTGATACTTACTTCCCCTTCTGTCTCCCTCACATAAATATTTTTTGTAATCGTATTATATAATCCCTGTGTGTTGTTTTCATAAGTTTAGCTTGTCTTTTCTTTTCGCTTTTTTAATGTTCGTATTATTATTATTATTATTATTATGTAGATTAGATGAAATATTAAATACATGAATTAATGGTTCAAAAGAAAAGCGAAAAGAGAGGTGATAGAATGGCAGCAACTTGGATATAGTTACCTCCTCTTCACCGAGATTTGCCGGGCCTTGGCATCAAGCACCACTCGATTATATAAGCAACCTAATTTTTGAACATCCATCTCGCAAAAAGTTCTGGTGTTGACCATCCCCCAGCTGAGAAGCCTGCCTATCGCTAGCAATATTTGCAATATTTGTTCCGTTCAAGGAAGTACTGTATCAATCTTTTTTCCACGCCTACTCCTCGTCTGCCGCGAAAGAAAGAAAAATCTAGCCAACATGGGTATCCAGAAGAGAACGCGCAAATTCGCTCAGGTTCGTTGCCTCGATGCGAGTTACAGCTGGCAGAAAGAAATGACCGAAAGCAGCTAACGGACTAATTCATATATAGGTGAAAAGAGCAATTGGTAGCCGTGATAGCCGGTTGTATGTTATGCTGCTCCTTTTTTGAACCTCCTTTCCTGGCGCAGAGAAAGAATTCTATATATTCGCCCGTCACTACTGATCATGCAGGCCATCTTAGCTAACCATTCTATCCATTCCAATCGCATAGAAAGCAGAACCAAGCAAAAGCACCACAGAAGGGCAAAGACGAGAAGAAGAACGATGACCTTGTCCGAGAAATGTAACCCCCCACCAGCATCTCCATCCATCCCCATCCAGACCATCAAAATCACTAATCACAAAAAAAATACCAAACAAAAACAGCCCCCAAGTCTCCTCAGCCCTCTTCTTCCAATACAACACAGCCCTAACACCCCCATACTCCATCCTCGTCGACACAAACTTCCTCTCGCACACCGTTCAGCACAAACTCGAGGTGATCCCCACAATGATGGACTGCCTATACGCCAAATGCATCCCGATCGTGACCGACTGCGTGCTGGCGGAGTTGGAGAAGCTGGGCCCCAAGTACCGCATTGCGCTGCGCATAGCCAAGGACCCGCGCTTCGAGAGACTCAAGTGTGACCATAAGGGCACGTATGCGGACGATTGTCTTGTTGATCGGGTTATTAAGCATCGGGTTTATATTGTAGCGACGAATGATAGGGATTTGAAGAGGAGGATTCGGTAAGTTTTTCTTCTCTCTCTCTCTCTCTTTTTTTCTTCTTCTTTTTTTTCTTTCGAAAAAGCATGTCAGCATTTGTATGAAATTGCTGTTTGGAATCGGATGGTTTTGACATCTTAATTTCCCCTTGTATAGGAAAATCCCCGGTGTACCCATTATGAGCGTCGCGCGGGCGAAGTATGTTATTGAGCGGCTCCCCGACGCGCCTGAGAAATGAATATCACGTCCTATGCAGCTTTTTCTACAAGTTATCCGGGCCGTAGGAGGTTGGCCATATCTATCTTAAGCCCACGAATTCATGACTACTCATCTTGTCAACTCCGAGGCTGGTGCGGGGAGGACAAGTGATTCGTGTGCTCTCCAAAAAAAAAAAAGCAGGACAGCAGCATCTCCAACGGTGGCAACGGATGATGGCCTGACCATGCGCGGAGCGCAGAAATTGTTTTCCATTTGCTATTTCACTCCATGCAACAAATAATGGGATACAGCGGCCTATCCTTTTAATGGCTGGTCAGGGCACTCCAACCCTGTCGCGTGGCGTGATATCTGGGCGGATCCTGGGGACTCCGGCCACGATCCGGATGCACGGCGCTCGGCCCACTCGGTGCCGCAACGTCCGTATCCTAGTGTAGGTGGAACCACAACGGGTAGCTTTGACTTTGCTTCTTAGATGTCGTGCCACTTGGATCGAGGCCGTTGGAACAGCCTTCTTACGAGCAATATGAGCATGGGTGGGATTATGTATTGCTGAGCTTCATGGCGAGTGGATCTCGCTGGGCTGGACATGGTCTCGTCTAGTCCGGCCTACTGCTCATTTGTTGGGATTGTTGCGTTTTGAGATATGTATAGCTTATAGAAATTCCAGTTCTAATGAGATTATGAAAGAAATGGTTTGGCTTGCTTTGGCAGTTTGATGGACATCTGTTGGAGTGACATAACCATTCCATTATTTGTATACCATACCGTAACCACCTTGGAAGTCGTGCTCAGGGCTACCTAGGTAGCTGGAACAAATCACGTGGAGATAAGATAAGATAAGATCCGCTGCGACTTTCCAAAAATTCAGATTCCAATTTCACCCCAACACCAGACGCCAACGATAGCCATCAACATTCTAGTAGCGAAGGCTTTTATGATCCATTAGTTTAATACATCCTCCACATGACAGGTACAGGCGAGGCCATCCGAAGCAAACCCTCCCATCATCCTCGTTTCCACCACCCGCCATAACCAAAGAAACCCAACCCCATGAGCTATCACGATACAAATGGGCATCCGATACCTAACACAACACCTCCTCCCGCACGCGCAAACCGTCTGGCTGCGGAATACAAAGAATCATGACCAGAACGTCAAAACCATCAGTAGCGTGGTGGTAGATGGCCCCGCGCTGGTGTATCATGTCTACAGCCGGCTGCTGTCGTGGAGCGGGGTGGATTACAATGTCGTGGATGCGCAGCCATCAGCGAATGAAGTTAGCATTGGTGTTATGCAGTTTTTGTTGTGTTTGAGGGGGTTGGATGTGAGGATGTAGGTTGTGTTTTTCATTCCGTTCGCGATAAACTGTTTCCCTTTGTTTTGGGTTACTTTAGATGATGTGCCTTTAAACTAATTCGCAATATCCCCTCTCCCCTCCCCCTTTTCCTAAACAGAGAGAAAATCTTCTTCGACGGCGCCCTGCCACTTTCAAAACGGCCTGTGCGCTTCGAGCGCATGGAGGCAACCAGACGAAAGCTCCGAGAGCTCTGTCGCGACACGGCGGGAGGTTTCAAAACGCCCACCATCCGCAGAAAAGCTCTAGATATCTGCCCGGAGAAAATATTCGGTCGACGCCCGTTACCCCGTCGTTTCAAGCCCATGCCGGAATCGGCGTTTGTGGTTCCGACGGTCATTGAAGACTTGAAGCATCGATGGAGTCCGGAGGAGGTATTGAGATGTACTGCCGGTGTGCCGGAATTACAGAAGGTTATTATTACGGCATGTGGGAATACGGAAAATGGCAATGAGAATGATGGAAGCATATTTGCGGAAATAACGGAGGTTGTACCAGGGGAAGCTGATGTGTACTGCGCAATTGCGGCAAGGGACTCGGGCTGTGCAGTTCTCACGGGCGACTCTGACCTGCTCGTGCACGACCTCGGCCCGGAAGGCTCAGTGATATTTCTCGATTCGCTTGAAACGGGTGAGCCACTGCCAAACGATGCTCTGCCGGTGGCGGGCGCAGAGCCGGATATTGCAAGCAGAATAAGCATACGAGCAACCCAAGTACGGCCCGCGGCAGTCGCCAAGAAATTGGGCGTGCCCAGTTTCCCGCGCCTCGCCTACGAGGTGAAAAGGGATCCGCGCGCGTCGTTTGCGACAACCATCCAGCGCGCCAAGGGGAACGCGGATGTCGTTGAGAAAAGCGCTAAATATATCTCGTTTCTGAAGGAGTATGATCTCGGCGGCCATGAGGCCGCCGCCACCACCAGCGGGTCGGTGTGGACTTCTTCTAATCCCCTCGCAGTCATCACGGACCCCAAGCTCTCCGAGCTGTATGCGCAATATGAACTGCCCTCCTTCGCGATGCCTGAGGAAGGGGCCCATGTTTATCTCCAGGTTTTGATTGAGCGCCATGATCGGCGCGCGGCATGGATGGAGGGCAGCGAGTTGCGGTTACTCGCCTACTCGCTATTGAACCTGGGATACCCTGCGGGCGACAAGGGGAAACGAAAGGAAGCTGTGATTGAGCATATGCGCAAGGGGAGGCGGATAGCGGCTATCCCGCTAACGCTTCTGGCAGAGAAGGAGGCGGAAGAGAGACTCGAGGCTTTTGTGCAGCAGGTTAATACGTTTGTTTCGTCTGTTGATAATGATGATGGTGGTGATGATGAGAGTAGCGCCTGTGAGCCGGCCGTCCGGTGGAGGGCTTTTGCGCTATATGACGTCCTTGCGCGCATGGGGCCCGACGAGCGATTGGCTACAGGGAAGCTGCGCCGGTTCCTGGAACGGGGGTACTGCGGGGAGAAGCTCGAGTGGGATGACATCCACCTCCACGCGCAGATGAAGGCGGTGCTGTACTCGCTGAGGGTGCTGAAGGAGGTCCTTGTTGCGGGTGAAGACACGGCGAAGTCTGGTTCGGTTGGCGAGAGATTGGTTGAGTTGATGGGTGAGGCGGGTGGCGTGTTGCGCGACTTGCCGTGGATGCGGGATTGTGCGCAGCGGACGGGTGGGATCGGGGGTGGGATTGAGAATGGGGAGGCCGCGCGAAGGGTGATTGAGGGGTTGATTAGCCTTCTCGACGAAGGGGAGGGAGAAATGGATGTGATTGAGGGGTCTGATGTGTTTGGAGCGTCTGCCTGCGACCAGAGTGGTCATGGACTGCTCGAGTCTTCTACGGCTGGTGCCGAGGAGGCATGGATCGTCGCGGCGAATTTGCCTGGCAGTCGGAAAAGGAAGAAGGGGAGGTCGAGCAGCGGTGGGGTGGAACAAGGAGCACCAATAGTCGCGAAGAATGCGATGAATATGTATGATATCCTCCGGCAGGTTGATTAAGTAACCTATATGCGTTCTTGTGCGTGTGCGGTCGGGAATGATATCTTCATGTAAACAGTTTCCGGGACTCCCACCCATTTCTTATTAGATGCAATGACCAGTAACTATGAATCTTGCGAAGGATAGCTCAGCTCAGGCGGCCAAAATGAAAGTGAGCCAAATTCAAGAATGTATATATAAGAATAAAGGGACGGGACAATCAAATAATACAAAGACCAACGACGCCGTTAAAGACATAAAATGGCGTAACACTACAAAAAGCAAAAAGAGAAAAGCAATCCATCCTGACATCACACTGCTGTGGATAAAAAGTAGAAAAAAGGAAGAATAAGGATAACGCAAAAACCAATAATCATAACACTCATATACTCTCTTTAAAAACACTCTTCCGATCAGACGATCTCCCCCGGTCATCATCAGCAGCCGCAGCTGTCACAGCACCAGCACCAGCACCAGTACCATCCCCACCACTACTACCAGCAGCAGTAGGCTGCTCATCCCCCACCGCCGGTCGCGAGCTAACATCCCTCAACTGGCTCGTCTCCGCCGCATCTGAAAAGGGATTCACACCGCCGGCCGGCCTGCTATACGAGGGCGGCTCCCGACTCCGGCTCCGGCCCCTCTCGACCTCCTGCTCGGGTTCCCTAGCGTGCAAATCAACCGTCACCGTACTCGCAGCCGGCACGACTCTCGCACCAGCCTCCACCCGCCCGCCCATATCATACGGCCCACTCCCACCCCCGCCCCGACCCCCACTCCCCTCCCCATGCCTCCCCATCCCCAGCTCCTGCTCCTCATAATACCCCGCGCCAGCCCCGCCATACCCGCCCTCGCCGATCCGCGAATCCCAAATCTCATCATGCGCATACCCAGTACCACCACCGCCGCCGCCGCGAGAGCCCGCGCCAGGATGCAGCGGCGACTCATACGCGCCCCGCGCCGTCCGCCGGTTGCGCACGGCGGCCCATTTGTCCCTAAACCAGTCGCCGACGCCGCCGGGGCGCGGGGTTGGGTAGCTGCTGTCTCTGTGGTAGTAGGAGGAAGAGGAGGAGGAGGTGAAGGGGATGTAAGATTTTAGGGGCGGAGGGGGCAGGCCGGAGCGCCGGGCGCGATAGTGGGTGAAGCCTATCCAGGCGATGTAGGCGGCGAGGAGGAGGAGGAGGATTATTATGAAGATGAGGAACCAGCGCATGGTGCCTTTTTCTTCTTTCTTTCTTTCTTCTTTCTTTCTTTCTTTCTTTCTTTCTTTCTTTCTTTCTTTTTCTTTCTTTCTTTCTTTCTTTCTTTCTTTCTTTCTTTATTTCTATGTTGTTTTATTTTTATTTTTTATGTCGGGGAGTTGGTGAGTGCTATTTTATTTCATTTAATTCAATTTATTTTCTGTCTTCGGACGGGGGGGCGGGGACGGGATTTGTCGTCTCACCCGAGTTGTTGAGATGGCCGCGGAAATGGTGTAATTTGTTGTGATGGGGGATGGGGCCAGGGTCGTCTAGCTTGCAAGAATAGTATGGTAGGACCTCCTTTTATCGATATTCGGGGCTCGTGGGAGGGTCGAAGATAACTGGGGCTACCTATGCCTGACTGGCAATGGAGATCGGCTCGGAATGCATGGGGGGGGAGAGAGACGTGCGGGATCGCTGGTGCATGTGCATACATACATACGTATGCAGGCTTAGTTAGTTCTGGCGATGTTCCAGTCGGGAAATATGGCGACAGGAAGATAGATAGGGAGAGTGAATGAGAGAGAAAAAGAGATAACTAGAGGGAGAATATGAGAATATGAGAGAGAGAGAGAGAAAAAAGACATAGCGAGGAAGTGATGATGATGGATGGATGTGGGAACTGACGGCTTAGTCATTCACCGCGGTAAGATGCCTGTACGGTACGGTACGTACTCTCATCACCAATCCAACCGCGGATATAACTTGAACATTAAAAAAGACGAGAATAGAATACCAAATTGATCTATATCTCTATAAAATAAGCTTCCATAATACTCTGAAGAGCCATCTCTTCCTCCCCACGCTGGCATGCTGAGGGGTTCCTCCTAAATTCTCGTTGATCGACTAGTAATTTTGGATGTAACAAGAACCGAAACGCTGGCATTTCCTGTTCGGGCACTAAGAGCACGTGGCGGCTCTTGGCGCGCAGTTGCCGCCATAATCTAGGCTACTTTAGGAATAGTGCGGACATCAGGTCTCAGCCTCATCTGCCTTTGCTTGCGCTATCATAGAACGGGGGCTGGCGGGATTTATTTTTAGACCACTGTCGGGGAATTATTTATTTATTTTTTTTTTTTTTTATTTTTTTTTTTTTTTTGGTATTATACGCTAGAAAGATAAAGGGTTTCGGTTTACACTCCTGCCTACCCATCTCCATGTCCTGTCCTTGTATTATAGCTTCGTTTTACCTCGCAGAGCGCAAAAATCCCACAATCCCCCTACAATACCCCTCCACCTCCTCTACCTCCTCCCCTCCCGCTCCTGCTCAACCTTCCACTCCCCCAGCGCCTCCCGCAACGCTGTCCTTGTCCCCTCTGCCTCCCCCTCACCATCACCACCATCATCATCATCATCATCATTCCCCTCCCCATTCTCATCTTCTCCAACATCAACAACATCCCCATGCACCCGCAAAAACACAGCCATCCACGCATTCACAAGCTCAAAGTCCCTCCTCGTCCGCAACTGCGCTGTCAGCGCCTGCACGAACGCTACCAGCTCGTTGGTAGCGCCGTGTCTATTCCCACTTAGCAGGCCTGGGTCGAGAGAGCGGATTTCTAGATCGGCTTTGGCCGGGGGGAGGGATTTGAGGTAGGCGATGAAAGGGTCATAGGGGTTTCCGGTTTGCTTCGTACTATTGCTGGAGGCGGAGGAGCAGGAATGGAGGAGGGTGGTGAATTTGGATGCTTGCATGCTGGGGTCGTTGGCGCGTTGGAGTTTGGCGATCCGGGAGCGTTCGGCTGGGGTGGTCTTTTTGGTTTCTGAGGTGTCTTCTTCTGCCCCTGCTGCTGGGATGAGCGAGGTAGAGTCGGAATCGGGTTTGGTGAGGGTGGAAGGGAGGAAGAAGGGGGCTTTCTGTGGGACCTTTGGGGGTTCCTTGGGTTTGTTTCGTTCCTGTAGTGATTTGTTGTTTTAGTAAGTCAATGAATCCAGCCATAGTGGTTTATTGGGAAATAGTTCGTTCTCACCTTAATAACATCAAGATGCAAGAGCGTCTGCCACCTGCTCTTTGGCGTAATACTCAACGTCATCATATCACTACTCAACTGCTCCGTCGGCAACACAAGCGGCCCCTCATCACCTCCATCCCCCGCATCCTCCTCAAACGCAGCTTCCAAAATCGCCGCCCCACCCTCCCCCGACGCCGTCGGCGCGCTCACCTCCACAATAGCATCCTCCTCAATATGCTTCGTCGGGACATGCGTGAACAAGCTTCGATTATTCCAAATACTCACCCCAACCCCATCTGCATGCGCCGTCGCCAGGAACTCGCCTGTCACCGACATCGCGAGCGCGGTACACGTATTCGCCAGACGGAAGGCATCGATCAGATGGCCTGTTGGCAGGTCCCAGACGCGAATGACGGAGTCCATGGATGCGGCGATGATCCAGCGGCCGTCGTTGGAGACGCAGAAGTCGTTGATCTGGCCGATGGCGCCCCAGAGTTCGCGGACAAGTTTGCGCGTCTCGATATCGATGACGCGGATGGAGAGGTCGTCGCAGCTTAGGGCGATCAGGTCGCTGGAGGCGTTCTGGCGGAGGCCGGTGATAGAGCACATGGGATGCCAATCTAGTTCGTGCAGGAGTTGGCCCGTAGTGAATTTCCAGAACTGCGGGAAATATGTTAGAGTTGTATAGTCGTTGTAGTGTGTGGATGGATATATATATATGTATATGGTTAAAACAAACCTTCACTTTCCCATCAAGCCCGCAGCTTATAACTGTAGTATTCAGTGCGTCAACCATCAACCCTGTAACGGCGCTGGTGTGTTTTCCCTCGCCCATTTGGAAGCCTCGTTTGCCGCTGGCCCCAGTCTCCATATCGTCCATTTCATCCAATTGCATGATCTTCAACTTCCTCGCTTGGGCGGGAGTTACCCGCGCTGGGAACGACTGTCGATGCATGCCGGATTGCAGATTGTACATGTCAATTGAGCCACCCGCGGACCCGACTAGTGCAAAGGTGCCACACGGCGAAACAGCGACGCTCTGTGGAGAGTTGGGTTAGTTGTCTTGTAAATCTTAATCTGGCCCTTGAATCCACAGCGATAATAAAAGGGGAAAAGAGAAAAAAAAAAAAAAAAAGAAAGAAAGAAAGAAAGAAAGAAGCAGAAAAGGAGACAACAAACCTTAACCTCCGTACCATCACGCGTTGCAAAAGCCCATCGCCCAGCCTTCTTCCTCCCCCAAAACCAGGTCCGCGCAAACCTATCACCCCGATGGCCCGTAACAACACTCTCCCACCCAGTCAAATTAGTTGACTCCGTAGTGCCCCCCTTCACATTAGCCCAGGCCGGCCCGCTCGCACCCGCAGCGCCCGCTGCAGTCCCCATGCCTCCATCCCTATTCAACGAGCACGCCACACAGGTAATCTCGGGCGTTTTAAAGTCCTCCGTCCGCGCCCCTAGATAACCCTTCTTCTTACTCTTTTGCTTCACATGGCCCTGCGACAGCTCCGTGCTCTGCGAATCCTTCCGCAGACTCAGGCCCCATAGACTCCGATCCTTGCTGGCGCTGAGAATCCATTTGCCAACGGCGTCGGAGTCGTCGGAGGAGGCGGGGAGGAAGCGGAGGGTGGTGATGGGCGCCGAGTGGCCGCTGCGTGAGTGCAGGGGCCGAGGGACCGGTGAGAAAGGGGTCTCGTCGAAGATCCAGGAGCGGAGCGCGTTGTCGGTGCCTGTGGATACTAGGACGGGTTGGCCGTTTAGGAACTCGATTTTGCTGATGCCGGGTTCTTCGGAGGAGGAGGAGGAGGAGGAGGATTCGTGCGCGTCGCGGAGGACGCCGGTGACTCTGCCACCGTTGTTCAGGTCCCACATGGTGATGTCGCCGCTGTCGGCGCTGGCAGTGGCCATGACGCCTGCTTTGCGGCCGTCGTGGCCGGCGCCTAGATCGTCGGTGCGGAAGGAGATGCAGGTGATTGGCGAGATGGGCGCGGTCGTTGAAGCTGAAGCGGGAGAGCGGAGTTGTAGGACGGCCTGGTCCGTTCTGACGTTGTGGATGGTCAGGGCTCCGCTGCTGTAGGCGATTGCGAGAAGGGAGAGGGCGGGTGTAGGCTCCATGGCCGTCACGGCGCCTGCGTCTGGGGTTGTGGGGAGGATGGTGTAGACCAGTTTCCCCGTGGAAAGGTTCCAGATATCAATGCTGCCATCCTGGCGGCCGGCGAAGATCTTGTTGAGGTATGTGGGCATGTTGCATATCCGGCCCGTCAGGACGCGAGTGGCACCCCCCTTGGACGATGCTGATCGTTGACTGGGAGGGGTGAGGGTCGTGTAATGCTCGAAGGTCGTAGACTTCCACACGCGAATGGTATTGCTGCCGCAGCCAACAATCCACGAGCCAAACACTAGCAGCTGCTCAATCGGTTCGGTTGTCCCTCCTGTAGTTGCTGGTGAGGAGGGCAAGGGCAGTTCTCCCACTTTCTTCCCACGTTTGAACACCCAGATACCACCACCCCAGGCAGCCAACACCTTGTCCTTCCAGGCACATATTGCCGTTATAACTGTGGGGGTTTGGGGGCGTGTGAGGAAGACCAGGCTTAGGCCACGGCGGAGGTCGTAGGTCTGCAGGGATCTGCCGACAGAGGTGGTGATTTGGAATGTGGTTTTGCCCAGCGGGACAGAGGTGAAGGGCACAGTGGTTGGGGATACAAGTCCTAGAGTCTTTTATATATTTTCAATAGAGATTGTTAGTTAGGTCTATTATTTCCAGATTTTCTCTCAATCCCCAAAGAAGGAATATATAAAAAAAAAAATGAGAAGAACGCACTCTGAAGGGTGAGAATATCCGCGAGCTCGGAGGGAGAGGAGCAGCAGTATCTTTCGAGACGAGCTGGCCTGGGGCGACCTTCTGTCTCTTCGCGACAGGGAACCCAAAGGCGTCGCTGTCAATTGACGACAGCATGGTGTATGGTATGTATGTGTGTGAATATGAGCTGGTTGGTGTGCTAACTATCTCAGACCGTCATGTTGTGTTGTTTTTTTTTTTTTTGAGGGATGAATATTTTTCTCTTGGCTTTGTCAAAAATAACCGGTAGACTTTTTTCTTTTTTTCTTTTTTAAAAATTTAAATATTATTCCGACGTTCCAAGAGGACGGAAGAGGCGTTTTGGCTAACTTATTTAGCTAGGTATTTTCTTTTTCTGGTTAATTTTTGTTAGTTGAATATATTTTCTGCCAGGAGGGGGTTTTTGCCGTTTTGGGATATTTAGATGCAGAATATCATAAATATTTTCTTTCATATTTATTGGATGAATCAAGATCTCTCTCTCACTATCCATCCATCAGCTAAATAGTTACAGGTAAAGGTAACTAGATTATATCCGCATATAATTAAGTATTATCTAGTTAAATAAGTATTTAAATAGTTAAGTTACTGCTGCTTGATGCCGCACAATTTGCCATTGAACCCATCTTGGCGGGGGATTTATTTATTAAATATAATAACAAACAGCTTTCGGTTCTTTCTTTATCGTTTAAATATTTATCACCTGCTAGCATCATCTAAATACTCCGTAACGTTACTATTTAATAAATAAATACATCGACGAAATAGACAGCAGCCAGCAGGATAGGAACCAGCATATTTACAGCACAGATTCACAGCACTGGTTGCGCACAATAATAACTCGCAGGAGCTATTATTTAGCTAAATATTTAACTATTTACTTCATATTATATTGCTTCTTCCGCTGAACTGCCAGGTATTTTAAGCCCAACTTCGCTATCCCTATAATATTATATATATATATATATATATATACTCCGTATATATGTCCAAATGGCGGCGGATAGCATGGACTCGGTGAATGTTATTATTACTGCCGGAACAGACAACGCAGGAGCATCGCCAGTACCAGCACCAGCACCAGCATCAATCCTCGCGGCGACAGACATCAACACCAACACAGACACAACAACCACAGACACATCCACATCCACAGCCACAGCCATAGACAGGACATCGCAGCAAATGCAAACTCCGGCTGCCGCTTCTCCTTCAGGCTCTGCCGCTGCCGCTGCCTCTGTCCCCGCGCCCAAAGCAGCAACTCCGTCCCTCGACCACCAGCAGCCACAACCACAACCACAGACACAGACACAGACAAACAGCGCTGCGGATCGCAATATGCTTGCCGGAGACTCTTCGAAGACCGTTGCTTCATCCACCGCGACAACTACTGGTGCTGCAACTACTCCAATTACGATTACGACTACGACTACGACTACTACTGCTACTGCTACTGCTGCTGCTACAGCGCCTTCTACAGCTACCTCTCCTACCCCTACGCCCGCAATTCCCACTACAATTCGCCCTCGACCAAACCAGACCTTTGCTACAGAGAGAGACACTCCCAGAGACTCCCATCGCGTCTCCTTCTCCTCCCTCTACTCACTAGGCTCCACCATCTACTCCGCCACCGGTGACCGCATCACAAGCACTGGCACATCCAGCGTGGCCGGCTCAATTAAAGGCGGCATGGAGGGCGCCGCTGTTAGGAATTCCTCTGGCCTCCTGGGTCTGGGTAATGGCGTGGACACAGCGCCGGTAGGAGATTCTATCATCAATTCTCCCACTACAGCCCCCTCGCCCGGGCCGGGAGCAGTAGGTACGAATCCCCTGTGTTCCATTCCCTCCTCCTCCCCTCCTCCAATCTAGTCTGTGTGAATCCCTGCTAATCGTAACTAACTGTGTCTCAATCCCAAACAGCCTCTCCTATACCCCGTAGCGATGCAGGCACTGATGGTCGTCCTACAACAAACTGGGTGTCCCGCCCTGCAAGATCCTCCAGCCGAACACCAAGGAGGTTCAGCGGGAGCACGGCAGCAAGCAGTGCAAGTGAAGCTGATCGTAAGTTGCACAGAAAATCAATAAAAGTTAAAAAATAAAATAAAAATAAAATAAAATAAAATAAAATAAAATAAAAAAACCCCAAGTCCCCTTTTCAGTGATGTGATTTGCACAGAAACAAACCAAGCTGACGAAAATGCAACCCTGATAATAGCCAAGGTTCCCTTCATCGGGAAGATCGGGGTGTGCGCCTTGGACGTCAAGGCCCGCAGCAAGCCTAGCCAGAATATCCTTACCAGACTGCAGTCAAAGGGCGATTTTGAGGTTATTGTGTTTGGTGATAAGGTTATTCTTGACGAGGGTATGTTCTACTCTTCTTTCACTTCTCATCTCTCATCCCTCCTTCCCAGAAGACAGAAGATATATGTGAATATATGCTAATATATTTTTTTTATAGATGTGGAGAATTGGCCCGTGTGGTAGGAAACTTTTTTTTTTTTTTTTTTTTTTTTTTTTTTTTTTTTTTTTTTTTTTTTTTTTTTTTTGGTGTTTGTGTGTGTAACAGCGGGTATATCAACACCAGCAACGCTAATTTATATTATATCTATATAGCGACTTTTTAATTGCCTTCTTCTCCGATGGTTTCCCCCTAGACAAAGCGATTGCTTACGCCAAGCTGAGGAAACCTTTTTGCATCAATGATCTCCCCATGCAAAAGGTCCTCTGGGATCGACGTCTTTGCCTTCGTATTCTCGACCAGATGGGTGTCCGAACCCCGAAACGGCTGGAGGTCAATAGAGATGGCGGCCCCAAACTCGAATGTCAGAAACTTGCTAAGCATCTATATGAACTCACTGGAGTGAAGCTGGAAGGCCCTGATAACGGAACTGGTGGTGGTATTCCCAGAACACAGTCTGTGTCCATGTCCGAAGACGGTGAAACCCTCATTGTTGATGGCAAAGCTTTCAAAAAACCATTTGTCGAAAAACCAGTCAGTGGGGAGGATCATAATATTCACATTTATTTCCCCAACGATCATCAGTACGGTGGTGGTGGCCGTCGACTCTTTCGCAAAATCGGTAACAAGAGTTCAGAGTACGATCCAAACCTGACTGTCCCAAGATCTGTTCTCGAGAAGGATGGAAGTTACCTTTACGAGCAGTTTTTGAGGGTTGACAACGCTGAGGATGTCAAGGCGTATACGGTAGGGCCAGATTTTTGCCACGCGGAGACCCGAAAGTCCCCCGTCGTTGACGGCCTTGTCCGCCGGAACACCCATGGCAAAGAGCTGAGATACATAACCAAGCTAAGCAAGGAAGAGGCTACGATGGCAACCAAGATATCCAACGGTTTTGGACAAAGGATATGTGGCTTTGATATGCTCCGCGTTGGCGACAAGTCTTATGTGATCGACGTCAACGGCTGGAGTTTTGTCAAGGATAATAATGATTATTATGATAAATGTGCAAAAATCCTGCGCGAGATGTTCATCAGCCAGAAACTGCGCAGGGAAGGGAAGATCGAACACTTGGAAGGGCCCCCACTTGAGATGGCCGCTCCGCGCAAGAACATTAGCGGTTCCCACAGACAGACGCTCAAATCCCTCTTGAAATCTCCCAGTATGACGAGAATGCAGGGTCAGTATTACAATCAAAAGGCCCATCCAAGTGTTTCTGCAGATTTGACTCCCGCGACGACCACATTCCCGACTCCCTTTTCGGATTCCAGCGACTCAAAACACCCCGGGGCCTTCCCCGCCATGAGCGACGGACAGTATGCCGTGAAAGTGAAATCAGAAGATGACACCACTTCAACTGATCCTTCTCTGACGGAACCTGTCGCTGCTCCACCCCCAGCCTCGAAGCATTCATGGAAGTTAAAGGGGATGGTCGCTGTAATCCGCCATGCTGATCGGACTCCAAAGCAGAAGTTCAAATTCACTTTCCATACCCAGCCGTTTATTGACCTCCTGAAGGGTCATCAAGAAGAAGTTGTCATCAAAGGAGAGTTAGCGCTACGCAGTGTTTCTGATGCTGTTAATGTTGCGATGAAGGAAGGTATCGAGGATATGGAAAAGCTGAAGCTCCTTCAAGCATCACTTCATCATAAGGGCGGGTGGCCGGGGACAAAAGTCCAGATTAAACCGATGTTTAGACGCCGAACGGCTGATGAGTTGCGGAACCGGGACCGCTCTAATAACGCCCTGAGCCCTGTCTCCGAGAAGCCTAATGAAGGAGAGTCAACTCAAGGAAGTACTGGAGCGGAGGGAGACGGCACCCATCCATTGACCCATATTAGAAGTAATTCTATGTCCGGCCCCACATTCTCGCGCTTTTCGGCCGTGGAGAACGATTTGATTCTAGATAAGCTTCAATTGGTGATTAAATGGGGCGGTGAGCCTACGCACGCCGCACGATACCAATCGCAGGACGTAGGGCTCAATATGAGGGATGACTTGAAACTCATGAATAAGGAGGCGCTGAATGATGTCCGGATATTTACCAGTTCGGAAAGGAGGGTTAGTACAAGTGGTAAGTTTTGACCTGCCGATCTTTACACTATAGGGAACTCTTGCCGACTCTTTTTTCTCCTTACAGCACAAATATTCGCCTCCGCGTTCCTTGACCAGAAGGATGTACCTGAAGATTTCATCCAAGTGAGAAAGGATCTACTTGATGATTCAAATGCAGCTAAGGATGAGATGGACAAGGTCAAGAAGAAGCTCAAGCTACTGTTAAGAGAAGGAAACTCTGCTCCGCCTCAGTTTGCCTGGCCAAAGGAAAACTTTCCTGAACCGTCAATTGTCTTGTCAACCGTTGTTGAACTTATGAAGTTCCATAGGAAAGTCATGAGATACAATTTCGCACGGCTGGAGAGTGAGTTGAATTCCACATCCGCTGCTCGAAGCGGTTCGGATGGTCAGTGCAAAAACGGTAATCAAGACACCCCTGCCCTTGGTTCTATTCAGGGGCGTTGGTGTGCTGGAGAAGACCCCCAACTGTTTAAGGAGAGATGGGAGAAGCTGTTTGCAGAATTCTGTGATACCGAGAAGGTCGACCCTGGTAAACTTTCTGAGCTGTATGATAGTATGAAGTTCGATGCCTTGCATAACCGCCAGTTCTTGGATTGGGTATTTGTGCCTCCCGATAGCATGCTTCAGGCAGATGGTGGGAAACAAAACGGTCAAGGCTCTCCCAACGATAAAATGAACTCCGCTGGCATGGAGAGTGTTGAGTCTGGTAGCAATATGTCACAGAGGTCCCAACAGCAACGACCGAACGATTCGGGTAGCGGCGGCGGCGGCGGCGATGCTTCTGGGGCAGGTGAGAAGGGTGACGATAAATACAATACACTTGCTCATCGTCTCGGGCTTAGAAGGAAGTCAGTCTTGGACCTGCCGGCGATGCATCCTATTGGTCCGCTGGAAGATTGGTACGATTCTTATTTCAAGCTCTATGCCGGTTCCACCCAGACAAAGACCAAAACCGACAAAAGACTCTCAAGGCTTCGCCAACTCTACAAACTCGCGAAGGTGCTTTTCGATTTCGTAACCCCGCAAGAATACGGAATTGACGACAGCGAGAAGCTTGAAATCGGTCTATTGACTTCCCTCCCCTTACTACGGGAGATAGTAATGGACCTAGAAGAAGTCCAAGCGTCCCCAGACGCCAAGTCATTCTTCTACTTCACCAAGGAATCGCACATCTACACGCTCCTCAATTGTATTCTGGAAGGCGGCATTCAGACGAAGATCGCGCGCCGTGCCATCCCCGAATTAGATTACCTCTCGCAAATCTGCTTCGAGCTGTATGAAGCGCAGGACAGCGAGTCGGCGACTTTCTCGTACTCGATCCGCATCTCTATTAGTCCTGGTTGTCACACGTTTGATCCGCTGGATGTGCAGTTGGATTCGCGACATGCGATTGGGTGTGCTCCGCGGAGGAGCTTGACGGCGCATCAGGATTGGAAGGAGGTTATCGAGACGCTGAAGGCGAAGTTTGATACGTAAGTTATCTCTCTCTCTCTTTTATTTTATTTTTTTTTTCCTTTCGGTTATATATCTTTTTAGAAAACGGAGTGAGGAGGATTATGTATGTTGGGGTATTATATCAGTTAACTAACTAGATGCGGTACGCATGAGCAGTGTGAAACTTCCCAAGTCGTTTATTGCGGTCAACTTGAGCGATAAGCATGCGGCGGCGAAGTATGTTAACGACAAAGAGGAGGATATTGCAGTGGCGGAGAGTGGGTGAGTGGTGAGTGGTGAGGGAGGGGGAGAGAGGTATTGGTGTTGAGAGGCACTATTTATTTTATTTCATGATTATGCGTTTACGGTTTGATTGATTATTATGTATGTCTACGATATTTCTCCGCTGGTGTTCTTGAGGGAACGAATTCATGACGGGTGGACGAGTGGTTTAAATTGCACTGCATACATATATACATACATACATATATAGCTATGGGTGGATGGGTTGGGAGGCACTCTGAATTGCATCTTTTAGAGGGGCGATATTACAGGAGTCAACAAAAAAAAAAATGAAAGGAAATGAAAGGAAAGGAAAAGAGAGGGAACTGGATTGAATGGGCGGCTTTGTGAGTTTTTGTTCTTATCTTCTTTGCTAATCAGTTTATCGCAGAATATAAAATTAGTATTTATACAGATAATGTGAATATATTTTAAGATGATGTATTTGAGCAGAGGTAAATTCTTGTACAGTACATTGTGCACATACATTGCGTGCTTAGCCATATAATTCGACATTAATTTATAGCTAGATATCTGCAGATGGATTAATAATGAATTCCATCATGCCCATTGCTTATTTATTCCTAGGATATAAATATATATATATATAGAAATACAAATCCGATTAACTTAAGCATCCCGCATCCACCCATGGTCCATGATCCTCCTCACCTTTCCATCCATCCCTCTCTTTCCCCTCGCGCTTTACCAGATATGTCAATCCCCTCTCTCGGCACCGTGGATATCAACCATGTTTCCTACGACGCGGCTACGAATAGCCTGACATGGACAATGACGGGGGCGGCGGCCGGGGATGAGGAGGGTAGGACGAGGACGCATCATGTCGTTAAGGGAGAGCGAATCGTTGCTGTCGTCCCGTGCGCTGAGGGTGAGGAGGGGCTTATGTCGTATATATGGCTGGAGGACTCGGACTCGGACTCGGACTCGGACTCGGACTCTGATCGGCCTGGAATACTACGTGATAAGCAGGACCAGTCGGAGCATCCTTATCCTTATCCGTATGAACTGAGACGATTCGAAGCAGCGGGTGAATGTCCCGCAGCGCTCCGGGAGTTCATCGGCGGCGGTGGCAGTGGTCCGCAGGCTCGCCCTGATCATTTGTACCCCGCCAAATCATCACCGGATATCACCACCACCGCCCCCGAATCCACAGACCCCAATAACCTCCATATAATCATCTCCACCCTCTCCGGCACCCACCAGGCCAGCGCCTTCTACACAGCCCTCCTCAAACCCCTCCTCGCAACCCTCCACCTCCACGAACACACCGACTACACCCCGCACCCCACCACCTCCCCACACACAATCACCCATCTCACCCAGACCATCTTCCGCCCGCGCGCCCGCCGCGGCATCGCGCAGACCATCATCCTCCTGGCCGGCGATGGCGGGCTGGTAGAGGTCATCAAGAGCCTAACGGCCGTGTCTGCCGCTGAAGCCGCGGGGCCGGGCACCGCGCCAGTCTTCGTGCCGCCCGTCGTGGCGCTGGTGCCGATGGGGACGGGGAATGCGATGGCGCATTCTGCGGGGGTTATTGGGCCCGGGCGGGATGAGACGGTGGGGCTGCGCGGGGTGGTGGGTGGGGTGGCGAGGCCGTTGCCGGTGTTTGCGGCGAGGGTGTCTGCGGGTGCGGAGTATGTGACGGATCAGGGGAGGGGGAGGGAGGGTGTTTTTGTGCCTTCTTCTTCTTCTTCTTCTTCTTCTTCTTCTTCTTCTTCTTCTTCTTCTTCTTCTTCTACTAGTCATGATGATCATGATGATGGTGGCCGTGGTGGCCGTGGCGGTGGTGGTGGTGGGGAGGCGGAACTTTATGGTGCCGTTGTGCTTAGCTGGGGCATGCATGCGTCTCTCGTTGCGGATAGCGATACGCCCGAGTACCGCCGTTTTGGGCGGGAGAGGTTCCAGATGGCGGCGAAGGAGCTGCTGTTTCCGGCTGGGGGAGGGAAGCCGCATGTCTATCGGGGCCGGATCAGTGTCACGACGACAACTACGGATGCAACTACGGGAGGGGAAATGCTACGGACGCGCCTGCTTGAGCGGAGCGAGCATATGTATGTACTCGTCACGCTTTGCTCGACGCTGGAAAAGGGGTTTACGATATCGCCCTCGTCCAGGCCGCTGGATGGGAAGATGTGGTTTGTGCATTTTGGGCCCATGGAGGCCGGGACTGTGATGGAGGTTATGCAATTGGCGTACGATGGGGGTAGGCATGTGGTGGACAAGGGCGATGTGGTTGGGTATGAGGAGGTTGAGGCTGTTAGGATTGAGTTTTGTGAGGGGGAGGTGGAGGAGAGGTGGAGGCGGATTTGTATTGATGGGATGATTGTGGTTGTGGAGGATGGGGGGTGGGTGGAAGTCAGGAAGGCGAAGAGGGAGGTCATGAGGTTGGTTGTGCCCGCGGGAAGAGGGTTGGGTGGTGATAATGGTGAGAGGAGGGACGTTAATTAACAAATGATGATGATATTTTGGTTTGAGGTTAGAGAGTAGTTGGTATAGTTGTAGATCCTTTATATACACCATCGATATTAACGACGGACATCGAGGAGCCTTGGAACGGAGTTTATATAGGAAATATTTAATTACGCGTTGAACAGCAGCTTTATCCGGTAAAAGCCCAGCTCCGCAACCGTGAGCACCATTGAAGCATTTGGCTGTTTTGTTCCACTTCAACAAGAGCATGGTCTCGCACACCCATGCATTGCCCCTGAAATTGACCTGCCCTGCCCATTTATTCTGTAAGAGGAGAGCGGGCTGAAGATGAATACCGAGACTACAGACATGCACCGGAGAATTATACTGGCAGGATTTCACCTGTTATCTATTAGCAAAGAATGGCGGTAGAACAAGCAACGGGCGGAGAGCGGAAGAGCGGAAATGTGTATACGGCGGAATGACGGCGGAGAAACGGCGGAGGTTTGCTGCAAGGAGAAAAACAAGAACTAACTACGTCATTGTATTGAGATGGATGCGCGGTAATTTACAATAGTTAACTAGTTACGTTACACCGCCCGAGCGTAATCCGAATACAGGGGCTGGCGGCTTGTCACATGGAAATGGAAGCCCTAATTCCCTAGTTAAGTTAATCGGTAACTAATCGTTGACTTGGACGTCGTTTCTTCCTCCTCCTTCATCCTTCTTCATCCTCACTCACTCTAACGCGGGAGAAAAGACGTCGCATGAGCTGCACAATCCTACTCTCATTGTTTTTAACCCCCTTACAAGTTACGCCCCTGTCCCTGCCAGACGATGTTCCCGGTGGTTGCCCTCGTTCCACCCAGAACAATAATAACTTTGGACCGTCCGGCTAGTAGTAGTGCTCTATCCCTGCCAACCTCCGACTCTAAAGCATGTGCCGACAACTCTAAACCTGCTTTGGCAACGTCATCTCCGCAGTTTATGAGGTTGTCGCAACGTTCTCCATGCTTATTACTCCGCGAGTTTACCGGCTCGCCCAGACCCCGAATAACGGCTCGCGATCGCCTTCTTCCTACCACCCAACCTTCCATGCGCTGACCGGCTGGGACGTTGAGCCAGCGGATTACAAACGAGCTGCGGAGATGTTGTTGATGCACCAGGTTGGCAGTGTTCGTGTGGGGGAGGTGGTCCGGTATGATCTTGGCTGTGTTAAACCAAAAGAATAAAAGAATAATAATAATAAAAATAAAAAAAAATCATCCCATGCTGATGCCGAACAATCAGGTTTACCCTCACATACACCCCTTCCGCAGATCGCATCCTCCCCACACCCGCGGAACTCTTCGTCAAAGTTAGAAATACCTCTGCAATACCTCTACGCGCCGCATATTTGCACGGCCCTTACACTCTATATACCTCGTGCTACCCTTCGTCCTTCGATCCAAACCGGAAATATGAGGACCATGAAACCCGCGGCCTTCCGCAATTCGAACCAAACTTGAAGGCGGGAGGGGCATTCGACGCGGTGATTCCGGTGCCGGAGAGCGCCTCGCCGTCACCTCTTGCAGCAGATGGGCAGAGTGTGACTTGGATAATCGAAATCGCATCGCAGGTGATATTTTCGACCTCAGCGGCTGTAAACTTTGAAGTCCTCGTTGGGAGAGACTTGAAGTCTTTGGAACTCGGAATGGGGAGCTCGGCGAGCTTGCCCGCTCCTGGTCATGTCCGCGATCTGGCCAGACGTGGCTCAGAGAGCAAACATCAGAATCCCTCAGGCCAAATGAAGGGGGTATACTCCACTGCAGTCAACCTCGTTGTTGAAGACACAGCAAGCCTTTGGAGTACGCCGCGATTCCCGTCCTGGAGTGAGAAGGAAGACCTTCGAAAACTGGAAATGGAACAGACGGAGATTGCTACGGAGCCCCAGAAAGATTCCGAAGCCAGTTCAACCGCGGACGAGGGAAATCGAAAGAAACGGAGGAAAGTACATTTCGTCGTCCTGACGCATGGGCTCCATAGTAATCTAGGGGCCGACATGTTATATCTTAAAGAGAGTATAGATGCTGCCGCAAGGAAGGCCCGGGAAGATGCGCGGAAAGAGCGAAATAAGCACAAGAATCTGCAATCCCCCAACCTAGCTGTACCTGGAGAGGGGACCTCTGATATGCCTCCGATAGATAGAACGCGAGAAGCCTCAGAAGATGATGACGACGATGACGAGCATGTCATTGTTCGAGGATTTCCAGGAAATGCCGTCCGCACCGAAAGAGGCATCCAGTATCTTGGTAAACGGCTCGCGAAATATGTGCTACTTATGACTTACCCAGACCAGCCATATCTTCCCATCAAAGAATCCCGCCGCAAATTCCGAGCATTTACTGGCAACAAAGATGTAGCCGGTCCCCTTGACCATGCTTCCCATTCTGGGAGTACAGTGTACCGCCCGGAGCCGAAGAAAAAGGATTATGCCTACCAGATCACGAGTATCAGTTTTATAAGCCACTCACTTGGTGGCCTCGTCCAGACGTATGCAATTGCCTATATTCAAAAACATTCCCCTGAATTTTTTGACCGGATCAAGCCTGTAAATTTCGTTGCTCTTGCGTCTCCATTTCTCGGACTCAGCAATGAAAACCCGATCTATGTTCGTTTCGCTTTGGATTTTGGACTCGTCGGTCGCACCGGCCAAGACCTCGGTCTGTCATGGACTGCCCCCTCCAAAATGCGAAGTGGATGGGGCGCGATGATAGGAGGATTGGGAAATGATTCTCCCAAGTCTAGCCATCAACAGGATCCCAAGTCAAAGCCACTGCTGAGGATTCTTCCCAGCGGCCCTGCTCACCAGGTGCTCAAGAAATTTCGGAATCGTACCGTGTACTCCAACGTTGTAAATGATGGAATTGTTCCACTTCGAACCTCTTGTCTCCTTTTCCTTGATTGGAGGGGCCTAGATCGGGTTGAGAAAGCCCGGCGGGAAAATGGTCTGGTCGGAACTATGGCGGAATGGGGATGGGCTGAGATTACAGGGGCTAATGTTAACACAAATTCAATTCGAGCAACCAAACGCCCTACAGGTTCCATGCCTACAAATTCTGTCAATGGGGACAGCGAAGACGACAAGGTTAAAAATGGAAAGTTGGTCAGCTCACCTAAGAAAGGAGAGAGCGAAGTTCCCAAATCACAGGGAGATAGCCCAAGAACCCTAAATGGAAGTCTCGAAACTACCCCAGAACTTCCCAAGCCGTCTCAGTTCTTAACTGGAGCGAGCAACACAGAACCATCGCATGGTACGAATCCAGTCAAGCCGGCTCCACCTTCCTCACCGAATCCATTCTCCAGTTTCCTTTCCCTGTTTAAAGCACAGGGGAAAAGCAGCCATCAGAGCAAAGGAGCAAAAATCTATAAACGGATCCAGATTGTCCGGAATGATGAAACAGCTGAAACCCCATGGACAGACGGTCCATCCGACTCACCACGTACTAGGCTCGCTAGGGGAGATTCCTTTTACCAGGATGAAGGCCACCACGCTCCGCCGAAAACAACAATTCTAGAAGCGGCTGGGGATGTCCTTAAACCTCCTCTGCCATCAACAGAGTATATTCTGAACCCTGCAACCCGCGCAAGGACTATCTTCCATGATCGCGTATACCATCCATCCGATATACCCCCGCCCCCTCCAATAAGAAGCCGCAGCTTTTTCCCAACTTCCAGCACCAGCAACCTTCCCTCACCCACCAGCCCGACGAAAGGTGTACATGACCCACCCAGTAGCCAACCAATCCATACCTCCTCCGATTCAGTTCTTGGTACGACGAGCGGCATGAAAGTCGAGGAGAAAATCGCCCGCGCCTATCATCGAGACTTATCCTGGCGCAAAGTGCTTGTCCGCCTCGAACCTGACGCACACAATAATATAATAGTCCGTCGTATGTTTGCAAACGCCTATGGCTGGCCCGTCGTCAAACATCTCGTCGACACACACTTTGCAAACACCATCACCGCAAGGACGGCGGACGAGCTCGAAAGCGGTGCCGAGCGCGCTGTGCTAACAAGCCGCACCCCCTCGGAGTCTGGTAAGGAAGTTCTTGGCCAAGCTGATCCACCAGGTCACCCATCAACACCAACTATCGAGAAAGCACAACACGAGAGCCAGCAACTATCCGAATCATCAGAGGCAAAGGACGAACTACACCCCATCTCCTCCCAAATTAACCCACCGCGCATAGTGCCATATACCAACACGAACGACGCCACTACAAATAATACCAGCGACGCCCACCGACCCATCAGCTCCGTCAGCCGCATATCATCCTCCCAATCAAAGACCTCCCATCCAGACTCCTCTCGGTGGACGGATCGGTATTTCGACGACGAGGACGGCGAGGGATATGACTCTCAGGACGAAGCGCATTTTACGGGTAGCGGGATTCGTGTAGTTGCTAATGAACAGGTAGCTGCTGATAATGACGATGTTATTGCGGGTAATGGATTGACCGGGTCTCCGACCACGACGACAGTGACGACGAAGGATGATGCCGAGGCGAAGGGGACGAGTAAGGCGGAGATCACGGCGTTTTTAGCCACTGGGTCGTCCGGTGGTGTTGGCAATTAATGGTTTAGAATTAGAGTTGAAAATACAGTTACTGTGGAATCATGCATTTAACGTCCGGTAGGTTTTTTGGGGGTTTTTGGGCTTATTTTTTTGGGGGCGTTCTGGGGTTTATTTGCTGTTTGTGGGTTCCTCGATACCCCAGCTTTTGCTCTTTTCATAAACGTACATGTACATTTTCTCCCTTACATACTCCGTCATTGTGTTGTGAGGACAGAAACAGAACTTACTTAACTGTGCAGAGATGTGCTAGTTACATTGTTTCTAGCATCTGTGTATAACCTAATATTAGCTGGTCCTCTCCAGTTTCCTTTCCATTTTTCCTAGAATCATTTACTTTTTTTGCTCCACTTGCTTTCTCTTCTTCCAAGATTATGTATTGGGTTTGTCATTTATTATTTAATAAGTTGGTTCCTTGTGATTATGCAGTACATATACAGTACATACTTGCACATACACTGGGCACTATCTATCTTCATGTTGATGTATTTAATGTAAAACACGCATATTCAACCACCCACTCCAAATCCACATCAAAAA